GCGTGATATTGGTTTCCTGGTTTTCAGCTCTGCGGTAGATGAATTGCTCCCTGGGGTTCAAGTTTCCCATTCTTTCTTCATTGTTCTGTGGTGCTTGTTTCCTAAGGATTTTGAAAAAATTGCTTTGGTACAACTCCAACGCCTTCCCAGTTGTGGCAAAGGACAGGAAGATGAAGAAACCTTGGAGAAAGGCATATAATTCAACTGTTAAAAGTAGAATCTCTTGAAAAGACGTCATGTTTAGCAATTCATCCCCATAGAGTTCTGGTGCCAATCAAATCATGTTAAATAACGTAGCCAAGGAAAAAGGCTATATCGTAATCATTCGATGGAAAACACTGCGAAATACAAGAAAATCTGAATATATTGCATACTCTTATCTAGGAGTAAGTAATCGCTTCGTTACATCAATCGAGACAGATTTTACTATCATTGCCATAGGAACTATTTAATATGATCAACCAAAAATTATCGCAATGAGAATTTGTTTCCCCAAGTTAAGATCAGCTAACACATCGGAATACTTATTTCTGGTGATTCCAATCGAGAAGGGTTCCATTCTTTCTCCAACCCGAACCAGCTTTGTTACCCTAAAGGGCACTTACCTTGAAGGCTGTTTAGAACAACGTACGGGTACCACAGCAATGAAAGAGCCTGTAGGTTCGCAGCAATCCCAAGAATCCATGTCACACCCATCACTGAGGCCATTTTAACACAGATCAAAGCCACGTTAGAGCTTTGTTGTTGCTTAGTCACTTGTCTGGCCCTCTAAAATGATCAAAATGTGAATAAACCTGCTTTTAAAGTTCAGATTTGTTTTCGGCGTTCTGTTGGTCATGCAAGCCGTTCGGAGCAATAGGTAACGAGGCAAAGCGCGGAGACAGACACTGCGACAGTGGAATTTTGATGTCCTTAGTTTAAAAAAAGCATCGAGATATTGTACCCACCTTTCGAGTTCTGACGATATGAAAGCTTGTGTGTCCCAGAGCAAAGAGGTTGAAAATCAGAATCAGTCCAACAGGCAAAATGAATGAGAAGATCTTTACTTTTTTTTCTGATATGAAACAGTTCTCTTTTCCAAGGCCTGTTTAGTCAGCAACATATGGAATTAGTTGAGGTATTTTGCCATATCAACATCGCTGAAAGTGAACTATGTTTTTCTCGTGGTTCAATGACAAGCACTTAACACACCGTTTTATGATAGATACTAACCGTATCCTATCGCTCCTTCCTTAAGCTGGTCAACTGTAACACAGGAAAGGACTACAATAGCAGGGCCTCCCCAGGCGTACAGGGAATAACACATCAAACGTATTTTGAGGTCCTCTCGTCGGTTTGCCGCCGGACCTAATTGGAATAATAATGAGTGACTAAAGTTTACAAAATCTTAAGTGATAGTTCTCTGAAGTATTTTTGTTGACATGGATTCTGTGCGAAGTGCCTCCACAAGTCCTTAAATCAGATAAACTGAATCATGAATAAAGCAGTATGCAGTCGAGATTGTGATCAACACTAGAATTTACTAAATTGTGATAAAAAAATTTACTCTTCATTACAATTAGATTCACCACAATCAACAGTCGCTACCCTTTTCATGAATCGTGTATATCAGAGATGCATTTCTGTAACGAAGAGATTTCTAAGATTTAGACAGAATATCTAAACAAAGTTCTAGATTCATAACGATCCTAAATCACTAATTAAAAATGTCAACTTACCCGAGACTTCTGTGAAAGTGCGATGCACATCATATGCCATAACGTTCATCCACGTAAAGGAAGAGAGGGCGAAGAGGTGAAAAAGAACTGCGACTACAAGACAGACCAACTGATGGTCCTTTTTGCCAGCTGAGAGGAATACACTTTCATACAGCAACAGAGAGATCGTCAAATTTAACATAATTTTCCCAGGTAAGTTACGGAGCTCAGCAAATAAGACGTAAGTCACTAACAGTAAAACCAGCGAAACGATGGACACCACTGACCCAATAAAGCTGAGATGCTGAAGAAATTTATTTTTTCTTAAAATTTCTCTGGTTTTATTGAAATTTTTTGAAACATTTCCATAGGCTTCATCGTGAACATAGGTGGTGGGACGATCTTCTGATCTTTTCGGTTGGTCTACTACTTTGATAGAATTCTTAGATGTGGAGATAAATTCAAACAGAATCGTCAATTCAGGGGGTTTTATTATTGAAGGCGGATCAAGGTTGTCATCTTGCACGGAAATTTTTAAATCCACGAGCTCAATGCCATAGCAAAAGGCACACTGAGGGTTACGAAACGTTTTCAATTTACTCCTGGAGTATACCAAGATAGCGTAACCAAGACATTCCGCCTTGCAAAGGGTATTACCCTTTGTAGGATCACTTTTGATCGAAGGCCGAGGCCACGGGATGCATCTTTTCAAGGAATCATCAACTGGCCTTTTCTGAAGATAACATCGATCTTGCAAAAGTTTGAAGTCTCTGCTTTGACTGAGGTTGGAAACATCGAACCACTTAGGACACCAGAAACTAACTTCCCAGAATGCTGTGTGCAATGCTTCATTGCACCTGGCGCAGAAAATATTTTTGTATGTCACGTTACTGTATTTGTCATACACAGGCACAGGGTTCAAACCATTCTCATCTTCATCGTCGCCTTGACATTTTTGCTTCGTACTCTCATCTGTAAAGTTCTTCGGGCAAAAGCTCCAGACTGCGCGACCAATCAGCCTTTTTGGGAACCGATGGTCATATTCTCTGACACATGTTCCCATAGATACTTGAGGTATTGTGCACCTTTCCGAAACGAAAAAGGAAAAAAAAAGTCATCAATGATATTTGGTACATAGGCTCCTAAAATGGTATAACGGGGCAAAGCGAAGTGGGAGAGTGTAAGAGCTGCTAGTTCAAACCAGGTTTCGTGTAAGGCATTACGAAGAATCTAAACTCTACTTTTGAATTCTTCTTTTTCCTTTGTGTCTTTGGCTAAACAAATTTGCCTTCACTGCTACACTTTTGGTACATTTTCAGGAACGCTAATATCTTGTAATTACTGAGTCCCCTTTCTATATAAAATCTGTGATGTATAGTGGACTCTTTCATATGCTCGACGAGTAAGCCATGATTGCTTATGCGTGGTGACTGACGTCAGAAGATTAGGGAACTCCCATAGGAACACTAACCGAAGTCCTTTTACGATGTTCTCGCGAACGAACCCAGGGTACTTAATGTTTCAAATTAACCAGTCAAGCTTCGAAGACGAGAGCCAAAACCAAAAGCTTTGGGAAAATTCCAAGACAAGGTCATTAGACGACCTAAGCATGACCTCTATAGTGCAAGTAATTGCCTGAAGACAAGAGATTATAAACAGTTTATAATCTCTTGCCTGAGGATTAAACCCGGGATCAACCACAGGACCAACCACATGGGTCACAGGGACTATAAAAAGTGGAATGAATCGACTCGTAGAAGACACTGTCAAAATCGCGAACTCCGCGTCAAGGCAGAGGCTTGAACATCAGAAAATTAGGACCAAGCTGAAATGTTATTATAGTGTCAAAAGATAGCCTAAGATAGCTAGCGAGTCGTGGGAAAAGAAAGTCTTACCTGGAATTATCTTACAGTGGTTATCATTTGAAGATATGCGGAAAGATTAAAAACATTGGTATAAGATATATTTGATCTTGAAATGCGTGGGAAACAAATACTCACAATTCATCAAAGTCAAAACAGCAATCACCAAAGCTTTTACAAAATTCATCACAAAAACAACTCTTAATAGAATCATGATGTCTTTGTTTCCTTCCACACCGCCTTTTGCAACTTAATTTTTTCATTTGATTGGCCGTTAGGGGCTTCACTAGAATCTTGATCTGCTCCTTCCACTGCCACTCTGAGGAATGAGAAAATAGAGAAGTGAGATTCTTTACAAAACTCTCAAAGCTTAGGGGGTAAGTTTCTTAAGATGCTGTGCTGCTGCGTCGGTGGGAGAGTATAGCAGATAATTTAGTGTTAACAACTGAGTTGAAAACGTAAATTGACCACCATAAAGAGTAAAAAAGCTGACCCTTCGAGCGTTAGCCCTTCGTCAGATTGATTGGAAGAATTGTGAGTTGTGTGTGGTTTTATATGCAGAAAGTGGAGCTACGCTATTGATGGGAGTATGGTGATGAGAAAACAAGGATATATTAGTTGAATGAAAAGCGCTCGCTGATACCGTGGGGATTGAGAGTGCCAATTTGGAAGATAAATTTTTGTTCTAGTGTTTTGCGTCAGCTCTTTTACCTTTTTACGGTAGTCAATTTACTTTTTCAGCTCAGTTGTTGACACTAAATTATGTGCTCTCCAAAGGTTAGGCTGAACTCAAAATCAAAGCAAGCAGCAACTGATATATCCACTTAAAATTACATCTGTTAATCTTAAAAGCCTCTTACTCTTTTCTTTCTCTACAAGGTTCCATCCCCGTTTTTAAGAATGATCTATTACTTTTTTGCCATCATATCATGAGAAATGGAACAACTGCTGAATGCATTTACACGTAAAAGCATGTATAACGTCACATATAATGACAATGCTCTATCACTGAAAAATGAATGTAAAATGAAAAAATTTGGAATTTCGCTAAATGTGCTGCCTCTGCCAGGGATACTCTAGGATTTTCTCCCTCTGTTCATTCTCGGATTTTAGTTAAATTGCCAATATATATATATATATTTCTTTAAAAAAAAAGGAGTAGATCCACCAAACATACCATTGATGGACACAAGATGTGATCCGAAGTCAGGTCTTAAAGTTCTCAAGAGGAAGGATTCCAGATCCATTTTTGCGCTCGTGTTTTTATCTGCATCTGGACGAAAAAAGGCTATCTGTTAGGACAGTTCAACAGCAAATGGAGGACCTTCAGTGATAATGAAATCTGATTTCAGGACTTATTTGTCTCCTAGACGGCCTTAACGCCATTTCCTTTATAAGACCCATATAAGTTTATATATTTTATGTTGCTCTATTTTGCTCTCTGCTTTTCTTTTCATTTACCTGTATCACTGTTTTTTTGTTTTTGTTTGCTTTTTTTTTTTGCTGGTATCACTTATCACTTATCACTTAACCTCAGGGTTACATATCATATTCAATATGGTTGAGGGTACGCTGCAGTATTCATAAAGGAATATTATGTGACTTCTTCGGTGGATAGAACATCGCGTGTTGCTAAAAAGGGGCTGCATATAGGAAATTTCATCTGGAAACAACAGTAACGAAGGAATCAGACCTACCTGTTATCTTTTCCGAGATAACCGTCAACGTATTGAGTAATACCTTTCTCTTACCTCAAATTTACCCCGATAACTCGATCGTTAAGTAAAAACGTTGGTCGTTGAACGTCAGTGTCTGATTGTAACTGATTGATACTTCCCAATCTATGATCACGATTTAACATGATAACATTAATGAAAATCTAGTGCATGTAGCTAAACTTCCCAGGCTAAACGATCTTCTAAAACACAGCAAGAACAGTAAGCGCATGATTCCTTATGTATCATTAACAAGATGATTAAAATTCAACATAAACTCCCGTAACTCAAGCCATTTTTCGTTTCCCTTGGAAGTGTTAGCAGGGTTGTATTCTACACGGAAAAGATTAATACTTAGCCAAAAACAGCCATAACAGACGGCCGTAGACAGCCATAATAAGACAGATGAGGGCCAAATTTTTTTTCTGGGCACATCCTTCGATGCACATATTAAATATATAGTATGCATTCATGGATTCTCGTTGTTAATTGCACAAAAAAAAAAAAAAAAAAAAAAAAAAAGATGAATAGAACACATGTGGATCATTATGAAATTTCGATTACTTTACATGTTCAAATCGTAGCTCTAAAATTGTGTTTCTAGTTTTACCACTACTGCTCAAAGCGTAGTATTTTCTACATATGGAAATGATTGAAAACTTAGTTCTCATTTATGCTCATAGGAAGTACCTTCTGTACTTAAGATATTTTGCCGCGTTGCAGTCTTTCTTCTTTTCCTTGTTATAAAGATGTTTTGATCAAGCAGTTGGTGGGTAAACCATAAATATATATCTTTTTCTCCAATAAATATGTTGAATCTTTCAGTTTCATTCGAGTGCGCCGGTGTCTAACAATTTTCAATGCTTTTAGAGATCATGAATTATCATCTGGCATTCCTCAAAATTTCCATCAAGTTGACGCTTTTTGTCATATTTTTAATGGTCACAAAACACCCGCATGCTACCAGCACTAAGTGATATGAACATGAGGCTAATTTGCTGTCCATTATTATGAGGTTTCACGTACATATCTAAAAGGCGATATTTAAGTATATGGTCTTGGGGGCAAATGTCATCATTATGGATGACGAATAAATGTTTTCATTTCCATAGACTATCGCCTTCAACCCTTCTGATGGCACTTCGTCGCTCATCATATCACATATTGAGCACTTGATTACTGGCCTAAGGGAACAGTGAGTTTTTTTTTCCCCCGAAAACCTCAATGCTCCTTAAGGCAAAGTCGAGGGGAATTTAAAGGTCGAAGGGAAACAAGACTCACTTTTTGTACTCAACATGCCCACTTCTTATCTGGATATAGCTTATACGTTCTTTCTTTCATGCTGCAGGTTTTTAATAGCCTCGAGACTTCTTTGGATGTTAAAAATAAAAAAAATAAAAAAACCTTTTAGACAAGGGCACGCTACTCTAAGATCACATTACCATTTCGGTTACTTAGAAGTGATTACTTTGGCTCCAGAGTTAACTATCATAGAAATTCAGCCTGTAACTTTCAACTAATCAATCTTTTCAAAAATGATAATTTTTATATTCAAAACTGCTCGTACTCCTAGTCCGGTTTTAATTTGAAATCGATATCTGACGCCCTAAGCTTACGTATTTTACCTTAAGACGCACTTGCAAATGTTTGCAGCATCTGATTCATAAAGTAATGTATTGTTGTTATTTACACAAACATGTCCTTAATCTATTGAAACTTTGTGGTAAATGAAAATGTTTTCCTGTAATTTCTATCTTTCCCTTCTTGATCACCCTGTTGTTCTTGTTTTCCCAGAATACTGGTGAATTTTGCTTTTTCTTGTGGAGCACTATGAAACACTCTTGAATCAGCGACGCAGTTACACTTTCGGTAACCCCTTGTCCTGACATTTTGGTCACGCTGATTTATACCTTTGGGCGAAGAGAGGCACCTTTGGCGTAGAGCGTCTTGCACAACAGACAAAAATATCTCCGAATAATAATTGGTCGTCTTTTACCTAAAAGTGCGTTTCTTGAGCTCCTGGACTGTTAGCCATATTGCAAGTGCTTTCGCTTGTCGGTAAGTGGATACTGGGTATCGCAGGAAATCTACTTTTGCATGATTGCAGGGCTTTAATCTCCGCTAGCAGCAAAGCACAAGAAAATAAAAAAGCCTACAGAAGACAGTTATGAAGTCAGTGAGCCCTACTCTGAGGTTTGACACCTGCGTAACATGAATTTCAAGGAAACACACTAAGATGGGGTTATACCATGGCGTATTAACATTTTACTTTGAGTTTTAGAGATTTTTATTCGATATTTTGAAAGGTGATTGAAGATCAATCCATTCAAGATTAGGTTTCAGAGGGTATTTCTTGATTGAGTAAGGGCGACTGGGAGGGGGGCGAGTTTTTTTTTTTAATCATAATTACTTCTATTAAAAATGATCACTTATACCTAGCATCATGTTTTCCCGTTTTGTTAATAAGAGAACTATTTCTAACTTAAACGATAAATTTACCGTACCTTGTTGAAGACTATTTAAAACAACATACGGATACTAGAGAAAGGACAAAGCTTTCAAGTCTGTGGCAATCCTAAGAATCCACGTGATACCTATCACTGAGGTCATCTTAACAAATCAGAGGCACGCTGGATCTACTTTGTTGGTTGATGATTTCTTGGGTTTTCTGCATATTTAAAAGGTGAAAACAAAAAAAATTCTCTATAGTTATTTATTTTAGACTTACATTTACCAAAACACAGTTGTCAGTATACACACAATGTAAAAAATGTGCACTATCTGTAGCTTTCTATATATCTATTGCTAGATTAAACCATTCGGGAGTCCACTGGTGTCAAAGAAGGAAAGTTAGTTGCCTTCGGTGTGTATTTAATAAAGTCTTTGAATACGAGGTTGAAATTAAAGGTACGGTGACCGATCGCATAATGTTAAAAAAATTAGAAAAAGAAGATTGAACAAACCGAAATAAAACTAAGGTAGTAGGTTATGTAATGTTTAAAAAACGAGCAGGAGTGTTTTATCGGGTTTTTGACCCGATGAAACACGTGCTGCGAGTTTTTTGAACGGCTTCAAAAACATTCTTGGAAAAGCGTGTGTCAAGAGAGTTCATAACAATTATGCTTTTGTGAACGTTAGAAATTAGCATACGAAAAGGTCAAACGCAGAGGTTAGCGAAAACGAGTTGGAGTCACTTCTGCCAACTGATCTTGAATTCGAAGTTTCAGATGATGTATTGTCTAATATGCCTTTACCAGATTACTGTACTAATGGAATAGAGAATTTTTGCCAGATGTGTATTTCACAACTGTACTATTAATTTGGTGCAAAAGTAAATTTACTGTGTGAAATTTGTTGAAAGAACATTAAATATGTTCCCACCATTTGTTGTGTCAGTTTCTGTGTTGATAATTAATTAATATTCATAAATCACGTGCTGTGTCTTTATATCTGATAAAACACCGCATACTAATAAGGATAAGGTTTATCGATATAAAGTCACTGCACGTGATGTATTATCTACCATTTGATAGGTTAATGGGCTTATTAATTATTAATGAGTTTTTTAAATATAGTTATATAACTTATGACATCTTAACCTTAGTTGAATGATGAATTAAAAGTGAAAGTTGAATGTTCGATCTTGAGCCAAACTAGTTTACTAAAAAATCTTTTTAGTTATAGCACACTATTTGATGTGCCTATTTACAAAAACTGAATGGCGATTTCCCACGTAAACGTAAACGTTGCTAAAGTTATAAAAAGTGAAACGGAAAGGTCATAGTCCTAATTCCTAGTCATCTTCATCTCTGCTTAAATCCTTGTGTAACTGAAAAAAGCGCGTCTAAGTCCTCTTCTTTAATTTTATAGAACAAATCAAAGCCTATTTGGTTTCAGAACAAATTAAAAAGCGTTCCTTGTATCTTTTTAAAAGCCCGGGCCAAACGGCGAACTTTTCTTATGACGAATACACTGCAAGTTTTGCGCGAAAATGGACGTCAAACTTTACCTGAAACGATTCTATGAGAAATACGTTACAAAAATTTACGTGATAAGTTTGAAAAATGATGAAGTCGCTGGCCAGACGGAAGTCGCTCCATAGCTGCCCTAAAGTTAGAATTCCCGGAACAGGAGGAACATATATTTTGATTGAATAATTCGCATGCCGTAGATCTGATGTCAAGAGAATTTTGAAATCGACATTCTCTTAATGATGTTCTCAATTTAAGGTACAAGGTTTTCTTCATGGAAAGTGTGGCGTGACTTAGGACAAGAAGTCTGTGAATAGTTGCAAATAAAATCGTGCTCGGCCTCTTTGTGCCGTGAGAAAATTTCTGTGAGAATAATGGAAATGTGCCGGTTTGTAAAAAACAACCAATGCTGCTATTTTTATTTTACCATTTATTACCTTGCAAGATCTATAACACGTCCGTTCAGATTTCAGTGCGTAGCTATCCCAGTAGCCAGCTATCTCACAGATGATGTACAGTAGTTTTCATGGCAGCTACTCTAAAAATCAGCTTCTTTCCAGGAGGACACGGCAGTTGAACCCTTACAGAAAACTTTGAGCAGCTTACACGCTTCTCTGATCACTTCATGGAGGGAGTCGAAGTGGAAAAAGTATTCTTGTAATGCAATGAATCGATTCGGAAATGATGAACTGGTTGGGTTGTGAGTTCTAAGGCCTAAAATTTTTATGCGGAGTTTCCCGCTGCTCTAGGAGTGATCCGTTTTTTTTTTTTGCATTTCTGTTTATCAGAGTATTTGAGTTCACCAGAAAAGAGCTGAGAAATAATTGTTTAACCCTACCCATGGTGAATTTAAATAAATAAATAATAAAAAAAATTCTTTTAAAATTTGTGACTTCAAATGAGTCCGTTAATGGGCTACAACTTACCCATGCAAGATGCCCAACATACCCTGAGGCAATTGCTGATTCATTGCCAAACATCTCAGGCGTGACAGTCAAAATAAAAGTGATCTATTCTTAATGCCACTTCATGACATTTGGGCGTGCTATATATAGAGGGAATACTGGCGTCTGGCTCGATGTGCTTTCTGTGATACTCGGAAGCAAATATTTCGCGGATTGAAAAGATTCTACTTAAAGTTCGGTGAGTTTAAACTCTCTTGTTGGTTTAACCCGCAACAAATAGATCCATAGCTAGTCGATATCATATTTACATTTTGTTCGTTTTGAAGTTGATGAAATAGTTATTGCCCCTTGCAATAAGCCTTGTAGAGAGCGCCTGGGATATGTAAAGCGAGGTTATTTCGATCAGCAAATATCTAATTCCAAATCGCTAAGAAGCTAGTAATAATTAGACGGAATGATAGCGATATGATAAGCGGCACCTTGATAATACGATAAGAGTGGATTAAGAGGAAAGATGAGCTTATTCTAAGCTGATGAATCCATTTGCACTCCGTGTAGTCTATTTCGATATTGTAGTGCGAAAATACAAAAAATTTCTACCACTGAAGGAGGTCTTTACAACGCCTCTTTGCTGAATAATTCTCAGACCGATATTACTCTGATGAATAACCTGGACGTAAATGAAATATTTTCATAGGTCAATTATATGCAAGTCTCAGGTGAATAATCAAGAAAACAAACGCACGAACCTCTGAAAAGCCATAGCACTTGTTGCACTGGTAATAAATCAATTAAGCAATAAATATTTCAGATCAAGGCAAATTTGAAACCGTCTTGTCGAATTAATCTTATCATTTATAGCAAGGGGGCAAGCTTCAAAGGCGGTGAACTCTACTCTTCAATAATACCCTTTCAGTCTTACCAGCTCACTGATCCATTTCAATCATTTATCATCTAGACTTAATTTGCTTGTTTATTCTTGTTTGGGAAGTCAGGAGGGTTGTGCCTAAACACGTCAGATTACTTTAACAGTGTTTTACAGGATGGTAACGGAGATACACTTTTCGGAGTATTGCGGTTGAAAGTCATTTCTCAGTCTCAGAGCCTATCCTGAGAGGAATTACTGGATATCTCAAGAGAGGCTGCAGTTATGGGAACAGATCTTTTAATTGAGCGAGCACAATGTTTAAACTTGATAGCTTCTCGAAATATCAAGCAAACAAGCCGCTATCACCTACTGTGCAGGCATTTGTCACGCGTAAATCACGCGTAGCAGGGACATGCAACGAAACACGGAAAAAAATATCTTTCATTCGCAGGTGGTCATTAGAATGTCAATCAACAATAGATCTTCGTGCCAACAACACTTGCTCTTTAGCATTACTCAAGGGTCCTGAAGACAACATTCAATACTCCTCAATTATTAGATAGTTTGATAATATTTGAAGACTATATGGCGTTGTTAAACTTAGCCTAAAATCTCGAAGTAAGGGACAAGTCGCCAAAAGAATTTGGCTCCATACAACGGGGCCTCTGGGACTTCTCTCCTTTGAACATTTATCAGGTTTAGTTTCTGATTATTTTGACTGCACTATTGCATTTATGCTAGCATGGCCCCAATCACTTATGCTGCGTTCTTTATCGTTATCTTCACAGCCTATTAAAAGAGAAGATCAGCATAGCGTCGTGATGGACTTCAAGTATATTTTCTCCGTTCCTCTTACCAAGCAGATGACAAGGACCGAAAAGTTTGTTCAGCGGTCTTGTCTTATGTTTTACTGCTTAGGAGGAGCAACATTTCTCCTATCACCGCAGATTGTGGGCATCGTTTTCACGCTAGACTTGGTGGGCCACTCTGATGGCTACCTCCGCTTACTAGGGCTCGCAGTGATCGAAATTGGCTTCATCTTTATCATTTCAGCGCGCTCATATTGCAGAGGGTCTCGCTATGCGACCATTCTGACCTCAGTGGTCGACCGTCTGGTTTGGGCAAATTTCATATCGTTAATGTTGGTCGAGAAAGGCTTGCTCCCGTTTAGACTCTCCTTGTTTTGGATGGTACCCAATTCCATATTTGCATTGGCCATAGTGGTTATTTGGAGCCAGGAGACGAAGGATGCCTCTGTAAGCAAGTTTTTACAAGAAGTCACCTTGGACATAAAACGGTTTGAAATGGCTAAGACTGAAGGGCTGGTTGCTACTGTTTTTGTTCTGGGAGTCGTTCAATTCTGTTTCTGGTCGCTTTTAGTTATAAGGCCTGATTTTGCTGCGATAATATTCCAGCTAGATAAATTCAGTGGGTTTTCGCAAGGGTTTCTGGCTTCGTATTTCTTTGTGAGATCAGCCCATGGATTGCATTACATGATTGCTGCAAGCAATGGGAACCTGCGTGTTGTCTCTGCCTTTGTTTGTAGCCGAATCCTTTTAAATGTTCCAACGTTTTTTTGCTTGCTTATTTTTGATCAGATTGAGAAAAATTTGTTCATTGCATTGTTGAGTCTTGAGCTTTTGATTTCAACAATCCTTCTCACCATCATTATGCGAGCAAAGCCTTTTAAGGCAGACTACAAAATAGAATAGATCTAGTCACTGCCCCTTGATTTTCTCTTCAGTGTCGTTGTCCGCGCGAAGCTTGGGTCCAAATAGGCGAGTAGCTCTCAGCTCTCGGTGACATCACAGCCTACAATAGGGCCCAGTTTCTACCGCAAAGAGAACACGACGGACTGGCTGCATCTATTAATTGCCAGTTACATTTCATTTTTATAAAGAAAGTAGTACTTCGGGTAAGGAAAAAAGGTAAATTAACTGGGACGGGCGGAAAAGAAAAAAAAAATCGTTATTGTCAACTAAATTCAGGAGAGACTTTCTCAAGTAGAAATCTGGAATTCTGAGTACAAATAATCGGTAACTTTCGATGAATTTGTTTGTAGTAACAATACACGTAAAATTACGTGTGTTCCTTTAGAAAAGTTGTGTCCTCTGAAGTATTTTCCCTTAAGTGTTGCCTTTGGCAACCGTCGTTTTGGTGCGACTTGTTAGCAAGTGATTATTTTGTATTTTAAACATTATCCAGCATTTACATGTACACGAAAGTGCTGTAGTTTAGTACATTGCCTGTGATTTTGTGATGATAAATAAAGCTAATAATTTAGTCTAAAATTGAATTTCTAAACTGGTCATATTCATTTATACGTTTGATCAGTCTGTTAACTTGCGATAGCTTGCGAGGATTTTCAGGTAGAAGTCCTCTTCTTTATCAATATGAATTATCTCTGTGTCAAGAAAGGAAAAAGATGCAAAGTGTAAAGAAATAATTAAAATCTAATTTTAGTGAAATTAATTTCATCATTATTTCCAAAACACACTTTTCTTTTCGGCAAATTTTGTTTTAATTCAACTTTCCTTTGTGGCAAATTATCTTTTACATTTTCATTTTCTTATTTTATTTTATTTTTTTCTTTTGTAATGAATTTATTCCACAAAGATATCTCTAGCCAGCAATACCCTGTTATCTCTCGTTGTCTGTTTAGCTAAAGCCATTAATTATGCTTTTAAATGGGTTCATTTTTGCAAAGTACAAGCGTTACTTAGATACAGAACCATGACATTGATTTGAAATGGCTTACGAACTAAACCACCAATCATATGCAAAATATTTTTATCCCTGTGACGTTATACTTCTCCCGCTTAACAGCGTGCAATTTGAATTGCGTAAAGTTTTCTTTCTGACGGAAAGTCGAGCAACTGACGACATTCTCAGGCTCACCAACGACGAAACGAGTCACTTCGCAGCAAAAGGATGACCGAAACACGATAGTTGCTAAATACCAATTTTGGTGGCGGGAAGCGGGTGATGTCGACACACCGACTTTCCTTCTAATCACGCTTTTGTAGAGAGAGATTTTCCGTTGAAGAGATTGCCATATTTTGACGGAAAATTCCATACACAAGGTACTTAATAATAATAATAAAAAAACGGAAGGAAAAGAAAGAAAAATAACAATTACGAGACACTCATAAATGTCAATTAGATGGATTGCAGAGACAGGTCTTGAAGAAGAATTCGGCTACTTGTAATAATGTTTTGTTTTCCTTATCATATATTACTACAATTATATATACCTTTCAGCTTAAGGCTTACTTGAATGCGAGGGCTCTACTTCAACCTAAAAATTTTAATTTGAATACATTATAGTTATTGATTTTTCCTCTCTATAAGAGGCGTTAAGAAAAATTGATTTTTTGCAATTAATTGGTGTAAATTTTTTTTAAATGGTTTGACTGACCGTGAACTTTCTCTTGATTATTTCCCGACTGAAAGTTTGTTCTTAAAGGATGAGGGATTTTTTCATGAAAAGGTTCACAATACGACTCAAAATTGTATTTTAGAAAACGAGGATATCACCATGGGAATTTGGTTCGCCAAACTTGCGGGCCATACAGTTGACGCTTCACGATCATTGAAGAACCCACACGTGGTAGCCTCATACGCCCTGTTTTTTGGTTTCATCGGGTTCATTTTATTGGTGTGGATCAGTGCGTTTGTTTTGACCATTGCGAGAATTTGCAAAAAGTATTCAAATGCAAGGAAGCACGACGAAACGCATCGTACGGTAAGAAAGTTAAGCCTTTGAAGGTTTGTAAATCAAACACAATGCTGGTTGACAAAAAAACTTGATTTTCCAGTAAGGAAGGCCTTACACCAACGTTTGGGGGCATTCCACGGAATTGGGAGACTCGAGGATGAATAGGCGAAATAGATTACCTAAATTTTGTCGCTTGTGGTATTCACCAGTTTAAAACTCTTCAAAGAAAGAAAACAACAAAACATACCAAACCGAAAACAATGAAAAAATAAATAAATAAATAAATGAATAAACAAATCTAGAACAAGGACAATAACAACAAATTCTACTCTCTCTCCCCCATAAAAAAATAGATAATCAAATAATCAAAAAGACAAACAAACTAAGAAAAAACACTAGGATAGGAAAAATTGCACAAGCCCGGGAAACACAGAAAAATGAAATGAACCTAATTTTCTTTCTACAGTTTCGTTTTCATCTTCTATGATCTATGTATTTATACAGACAACAATTGACCTCCAAGTCGTAAAGAAAGTTGTCGGAGACGTAAGAGGCTATCAGAGCTATCAGCAGGCAGATATTGAAAGCGTGGAATTGTTAGGTCAGTGAAAGAAATGGTTTTGAAACATAAAAACTCCTTTTTTTTCCTATTAGGAGCTTCAATTCTTTGTCAATTCTTAACGAATCGATGCTTTTCGCACATGTACCATTGCCCTTTAAATAGAAATTTCTCAGTTCCTTTCATGGGAATAGCTATTGGGGAACGAAGTAAAGAATGTCATATATATATTTTCCAACCAAAGCAAGCAGCGATATAACGGGTACAAATGGTTTTGTTGTATTGAAACACTAGTCATGCGATTGTCATATATCTCAGAAAAAGGAAATGCCTAATTAAACCTTTTTTTTTTAAATTTTCTTTTATATATCATGTTATGCAGGAGATAATCTCTTGTCTTACCATAGCAGAAATACAGCTTCTTCAAAGAACTTGATTTCATCTTTACGTGCTACTAACTTAATAACGAGTTCGAGGATTAAACGACAATTAAACGACACCTTTCTCTATCCTTTGTAATGAAGAATTGGGTCTCTGAGCTCGTTACTGAGTTACAAGCAAGTCACTATTGCAACTGTTTCATACGATACTCTCTACCGAAGCCCTAAGACTCAAAAAACCTTAAGAGGCTCTTTAAGCTATCAACAAGATATCAGATTGCTGCGAAGATATGGTCTTTTTGGCGATCACTGAGAAAGTTTGAAATGAAAAGTTGTTGAAACTAGGTTTTTTAATTCTTGAGCATGTTATTCCATTCGACCGACAATACTCCGTTTTTTCTTCAGGGGTGTCGAGCGAAACACCAGCCAAGTTAGGAATCCAGTTAACTGGTGGGCCTAACGTTACCAGAAATGGCGAACAAGGAATATTTGTAGAGAATGTTAACTGGGGCAGTGTCGCTGAAGGAAAACTGTTCCCTGGAGACAAGATAATAGCGGTAGTGCGAAACTCTTTTCAGTCCGCTTCATAAAGAAAGAAAGAAAGAAAGAAAGAAAGAAAGAAAGAAAGAAAAACAAAAAAAAACCAGAAAAACAAAGAAAAGAAAAGATATATATGAAATAGGGAAAATAATAATTATGAAAAAAAGGGAAAAAAACAAAAAAGGAATCCTTTTCCATTTAGATCAACGATGTTTACCTGGGAAAAGTATCTGTAAAGTACGCAATGGAAGCGATGCATGCTATGAAGCGAGCAGAGGGTCATTTGACAATCTCAGTCAAGAGAGCCCAACTTAGAGAGGTATGTTTTAAACGTTAAACACCCAGGATTGATTGGTATGTAACTTCTTAAACTATCTGAAATACGGACAAAATTTAAAAAATATAAGAGAACAAGGTTCCGGGAAACGTTTAGTGATAATTGAAAAATCATACAGTACCAATGTAATTATATGGTAAAGCTGCTATCTTAACCTAGCACCAACTTCAGACTTTTTTAAGAATGGCAAAATAATCAGCGAATTTTTTTTTCGGTTCTCGGTGAGAATAAAGTACGTATCCGCCCATGTATAAATCGTCATAAGCGATAATAGACTTCATGGTGGAAAATGCACAGGAACGTTGATTTAAGAAAAGGAAGGATCTAAAAATATCTACATCCATAAAAGCTTTCGCGCAGTATATGGCCCATGTTAACGGCAATTTTCATTCAGATGACCTGTAATATCTTTCAGCAAAGGGTCAACGAAGCATTTTCAATGTACTGCGACGATGAAGATAGAGAAAAGCCATTTGTATTCAATAAGGAACAGGTGGAAGGTAGGAGATTTTTTTCCGCGCGCCCGAGAGAAATGCCCGAAAGAAGGTACCTGATTGGAGAATGCATTCTACTCTTTGTTACAACAAATCGAAATCTTCTTATCCTTAGTATAATTCACCCTAAATGCGCTGTTTTTTTTTATGACAGAGGTGGTCGATACAATCATTTATTATAATCATTATTATTGTTATTTTTATTATTTTTATCATGATTATTATAAATAAAAAGAAATAAAAAACTAAATTGTTTGACAAGGATTTACAGATGTGAGGATCCGTAAATGTACGAAAGTAAAATTACGATGATTTTTAGTGGTTTAAATATCGCCAACCAGCTACTAACTCGTTAATCGCCTTTTGCGCCACTGTGGTAGGTTGATGAATGAATAATAAACATGTCAGTAAAGGCCTATAATGTTAATATGATATACGTTGCTCGTGTTCAACTCGATATTTCATTTGTTCACCGCGTGCACTCGTGAAATATCGACTTGAAAACTCGAATAGAAATTCCATAGTTACTTGCGCCCATGTATTACTCTCTAATTAATTAACTCTAATGCATCAACGCATTCACTAAAGCAACGTACTGGTCTGTTTTTGCGTTATATCTCCTGTCAAAAAAAAAATGAGATAGCGATGACCATCTCCAATATCTTTCTTGTCTAACTATAATCTTATCGCAAAAAGAAACAGTAGTTGCAGTTTGAGTACTGTAAACTTATGTTCATTTATTTGTTTTTGTTCTTGCAGTCTTCGAAGAAGCGTTCTCTATGTTTGACGCGAATGGTTCTGGTGTGATTCATTGTAAACACTTTTTTCCGCTACTCCGAGACTTAGGCTACAACGTTCACAAAGAACAAGCTTGGTACTACATGAATAAATTGGAATTATCAGGTTTGTCACGTGATTTTCGAAAAAAAGACCTAAAAACAAACGTTATACTGTCTATTGATAACATTCCTTTAACATTGAGATATCCTATTTGATATCTCAAGGAATTGGACAAAATGTGATGCACTTCCATTGGAATGTTCAAACAACACTGAGCTGAAAACAATTAACGTTGCACACATAGGATGTTAATTTGTTATTCAAATTTTTATGCCACAGTCGAGAAAGGTATCTATCTGCGATAAGTACATTCTCATCGAAGTTACAAGATCTGATGTATTTACTTCACTAACTTATTCAAGATCTGCATTTTCAATGTCGTTTCAGACAAGCGAATGATAACCCTGAATGAAGTGATACAGTTACTGGAAGAAGTCACAGCAGAGCAGAAGGAGTTAAACGAGGTGCATTCTGTTTACAGCGTGTTCGACCCGGAACAGAAGGGTCGTGTGGCTCTCTGTGAAATACATGATGCTCTGAGCACATTGTACGGGCAAAAAATAACCGAGGAAGAAGTAACGGGAATACTTACTTTTGCAGACGAAGAGAATAACGGTTTTTGTAGAGAACAAGGTGCGAGACGAACATTTAAAATGATAAAGTTGCCAATGTTGCAAAATGATAGCGATGAATGAGGAAAAATTTAAAAACTGGTACTGAAAGTTTGGGATTTTTTTTCCTTATTTATTGCTGGAGGAGAACCAGCAAACTTTAAAATCTCAGGAAGTTATGTTCAAGCAGTTTGCCCCCGAGTACGCCAAAGTTGAAGGACCATATTGTCTCTTTGACTTCAACATATCCTTTTTGGCTTGCATTTTCAAGTTTTCATGATGACTAGGGGTTTGACAATATCTTTTGGCCGCTTTCATCTATGAAATATTACTGGCCTTCACTCTAAACATTCATTCACATATTCATTTGTTTATCCGCGTACAGATTTTGAAAGGCTGCTTCTACCTTCACTAAAACTTTATTAGAATCTCTGAAGATTTTTAAAAGAAGAAGAAGTGGGTCGAGCTATTCTTGCGCAGAAGCGAACACAAGGGCGAGACTGGCTTTGGGGATCAATTTCCCGCCTCTCTCTTGCAGCAAGGAAAAGAATGAACTACATACGTTGTAAACTATGCTTCGATGGACCCATGATAAAATAACGTTGAAACAGTAGCTATTAGAAGCTTCTTACCAGCTAAACAAATCCGATTTTATAAAGTGTGCGTTCTCTGAAATTCTTGAAAAGTCAACAAGCGAAAAAAAATGTATTAATCAACCAGAGCCATACCACTTTATCTTTTTCATTATTTTGATAGATTATTAATTTTTTTTGTAGTTATAAGACGTGGTTACCATCATATTTGTATAACAATATTTCAACATAAGAAAAATTATATTTGGACTCACCATTCCAAAAATAATAATTTCAGTAATTGAAAAGAAAAAAAATTTTAAAATAAGAAAATGTAACACTTGGTTTATGATATCAGTTACATTGTTTAAAGCATTTTCATTTCCTCTTGCAGCGTTGTTCCTGAAATTTCCCCTCTTGTTTATTTAGAGCATTGCGCTGTTTTTCAGTCTTAATTGAAGTTGATAAAACCATAACAAAATATATCTTTCCTAATCTTACTTATTTCACCAAATTTATATAAACCATAGAGATTTGGTAGTAAGTGCTATGAGTACATAATTTCTGTGAGATACATGTACTTTTAAAGCTGAAATGTAATGTATGAGGGCATGAAACATATTGATATATTTCATGTCATCTCAAATATGAGGCAGAAATCATATCGTAAGTCGTTTTTGTTTGCCACTCACACATACATGAATTTTCAGTTATTCAAATTGTTTCAAAGGTCGCCCGAACATTGTTAAAAGAAAATATTCCTTACGTCATTTAACTCTAAATTAAGTTCAGAGCGAAAAAAATTATTCGTAAATTACACCACACAAAAGTAATTCAGAATATTTGGTTTTTGAATTGTCATTTTTGCCAGGTTACTTCGGAACGAATGTCAATTATTTCTGTTTATACTTATTTCTACTGTTAAATTTTTTTATTTCACATGAGGGCGGACTCTCGAAAAGGAATTACAAGCAATCTAACGATAAATTATCCTTCAATTCACCACTGTTTTTGATCCTAAAAATCGATGTATTTAGCTCAAAGAAAGGTATCTGTCTTTTGATTTTTTTTTGTCGAAGTTTAACAGGAAACACCGCCCAGAGCAAACAAATGATACTGAATGCATTTGTGTTTTGCCAATTTGATTCCACTTTGAAGTTTGCCGTTCTGTCACTCAACATGAACATTTCCCCGCCTAAAGTACTTGTTTATTGTCTAATACTAACTACGTCCCCCACTTCATAAGTTCGTAGCCAATAAAATTAAAAGCAACACCACCTGCCAGTTAAAACTTTAAAATGGAAACTCTAGTAACGAGGTTATTTCAAAAGGCTTTCTCGAACCCTCTGAGGACAAAATGAAGTTAATAGAGCTCTTATATGATCAGTGCGTTTGAAATAACCTCCTTTACCCTTTAAATTTTCGCGTAAGGGAAGTTAAAAAGCAATTTTCAAATTTAAACTAATTCCTGCCATTCCTGTGTGTATTAGAAATCCGTAGAAATAATGAGAGGAAGTTTAATTTTGGTGATACTTCATTTGGAAGTGACGATAGTTGTATTCATATGGAAAAACAATTTTAATGAACTTAATGAGATACACCTGGATAAATGCTCATTTGGTTTGCTGGACGACGGTCAGTGTTTGTACTTAAATGTAGCCACGAAGATCTCAACATTGCCGTCAACACATTATAAAAGGATTGTTCGAAAAATCGTAAGGTAGTTCCTCAGAAGAATTTTTGTAGCCATGGGTAATCCCAGTTAAGTCTTGCTTCGAGTGTCTTTCTCAAGCGTACAAGAGCGGAAGAGAAACAGCCTTTAATATTGTTGGTATTGAAGATTTCAAGAATATCATTTCGAAGGTAAACTGATGTATAATACTCACTGAAATCAAGTGCACGCAGCCAGGATTTTATGCTCAGAAGTCTTCCCAGCTGAGAAATGTCAAGATAGATACATGAATAATTTTCCATAATATTCCACGGAAAAACAAAATACATTTTGAAACTGCTCTTCTACAAAATGATAATTGAATGCAAAAGAAAATATATATTTTCAAAATTTTTTTTTCTGGACAAATACCAAATGCTTGTCCTAACCAAGGACATCTATAGATCAATGCATTTACGAAATAAAAAAAATCGAATGCAATTTACTGGCCTAAAATCTACTTTAAAATTAAAGTTTATACTTCCCATTTGTTTTTTCTTTTATTTTTATTTTTGAAAAAATTAAAATAAATGTTACTTTATTCAAAGCGAAATAATCAAGTACTCTTTTCGCATGAGACATAACGTCATATTTAACTGGCTGCAGTCAGAAGCCGCCTAACCGCAAATCCGAAATTGTATGTATTTATTTTGGCAGGACGCCGTTTTAATGAGTTTCTTGTCAGTCAAAACAGTTTATCTGGATTCTAAAGAGTGTTTAGAAGACAAAACAACTCAACCGCACGGAATCGAACATGAAGAGGGAAATTTTAGCTCGAAAGATTTGAAAGCAAAAGCAAATAATGACAAGGAAATCAAGCAAGAAGACGAAAGTTATAAGCCAGTGACAGGAAGTAATGACTGGCGATTTCCGACAAAGGAAAAAAGTAAGGGAAAGTCTATGATGATTTCGCCAGTATCAGCGAACTCTTCGACGCTGATTGCGATAGGCAAGGGAGATGGAAAGACCAGAAAGATCGAGAGCGAAATGTTTATGTTAAAGCGTTCAAGTTCGGCACCGAATTGTTCCTACAAGCGGGCGAAAGTAACTAAACAAAAGTTTCGACTTCCTTGCATTCCCGATCTACAAGCATTGTCAATCAACGGGGAGCACCCAATTAAAGCGCTCTTCGTGGAGGGTAAAAAGCTTGGATCCGCGAGGAGGACGGGTATTTCACCAGATGCCCATGATAAGAATCAAGAATTGCCGAAAACTCACCCAAAAAGAATCATAAACAACAACATTGATAATCTTGCAAGAAAACCAATTCCCGGTATTGTAATCGACGGCAAGAAAGAACGTCACCATGGAGACTGGTACGAAGATGCACTGCCAGCCATTAACAAAGCTGATTTGCGCGTCAAGTCAGCTTATACCAGCTCGAGCAAAGTTTTTAACACTTACTTACAATCAAGATTTGGTAAAAGCGTTTACAGAGGCAGTTTCAGGAAAACTGGCACCAGCGGTGACAAAACTTTTCAAGTTTATTGGGCGCCAGTATTGATAAAGAAAAAAGTTTTAAACTACCGCACTACTCCCTCTAACTGCTCTCAAGAAAACGGTGGTGAAGCGATTGCTGTGGAGGAGGTCAGCAGCAAGCAGAGGAAGATTTTGATCGAGGGAAGTATTTATAATCCAGGAGGGGCTATGAGTCTAGTTCAGAAGTGAATTTTGAAACTCTTCACGCAGTCCTTTTAGTGGGCAATTGGGCAAATACATCAATAGGCAAAGAAAGTGTTAATCAATCAATTTATGGATATATATTTGCATAAGCACTGTAATTATCCCTAATTCATCTGGTCTAACTTGCTATCTCATGATGGACTAAACTAATATTATTTTCTGGCGAAAATCTTAAGAAATTTCAAGAGGTTTAAAATGAACTAGCTTTAAAATTGATACAAAAGAGAAACTGTTAACTAAGTAGCCCTTGTTTCACTAGTGTATGTTCAAGAGCTTCTTTACGCTTCTTTTATCGACTTTTGCGCAATAGGATTTTTTCTTTTTTCTAGTGACCACTAATACAGTTAACCGGATTCCAAATAACATAACTAATTTTACCTGTTCGTATCCATAGTCAACACATTTTAGCAGATATACATTAGTGAATCAGCGTTTATGAAGTGAGAAAATTAATGAAGAATTGAATAAACAGTGGGTATAATACAGTTAATGTCTGATTGCTTAAATTATTTTCTTCGTTCCCCAGTCCTGAATTTTATATTATATATTTTCACGCGTTTGGTAACAAACCACCAAGTTTAGTATACCACGATCGAAGTAATAAATTACCTACGAGACTCAACTTAAAAATTCCTCCAAGATTGCCATCCTAAGTTTTAAAATTCTAATTTCTTTGCATGGCTATCTAGGGGCGCAAAGCCTTTCAACTGCACGTTCTCTAAGGTATCCAGTGACCTTGTTAAAGGCAAGGAAATATTCATTCGATTTTCTGACCAATTCTTGCATGTGCATACGATGTTTTTCATGCTTCTTCGAAATATTCGACTCTGTGCGGCATAAACAAAGGGATTTGTACACGAATTTATTAATATTAAAAAAAGAAGAACCTTATTTATCGTATACATTATTTCTGCTTCTAATACATAGTACCACACAACATAAAGAATCAGGTTTGGAATCCAGCAAATTCCGTAGATTATTGTTATTGTCAAAAGCATTTTGGTGACTTTCTGTCTCGATTTCCTCGTGGCTAATGATCCATGTTGCCTCGGTAATATCTCTCGTCTTAAATGCAGTATAACTTTCCCGTAGAAAAATGCCATAAAGCAGAACGGTGCTATTCCAACCAAAATTAACCAAGCGATATTGTAACTTTTTGCAAATGTCACATTTTGCCAATGGCTTTCGCAAATTCCACGCTGTTGATTGAGGCTTCTGACGTAAAACAGTGGGATGTTGAAGATAGCGGAAAGAAACCAACCGAGGCCAACGAAAATCTTTAGTTTTCTGCGGTTTAGCTTTGATCGTGTTCCAAGAGGAAAAGTAATGGCAGCGTATCGCTCGTAAACCAATACTACCAACGTTGTCGCTGAAGACACCGCTCCAACCCAGGTGAATGTATCAGAAGTGATTGTTTTACATAAGATGGTTCCTTGCAAACCTCGAGGATGATGGTATAGTCCTTCGAGTATATGTCTAGGAGTGAAAGCTATCATGATTATCATATCACTTATGGCGAGATTCATTAGAAGATAATTGACTGGTGTCCTTAATATCCTGTTTTTCAGGATGGTAAGACAAACCAAAAGATTGCCCAGCAAAGCTGTCAGCACCAGCGAAGAGTGGACAACTTTGGTAATGAAGTTCTCTGTCTGCATGTTCCTCCTTTCAGGTTGCTGTTTTAATTTAAAGCTGTTGAGGTGAAAAGAAGGTGCATGACCATCATGATGTCTTAAGTAAGCATTTTTAGGCGTCGACCAAAGATATATATATTATAAAGCAAGAGAAAATGATCTATATATATATATATATATATATATATATATATATATATATATATATATAATATAATATCAAGCAAGAGAAAATTCTCAATTTATATGTCTGACCGACTGTCAAAATACCAGTCTCCAAGTTCTTGTTCAGATTTCATTTAGATTGAACAATGTCGCGTACTTGTACCTTATCTGATTAGGTATTGTGCGCTGAAAACAAATATGTGAAGATCAAACATATACCACCAATATTCTCAACCAGCTCGCATCACAAGTCGAAGTCGTTTTCATTAAAATGAAGCCTGCGTGAAATGAAGTAGGTACTTGGCTGAATGTTTAACTTCCAACTTTTATGTCTGTTCTTTGCGCCAATCTGCCCAATTGTCATTGCGAATGCTCATGCAGTGTACTCACTTGGGGGCAAATAAATGAAAAAATTTGTATCGTAAAAAAGGGGGTGGAACTAAAATTATGGGTTTAACTGTTGAGGTAGTTTAATTAATTAACGGATTACTAAGAGAACAATCGGGGAAATATTCGCTTTTGTCTCATGAATCTTACAATTTGTTACAGTTCGGAGCTTAGAGAGGTACGTAACGGCATACATGATCGAGTGGAGTGAAATGCCAAGAAAAAGTAATGAAAATTTGATGCGTTTACAATTTAGGGGATGCCAGGTAATACGTAGTTTAGTTATTTAAAGATTTTTGAGACTTTCAGAGACTCGAATACATGATACGTGTAGAAACAAATGAAAATCAATCGACTCAAACAGTATTGCTTGGCCAGCTGTGATAAAGACTTTGATATTTTATTCTTCAAATGAAAAAAGAGCTTTCGTATTTTTCATTAGTATTAAAGTCACTGTTGAAGATGAACGCTACATTAAAAAGAATATATTGATGCGAGAGACGATCAAGTCTACTCCAGCTCTAACTAATTTATCTTTTCAATTATCTCGCTAGCTGGAAATCACGGTTGAAAGAACTAATTTAGAAGAGCTTTATGATGAAACAAGGGCTTTCGTGTTTCTTATACGTATCGAAATCACTGTTGAAGATGAAGGCTACCTTAAAAAGAAAGAATTTATGTGAGATACAGTTAGGTCGTTTCAGCTCCAATCAATTTATTTTTTCAGTTATCTCGCCAGCTGGAAATCACTGTTGGATAAATTTATTGTAGAAGCGCAGTTATAATTAATGATTTGTTTCGTGGATTTCTTTATCCACAAGAATAATGACATATCTGATACCACTGAAACCTAGTCAAAGAAGTTAGCACGCTATCATTACATGGTACATGTCAAGGTTCTTGAAAGTGAACCACCCACGTGCAATGTACATCTGTGTACCAAGCGGTAGCATATACGTTTATCAGGTATAACATGGTAACTCCCGTAGAATTAAGCTTAGAAGACCCTGGAGTATACACAAAAGTCTAGATAATCTGCCGAAGAGATAGGTGGAAAATTTATCTTGTGATTAAAAGAGAGTAGTGAGGGAAACTGTCATATGAATGTTGCCGTCCCTGCATTCATTTTTGCGCGAGTGCTGTTTCACATGCAGTATGCTCACTTGGAGTAGATCATATTGTCCTCCCTTTCAATTTTCGACGTTTACTGCTCGGAACAATGTCAAATTCATTTGGTTAATGCAGTGTGGCCCAATCTGCGTTTCATGCGCTATGGTCTGGCCAAGCACTTGGCACATGAAATACACATATGCTGAAAACATTTTAGGCCATGATATATTATGCTCGGACAAGAAGTTACTTTCGTTTGCACATTTTACCTTCGATCATCAAGGTCTGCTTTAAATATCCTACCTACTTGGTTTGATATCCAAATACATCTAAAACTCATGTGGCAAGGAAAATGTTGCTGCTTAGGATGCCGGACCCAGATTTTTGTGACATATTTCACTGAGATTAAAACAAGATTGATAACGTACTACCATTCATACCTCAGGTATATTAATCCAAGTTGTGTCAGCTTTGTTTGTTTGGCAACAGCTGAAGACAAATCTTTGTTTTAGTGACCACCCAAATTCTCTGCTGCTATAGAAAATTGATTCTTAAATTAAAGACACTGGACCATAGATTTCTCCCTTTCGCCTTACGTTATGCCATTTCGGAAACATGACAGAAATAGTGTTTAAACTCCGGCCCGAGCGGAGAACGCTCAATAGTTTTTAATTTTATGGTAATTTGTATTTTCCTGGAGCTCCTCCTTTTTGTCATTACCTTTCAGTAGCGATCTCAAACACAGCCAAAATTTTTTCCATCAATTATAACTTGTTGATCTCCACTTTCCGTTGCAGCTCCAAAATGATTTCACGGCTAAAATTTTACAGTCACTTACAGCGGATGAGGATCATTGACGATTCATGAACGTAGAATAAGTGACATGTCAAGAACATATTACGAAAAAAAAAAAAAAAAAAAACTCGAAAACCAGCCAAAGTCTTACAATTTTTATTTTCTTTTTCGCTTATATTTCACCACGAGTCATTTGCAAAAGATTTTTAAAGCGGTTGATGGAACAAAATATTTGGACATCAAAAGAAGACAGCTCTGTTATGCGAGTAGTGTCTTCCATGTATCTGCACTTATTGAAGTAACCCTTTCACAGACAGATTTCGAATGTTGACGAGAGTCACGCAAGTAACTTTAAATGTCAGTGTCAACTCATTATCCCTTAGCTGACGAAAAATACCAGAAGGACAAAAGCCATTAATTAATTTCGAATTTCCATACCAGAGACAATTACATTCTACAGCTCGACATGCTCTTGGCACGGAATTTAAGCTATTTAAAACACCTTTCCTCAAGTTTCTATACCTGATAAAATGAAATAAAAGTGATGCACAAGAAAAAAAATCACATTCTTACTGACCTCTGTAAGTCAACCTTCTTTTATTTCAATTTATTGAGTACCGAAGCTCGCTATGTCGGTTCAAGCTGTTCTGTTGTTGTAAAATTTAAAGTAGCCATTTGCCTTTGAACATCATTACCCAGAGTGAACTTATTTCTGGTAAAGGAGAATAATCGCAATTTCTATATTTTACTTACTGAAAACTGAAAGAAAAATTTATGCCTCTCTAAATTTTACACACCCATGTTATCGTTTCTGAGTTTATCACGAACTTTCTTAGTGAAAATTGAATAATCTGTCTTGATGTCAACCTCTTCATCAGGATACACTCACCTTTTCCAAACTAAAAAGTAGCTCAAAACAACAAAGTCGTGTTGAACTTGCGCTCCTAATGAACAGAAGCACACGTTTTCGGTTGAAATATGCGAAATTAAAACAGGCTGTTCGGTTTGCAGAACATTACATAAACCAGTAATTAAGATTGCTTTGCATTAGAATGGCTATACATGTTCACTTAACTAGCCCCAAAACCATCAGTAGTTCTCTTGAATTTTTCGAATATGTTTGCAGATTATCCCACAAGTTTTTCAACGCGTACATAATGTTCTTGACATGGCGTTGGAACTGAAGACGGCGTATCGAAATTTGAAGCCTTAAAAATACAAAGAACAGCCAGATAATAACTGGCAAATATATTCGTGCTCAAAATTCGATTCAGAGTACTCATTATTAGTACAGCGTACTAAACTTTGAGTGACAAGTAAAATGAACGTATTTAACAAAAATCGTGTGTAACAACTGTAAATATATGAAAATCATTGTGCACTGCAGTTGAAGAAACGTATATAGAAGCCACCCACGCAGTTATGAACATAACTAAGTAGTAGTTAAAATAAGGCCTGAAAAAATTCAGGCCAATTCAGGCCAATTCAGGCCAATTCCAAAAAATTCAATTTAACTACTAGTTCAGTAGTGTTAATAACTGCGAGGATCGCTTCTGTATTCAAAAATCGTGTGGTCACTACTGTAAATAGCTATTAAAAATATCGATGAGGATGTGTTCATGTTTTAGTTACTTTCAAAAGTAAACCAGGTTGTTGAATTGTTATGATTAGAACACCTCAACAATAGATGACCGCATCTCGGAAGAAATGTAACCATTATGACATTTCTCCTTATATGGAGATGGATGGATTTGGATGAAGACCACATAAGTTCAAGTCCATACACAAATAATAATAATGATTTATTGCTAAAAATGGAGGGTTTGATGTTGATGTCTTATTAAACCAAGCGAAGTCCAATTATTTTTCATCAACAATACATTGAAACAAAATTTTAAAAACACATCCTCTTTGAGTTAATTACAAAGTCCAAAGCGGACGTAGCAGTTTTTTTTTAATTGCTACACTCAAAACGCCTTAAATAATACCCCTTTTGTCCTTTTGAGCTGTAAAACTCAATTAAACCAGACTACGAAATATGCCTTTTGTTCCAGCATGGATTATAATTAGCAAGCTTATTAGCTTGGAAAAAAAAGTTTATAAAAAGCATTTACCAATTAAACTCTTCCCGCTGTGGATATTTAGCTGAGGACTGATAAAAATAAGTTTTCGCAAAGCATGCAGTTGACGTCAGGTAAGACGATTTATCGAAATCTAAGTGGAAATATGCTTTCGAATCTACTGGGTTTGCCTTTTATCAGTTGTGTTATTCTTCACCACTTCGATCTATAACATGTAACGTATTGATTCTAGGTAATTGGAACAATCGTACTAACTGTTGTAGTGAATTTATGAAATTGTAAATTAGCAAATGACGAAACTGCCAAGAACTTATTAACGTCGCTTAAGGCATTGAAAACAAATACAAATATTACGATGGGAGAAAAGAGGCACTTTTGTTAAAAGTACCTTTTCTTATCTCATTGTAGATTCATGGTATCTACGACACTTTGCAATTTCCCAACGTCTCGGAACCCAACGAACAGTACGAGGTAAGTGTTAACTGGTATCTTTATACAGCATGTGAAAGGGACTGTACTTTTGTATCAAGGATGTCACAAATTTAGCCAAAGGAATCGCCGAAAAATAGCACGATGCGAGATCAAACTTTAAAATGTGCTCAGCAAGCTCTCTCTGTGAATGGCACATTAAGCTTAACCTAAAAAAAAAAACTGCTCATGATGAAATAAATTTGCGAGGAAACAGAAAGAAAAAAGAAAAAGAAAAGTGTCCAGTCCGTCGGCTTCACATTCGTAATTCTAACCGGATCTTGAAGAGAACTTTTAAAGATGAGAGCAATCTGTAACATCTTAAGCAACTGAATGTCTCTGATTGTTACCCCAAATGACTATTAGCTGCTGCACTTTCTGATGCACCTTCGTGGAGACTCTATCGGCTTGTTCATGGAGGACTGGCAGCTATAAAAAAGTCTCTTGCACTCTCGGTAAGTTAAAAAAAAAATGGCGACTTCCTCCACATCGCGCAAGAAGGATTCAATAAATGATAAAAACGCTTGTAAAATACCATTTCCAAGAATTTTGAGCTTAGTCTTTACCTCTAAATACAGATAAGCTCCTATAAAAAGATCAGGATCCTCATATCATGATACTTTCTTTATTCACTCCGAGCTTAATATCCATTAACTGATTTTTTTTACCTTTCCTTTTTCGTTTTCTTTTTTTTCTTAACTTCGGTACAGCTTGTAGGTGCGATCATCTCATACATTGCCGTGTTACTAACCCTGCCAAGTTGAAATTAAGGAAAAAACAAGCGAACGAAGAAAATAGGAAAGAAAATTATGGAGGAAAGTAAGACAAGGAAAGAAACAAGTTGTAACAATAATACTGTATGGAATGAATGTAGAAGAAAACGATTAAAAGAACTGAGAAACTGCTCTTATAACAAGATCAGGATCCTCATATCATGATACTTTCGCCCTTCGGAATGATTCATTTGTGAAAATGTTTAAATCCATTAACTGATTCTTTTTACCTTCCCTTTTTCTTTTTTCTTTCCTTTTTTTTTTCTTTTTTCTTTTCTCTTTTTTTCTTTTTTCTTAATTTTAACAGCTTGTAGGTGTGATCATCTCTTACATTGCACTGTTACTAACTCTGCCAAGTTGAAAAAAAGGAAAAACCCAACAAGTGGAAGAGCTCTCAGAGTGTTAAGGATACTCGTTATATTCAGACTTAGCAATAATTCAGTGTGTAAATTTTACTTGATTACACTCCTTCTTTTACAAACCAAATCAGATTCGGTAAAATCAGTCTAATTTTGCTCATCAGAGTCGGAATCGAGACTAAAACTCCTTTTACCTAAGAAATAAAATGGTGCCTTTTCAAACGTACATTAAAGACAAGAGAAATACATACCTTGTTTCCTGTATTTCCTTCAAAGTCACTATCACGACGAACGGCGAAAGCTCCTTTGAATTTTACAAGAAACCTGCGAAAAAGCCGCTTTTCGTACACCACCAGTCTGCCCTACCAAAGCGCTCAAAGACCAACTTCATCCGCAACGAACGGAGGCGTATACAGCAGAGATGTTTAACCCAAATAACATCCAACAAACACGACCGCGACTTCGACAACATTCTCCGCCTCAACGGATATCCAGAACGCACCATACATGAAACAAAACACCTGCAGAATCACCAAAGAGACCCCCAAACACAGACAAAAGAGTGGCATTATCTCAAAATCCCGTTCATCGCAGACATCAATTTATGCCTACAGAGAAACACCGTTTATCAGCTCACGTGCAAAGCTTGTGGCGAATATTACATCGGAAGCACGACACGATTCCTACATGATCGAACAAAAGAAAACTTGACCAACGACAACTCGACGGTAAAAAAACATCTCACAACACACCATCGCAACAACAGCCATGACAATGAAGTCAAAGTAATCACGCGTGAAAATGACCCCGTCAATCTGCGATTGTACGAAGCGTATTACATCAGAAAGCACAAGCCGGGACTGAACTCCCGTGAGGAATGCACTGAACTTAACGATCTTCTATTTTAATGAGCTATTTTAATTAACTGTTTTAAACACATATTTTAGAACATTTTATCACGCAATATGTTTTCATGCGTCCTACTAGCTAGTTTTACACTATGCTAATTTACAGTGGCACCTCCAACGTTTAAAACCATAGCGCAAATATTTTATCGTCCTCCCTGATGTTGCCGTAGAACGGCGAAAGCTCGGAGTGAATAAAGAAAGAACCACAGTACTTAAAGGTTTCATTTGATCAATATCCCACATAACTAATATATTTTACCTGTTCGTATCCATAGTCAACATATTTTAGCAGATATACATAAAAGAATCAGCGTATATGAAATGAAAAAATTAATAAAGAATTGAACAAACAGTGGGTATAATACAGTTAATGTCTGAGCATTTACATTGTGTTTTTTCATCTCCAGTCCTTAATTTTATATTATATATTTCACGCGTTTGGTATCAAACCACCAAGTGTAGTATACCACGATCGAAGTAATAAATTACCTACGAGTCTCAACTTCAAATTTCTCCAAAATTAACTTCCTAAATTATTAAATTCCAATTTCTTTGCATGGTTATCTAGTTGCGCAAAACCTTTGCGCACCTAGAACTGCACGTTCTCTAAGGTCTCCAGTGTCCTCGTTAAAGGCAAAGAAATATTCACTCGATTTCTTGACCAATTCTTGCACGGGCATACAATGCTTTTCATGCTTGTTCGAAATATTTGACTTTGTGCGGCATAAACAAAGGGATTTGCACACGAATTTACTAATATTAAAACAAGAAGAACCTCATTTATCGTGTACATTATTTCTGCTTCTAATACATAGTACCACACAACATAAAGAATCAGATTTGGAATGAAGCAAATTCCGTAGATTATTGTTATTGTCAAAAGCATTTTGGTGACTTTCTGTCTCGATTTCATCGTGGCCAATGATCCATGTTGTCTGGGTAATATCTCTCGTCTCAAATGCAGTATAACTTTCCCGTAGAAAAATGCCATTAAGCTGAACGGTGCTATTCCAATCAAAATTAACCAGGCGATATTGTAACCCTTTGCAAATGTCACATTTGGCCAATGGCTTTCGCAAATTCCACGCTGTTGATTGAGGCTTCTGACATAGAAAAGTGGGATGTTGAAGATAACGGAAAGAAACCAACCTAGGCCAACTAAAATCTTTAGTTTTCTGCAGCTTAGCTTTGATCGTGTTCCAAGAGGAAAAGTAATGGCAGCGTATCGCTCGTACGCTAATACCACCAACGTTGTCGCTGAAGACACCGCTCCAACCCAGGTGAATGTATCAGAAGTGATTGTTTTACATAAGATGGTTCCTTGCAAACCTCGAGGATGATGGTATAGTCCTCCAAGTATATGCCTAGGAGTGAAGGATATCACGATCATCATATCACTTATGGCGAGATTCATTAGAAGATAATTCACCGGTGTCCTTAAAATCCTGTTTTTCAAGATGGTGAAGCAAACCAAAAGATTGCCCAGCAAAGCTGTCAGCACCAACGAAGAGTGGACAACTTTGGTAATAAAGTTCTCTGTGTGCATGTTCCTCCTTTCAAGGTGCTTTTTTATTTTAAGTCTGTTGAGGTAAAAAGAAGGTACATGATCATCGTGCTATCTTAAATAAGCATGTTCAGTCGTCCACCAACGATATATATATTATATAAAACAAGAGCAAATGATCTATATACTAAACACACACACACATATATATATATATATATATATATATATGTCAATATAATATCAAGGAAGAGCAAATGATCTATGTGCATATGTCAAGGTAATATCAAGCAAGAGAATAACCTCAATATACATGTCAATATAATTCCAAAAAAGAGAAAATTATCAATATATATGTCTGACCGACCGTCAAAATACTAGCCTCCAAGTTCTTGTCCAAATTTTATTTAGATTGAACAATGTCGCATACTTGTACTTATCTGATTAGGTATTGCCCGCTGAAAACAAATATATGAAGATCAGACAAATACGACCAGTATTCTCAATCAGCTTGCATCACAAGTCGGAGTCGTTTTCCATAAAATGAAACCTGCATGAAATAAAGTGGGAACTCGGCTGAATGTTTAGCTTCCAACTATTATGTCTGTTCTTTGCGCCAATCCGCCCACCTGTCATTGCGAATGCAGTGTACTCACTTGGGGGCAAAGAAATGAAAAATTTGTATCGTACAAAAAGGGTGGGACTAAAATTGTGGGTGTAACTTGAGGTAGTTTTACTAATTAACGAATTACAAGGAGAACAGAGGGGGGAACACTCGTTTTTGTCCCATGAATAGCACAATTGTTTGGCTCTTATAGAGGTACGTAACGACAAACCTGATTGAGTGGAGTGAACTGCTATAGAAAAGTAAAGAAAATTATACGCGTTTACAACGTAGGGGATACCAGTTTAATATATAGTTTAGTTTTTTAAAGATTTTTTAGACATTCAGACTCGAATACATGATATGTGTAGAATAAAACGAAAATCAATTGACTCAAACAGTTTTGTTTGGCCAGCTGTGATGAAGACTGACATTTTATTCCTCAATTGAAAAAAGGGCTTTCGTATTTTCATTAGTTTTAAAGTCACTGTTGAAGATGAACGCTACATCAAAGAGAATAAATTGATGTGGGAGACGATCAGTTCTACTTCAGCTCTAAATAATTTATTTTTCAATTATCTTGCCAGCTAAAACCACACTTGAGAGAACTAATTTATTGTAGAGGTGCATTTATAATGAAAAAGGGCTTTTGTGTTTCTTATAGATGAACGCTACGTTAAAGGAAAATAATTTATGTGGGATATAGTTAGGCCTTCTTCAGCTCTGACCGATTTATTTTTCAGTTCTCTTGCCAGCTAGAAATCACATTTGAATAAATTTATTGTAGAAGCGCAGCTATTATCAGTGATTTGTTTCGTGAATTTCCTTATTCGCAAGATGATATTATTACATATATTATTGTATTCTCGGATGAGAAGTTACACGTTTGCACATTTTACCTTCGGTTATCAAGGTCTCCTTCAAACATTCTATCTACTTGGTTTAATATCCAAATAAAGCTTAAGGCAACTCATGTGGTAAGGAAAGGACCCAGATTGTTTTAACATATATCATTGAAATTAAAACACGATGGATCTCGTGACGTAGTATCATTCAGACGTTAGTGATATAAATGCAAGTCGTGTCAGCTTTGTTTGTTCGGCAACAGCTAAAGACACCTCTGCGTTGCAGTGACGAATCAAATTCTCTGCTGCTGTAAAAAATTTATTCTTGAATTAGACGCCGGACCATTTCTCCATTACGCTTCACATTATGAAACATGACAAAAATAGCGTTTAACTCCGGCCCGGGCGAAAAACTCGATAGCTTTTAATTTTATGGTAATTTTAAGTTTCCTGGAGCTCTTTCTTTTTGTCAGTACCTTTTAGTGGCGATCTAAAACACAGTCAGAATTTTTTTCCATTCAATATAACTTGTTGATCTCCACTTTCCGTTGCAGCTCCAAAATGCTTTCACGGTTAAAATTTTATTGTTACTTACAGCGGAAAACGATCATCGACGATTCACGAACGTCGATAAGCGACATATTAAGAACATGAAATCCAGCCAAAGTCTAACAATTTTTATTTTCCTATTCGCCTCTATCTCATGACGAGTCATTTGCAGAAAAATTTTTAACGGCCTGATGGAACAAAATATTTGGACATCAAAAGAATACAGCTCTATAATGCGACTAGTATTTTGCATGCAATGCACTTAAAGAAGTAACCCTTCTACAGACAGATTTCGAATGTCGACGAGAGTTGCGAAAGTACCTCTAAATGTCAGAAATAACTCATTATCCCTTAGCCAACGGAAAATACTCGAACGACCAAAGCCATTAGTCAACCTCTGACTTGCTAATTTCGAATTTCCATACCAGACAAATTACATCCTACAGCTAGACATGATGTAGGCACGGAATTTAAGCTATTTAAAACACCTTTCCTAAAGTTTCCTTACCCGATAAAATCAAATAAAAGTGATGCGCAGGAAAAAAAAGTCATATCTTGGTTACTTCTGCAAGCCAACCTTAAAAGATTTTTTAGACGTTCAGACTAGAATACATGATATGTGTAGAATAAAACGAAAATCAATTGACTCAAACAGTGTTGTTTGGCCAGCCGTGATGAAGAGTTTGACATTTTATTCCTCAATTAAAAAAAGGGCTTTCGTATTTCTCATTAGTTTTAAAGTCACTCTTAAAGGTGAACGCTACATCAAAGAGAATAAATTGATGTGGGAGACGATCAGTTCTTTGCTAATTTCGAATTTCCATACCAGAGAAATTACATCCCTACGGCTTGACATGATGTATTATTCCTCAATTAAAAAAAGGGCTTTCGTATTTCTCATTAATATTTTCGAATTTCGAATTTCCATACCAAAGAAATTACATCCTACAGCTAGACATGATGTAGGCACGGAATTTAAGCTATTTAAAACACCTTTCCTAAAGTTTCCTTACCCGATAAAATCAAATAAAAGTGATGCGCAGGAAAAAAAGTCATATCTTGGTTACTTCTGCAAGTCAACCTTTCTTATATTTCATTTTATTGAGTACCGAAGCTCACTATGTCGATTCAAGCTGTTCTGCTATTGTAATGTTTTAAAGTAGTCATCAGTCAGAAAAAACTTATTTCTATAAGAGAATAATCGCAGAATTTCTATATTTTACTTACCAAAAACTGATAGAAAAGTTTTTGCCTCCTTAAATTTTACACACTCACGTTGTAGTTTCTGATTTTATCACGAACTTTCTTAGCAAAAACTGAAAATATTATTTTGATACCAACCTCTTCATCAGGATACTCTCACCTTTTCCAAAGTCAAAAGTAGCTCAAAACAATGAAGTCGTGTTGAGCTTATTCTCTTGATGAACAGATGCACACTTTCTCGGTTGAAATGTACGAAATTAAAACAGGCTGGTCGGTTTGCAAAGCATTACATAAACCATTACTTAAGATTGCTTTGCATTAGAATAGGTAGCTATGTCTACTTAGCTTCATCAGTAGCTCTCTTGAATTTTTCGAATATGTTTGCAGATTATCCCACAAGTTTTTCAACGCGGGTTACATAATGTTCTTGACATGGTGATGGAACTGAAGACGGCGTATCGAAATTTCCAGCCTAAAAATACAAAAAACAGCGAGATAATAACTGGCATATCTAATCGTGCTCAAAATTCAATTCAGATTACTCATTATTGGTACAGCGCAATAAACCTTGAGTAACAAGTGAAGTGAATGTATGTGACAAAAATATTGTGTAATGACTGTAAATATATGAAAATCATATTTGTGCACTGCAGTTGAGGAAACGAATGTAGAAGCCATCCTCGCAGTTATGAACACTACTGAATCAGTAGTTGAAATAAGGCCTGAAAAAAATCAGGCCAATTCAAAAAATTCAATTCAACTACTAGTTCAGTAGTGTGCATAACTGCGAGGATCGCTTTTGTATTCAAAAATGGTGTGGTCACTGTTGTTAATAGTTATCGTAAATATTGATGGAGATGTGTTCATGTTTCAGTTATTTTCAAAATTAAACCAGATTGTTGAATGTTATAACTAGAACTTCATTATGTTGAACACCTCACAATAGATGATCGCATCTAAGAAGAAATGTAACCATTATGACATTTCTCCTCATATATTACCTATTCTCTCTGATGCATGAATTGAATGTAACAGTCTATCTTTGGATGAAAGCCATAAGCTCAAGTCCATACACAAATAAAAATAATAATATTTTGTAAAAAATGGAGGGTTTGATGCCGATGTCTTATTAAACCAAGCGAATTCCAATTATTTTTCATCAACAATACACTGGAACAAAATTCTCAACACACGATCTTTTTTGAGTTAATTGCAAAGCGCTAAGCGGACATGACAGTTTTTGTTAATTGTTGCAACTCAAAACGTCTCAAATAATACCCCTTCTGTCATTTTGAGCTGTAAAACTTGACAACTTGACTAAACCAAAATTACGACATATGCCTTTTGTTTCAGCAAGCTTATCAGAGTAGAGACTAAACTTTTTATCAAAAGCATTTACCAAATAAACTGAAATCTTCCCGCTGTGGATATTTAACTACGAACAAATAAGTAAGTTTTCTCGAAGAGTGCAGTTGAAGTCAGGTAAGACGATTTATCGAAATCGAATTGGAATTATGCTTTCGAATCTATTGGGTTTCCCTATTATCAATTGTGTTATACTTCATCACTTTGATCTATAGCATGTAAGGTATTGATTGCAAGTAATTGGACCAATCTTATTAACTGTTGTGGTGAACTTATGAAATTGTAAATTAACAAATGACGAAACATGCTGCAAACTCGAGGCACTGAAAAAAATACAAATGTTACGATGAGAGTTAAAATTTCCGAATGTTGCATTTACACGCTATCTGCTTATACCTATAAACAGTGTGTTGTAAAAGACATATAGGCATTCCTTTCCATCACCTCGATCAAGACATTCTTTTGAATGATAATGCCCCATTTGTAAGAAACCAATTTCCAATTGCAAGTGTTTTCCGGAGATGGCGCAGGAGTAATTTCGAAAAATGTAGTGAAGAGGACAATGACAATAACAGTAGTGCTCTGCGTCGCAAAGAGTTGTCTTCCATCTTCATACCAGTTTTAAGGTTCATGAAAATAGGTGGACAGTGCTACGGAGACCTTTTCCTCGACGAATTCGCACTTCACAGGGGCATCTTTTCTCGTATTTATTGCGCGGTGGTGGTCCTGGGGTAGTGGTTTGTGGCTATGCAGGCTGTCTCGAGTCTTTTCTGTGAAGGTCTTGCACATCTGACAACTTTTTTCCTTCTTATTGATCTTGATGAATTGGTAAGTGCAGTCGGCAGTGGTAACGACAACATGTCTTTTCATTTTTTCCCAAAGGCTCTCTATTCTGTATAGATATCTTCATGATCTTCATATCCTGATACTAACTGATTCTTTTTACCTACCCTTTTTCTTTCCTACCCTTTTTCTTTCCCACCCTTTTTCTTTCCTTTTTTTCTTTCTTTTTTTTTCCCTTTTTCTTAATTTTTAACAGCTTGTAGGTGTGATCATCTCTTACATTGAGGTGTTACTAACTCTGCCAAGTTAAAATAAAGGAAAAACCCAACAAGTGGAAGAGCTCTTAGAGTGTTAAGGATACTCATCATAATGAGACCAAGTGTCATATGTTCCCTTTTTTTCATCATTCTCTTAGTTCGCTTGGTATCTATAGCTTCCAAATGCGAGAATCGAACATAAAAATGATATACACTTTCTTTTTTTGTTTGCTTGAGACGAAAATAAATAGGAAAGAAAATTATGGAGGAAAATAAGACAAGGAAAGAAACAAATCGTAACGATAATACTGTATGGAACGAAAGTGGAAGAAAACGATTAAAGCTGAGATAGATTCATGTTGTACAAAACAAAACAATAAAACAAGGTATTACGATGAAAACTAACCAAATTGTCAAATTATCTATACAGAATAGAGTGACGAAACTGACTAAAGCGCCAGTAACTGTATAACTTTAAAATAAATGTCATCTAAACTTACATTTGTTGCTTGCTGAGAAGAACTGAGAAACTGCTTGAATAAAATGGGTAATTATGAGCTACTTGACGATAAATTCAGACCTAGCCATAATCCAGTGAGTAAATTTCACAAGATAACACTCCTTTTCTTAGAAACCAAATCAGATTCGGTAAAATCAGTCTAATTTTGCTCAATAGAGTCGGAATCGAAACTAAAATTCCCTTTTACCAAAGAAATAAAATGGTGCGTTTTCAAAGGTATTACATTAAAGACAAGATAAATTAATACCATTGAAATAGACCGTCTATTTACAATTAAATCAAATAAAACAGCATTAAGGAAATGCAGGAATAATCTCTACAAAAATCATCGATTCCGGTGCCATATGGAGCTAGACGTGGCAGCTATTCGATATTTGCACATCAAAGTAAACGGAGGCTTTTTGTTTTGTTTTTGATAATCAGCCATCCTAAAGTTCTTTTTCCACCATGCCCATAAATTTTTGTCAATACTCAGTTAATTTTGGATGCACCTCGTTGACATACTTGTGCGTGAATCTTTAAGAATTTATAGAACCTTTAAAATTATGACTCTTGACTTCCCCTACCTCAAACACAAGCTAGTAGAGTTCAGGAAGCAAGAACATTTTTTGCTCAAAGCACAAACATTGAATCGTGTACTGAATGGAAAAGTCTGAATTTCAAGGACGCACTTTTTTAATGCCGATCTCTCGCAAAACAAAAAATAACTTAAATATCAAACAGCACTTTTCAAATTATTTCAAAAGCCGCGTGACACGACCGTTTCCACGATTACAATTAGGAAAGTGTTATAACGACAGACATCACACCTAAAAGTTTCCTTTTCTCTTCTTATTGATAGTACGCGTTGCAAAAACAGTAACTTGTGCATTTATCAATTCTTGCACAAATGAAAGTATATTTAAATCATGGTCGCAATACGTTTTTTTATGAGGTGCATATGCTCACTTCCCATGCATATTGTACTGAGAAAATCACCAGCCATTATTCGATTTGATTTCCATTTTTGACTTCGTCTAACTTATTTGAGCTATGAACCCATTTCTTATAACTGCCGGATTTGGTTTCGGTTCATGAAAGGAAAATGGAGTTTCTTTGAGGTAGTCTTGTACCCAAGCTATTTTGCCGTCCCGCTGTCACCAGCCTCTCAAAAAAGGAATTTTGAAGAAATGAATTGTAGAAGTGTCCTCATAGATTTCAATGTAATATGTTAATAAAAGATAAAGTTGAATAATAAGAAATGGATGCGAGCTTATGATGTGGGGAGGAAGACACAGCGAACGAGTTTCGTAGATCCGAGTTGGTTTAAGTCCTCTGGAAACCTTACCTCGGTCATAAAATGACATAACATTTACCTAAAAAAAACTCAGAATAAAACATTTCTGTTCCGTCTCGGCCGTTTTTGAAACCTTTTTCATCGTATTTAGCAGTTCAGAAGTTGAAATCATGTTATCTGCGCGCGTAGGTGTCACTCTACCAGACATCATTAGCAAAAAAGTAACCCAAAGACGAAGAAAGGTTTCAAAACAATGCGTTGTTAATGATAGCGCTTTTCGTGTGTTTTGCCTTTAGCTCTGTTATAATTTATAAAGTAGGAACTCGCTATTCATATTCAAACAGGAAATAATTCTCCGGGGTGTCCGATATTTTGTGTCATAGGTGGTTTGATCACGCAAACGAATTTTGAATTAAAAAAAATCAATTACATTTCAAATTTAAATTGAATTGAAAAGTCAAAGGTCAAATGTAAATTATGATTACATGACTTGAAGAAAGCACCATAAGATTCAATTGAGTAGCCTGAGAAGTTTTCAGATGTAGAACTTCCAAATCTGATTGGCCTCATGGAAGCATACCGTGTTTCCTTTGTTTAATTCCTCTGATTTTTTCCTATGCTAACTTGGGATCAGGTTCAGTAGTCAAAAGATCTAATCCTCTCTGTTTTTGGCAAGATATATGGCATATGCATGGCATTGGTTTGCACTAGTACTGGTTGAATTTTGACTGATAGGATAATCATAGCGAAAAACAAAATTCCAAAATTATCATTAAATATTAGATACTCTCTCTTTGCAGCACGGTCAGTAGTTTCTTTTTCATTACATAAGGAGTAGAACCTTGTAGAAGTAGAACGAAATTCTTCGGTGGCAGCAATTCTGATCAACTTATGGATATATCTTTGCATATGCACTCTAATTATCTCTGATTTATCGGGTCTAACTCACTATCTCATGATGGACTAAACTGATACTATTTTCCGGCGAAAATCTTAAGAAATTTCAAGAGGTTTGAAAGGAACTAGCTTTAAAATTGATGCAGTTGAGAATCTGTTGACTTTCTTAATTGCTTTTGTTTCATTAGTGTATGTTCAAGGACCTCTTTACGCTTCTTTTATCGACTTTTGCGCAGAAGGACTTTCCTCCATCTGGTGACCACTAATACAGTTAACCGGAGTCCAAATAACAACTAATTTTACCTGTACGTATCCATAGTCAACACATTTTAGCAGATATACATTAATGAATCAGCGTATGTGAAGTGAGAAAATTAATAAAGAATTGAATAAACAATGGGTATAATACAGTTAATGTCTGAGTGTTTAAATTGTTTTCTTCGTTCTCCAGTCCTTAATTTTAAATTATATATTTTTACGCGTTTGGTAAGAAACCACCAAGTGTAATATACGACGATCGAAGTAATAAATTACCTACGAGACTCAACTTAAAATTTCTCCAAAATTAACTTCCTAAGTTTTGAAACTCCAATTTCTCTCTAGTGACCGCGTTTAAGGCAAGGAAATACTCACTCGATTTATTGACCAATTCTTGCATGGGCATAAAATATCTTTCATGCTTCTTTGAAATACTCGACTCTGTGCGGCATAAACAAAGGGATTTGCACACGAATTTATTAATATTAGAACAAGAAGAACCTCGTTTATCGTGTACATTATTTCTGCTTCTAATGCATAGTACCACACAACATAAAGAATCAGGTTGGGATAAAGGGAAAGGCGTAGATTATTTTTATTGTCAAAAGCATTTTGGTGACTTTCTGTCTCGATCTCATTGTGGCTAATGATCCATGTTGCCTCGGTAATATTTCTCGTCTTAAATGCAGTATAACCTTCCCGTAGAAAATTGCCATAAAGCAGAACGGTGTTATTCCAATCAAAACTAACCAAGCGATATTATAACTTTTTGCCAATGTCACATTTGGCCAATGGCTTTCGCAAATTCCACGCTGTTGGTTGAGGCTTCTGACGTAAAACAGTGGGATGTTGAAGATAACGGAAAAAAACCAGCCGAGGCCAACTAAAATCTTTAGTTTTCTGCAGCTTAGCTTTGATCGTGTTCCAAGAGGGAAGGTTATGGCAGCGTATCGCTCGTAGGCCAATACTACCAAAGTTGTCGCTGAAGACACCGCTCCAACCCAAGTGAATGTGTCAGAAGTTACTGTTTTACATAAGAGGGTTCCTTGCAAACCTCGAGGATAATGATATAGCCCTTCTAGTATATGTCTAGGAGTGAAGGATATCACGATCATCAAATCACTTATGGCGAGATTCATTAGAAGATAATTGACTGGTGTCCTTAAAATCCTGTTTTTCAAGATGGTAAGACAAACCAAAAGATTGCCCAGAAAAGCTGTCAGCACCAACGAAGAGTGGACAACTTTGGTAATAAAGTGCTCTGTGTGCATGTTCCTCCCTTCAAGTTGCTCTTTTATTTAAGGCTGTTGAGGAAAAAAGAAGGTACATGATCACATGCTGTCTTAAATAAACATCTTTAGGCGTCGACCAAAGATAAACATATAATATAAAGCAAGAGCAAATTATATATATAGGAAGTCTGTCTCCAACTTTTATGTATGTTCTTTGCGCCAATCCGCCCACCAGTCATTGCGAATGCTCATGCTGTGCACTCACTTGGGTGCAAAGAAATGAAAAGTTTATATCATGCAAAAGAGGATGAAACTAAAATTGTGGGTGTAACTTGAGGTAGTATCACTGATTAACGAATTACGAGCGGGAGAATACTCGCTTTCGTCCCATGAATCGTACAATTCGTTAAAGTTTGGCTCCTTGAGAGGTACGTAACGGCAACCTGATTGAGTGGAGTGAAATGCCAAGAAAAAGTAAGTAAAATTTAATGTGTTTACAACGTAGGAGATGCCAGGTAATACATAGTTTAGTTCTTCAAAGATTTTTAAGACTTTCAGAGACTCGAATACATGATATGTGTAGAATAAAACGAAAATCAATCGACTCAAACAGGGTTGTTTGGCCAGCTGTTATGAAGACTTTAACATCTTATTCCTCAAATGAATAGAGGGCTTTCGTATTCCTCATTAGTATTCAAAGAGAATCAATTGATGTAGGAGACGATCAGCTCTACTTCAGCTCTAAATTATTTATTCTTCAATTATCTCGCCAGCTGGAAGTCACACTCGAAAGAACTAATTTACTGTAGAAGCGCATTTATACTGACGAAAAGGCTTTCGTATTTCTCATAAGTATTGAAATCACTGTTGAAGATGTGTAGAATAAAACGAACATCAATCGACTCAAACAGTGTTGTTTGACCAGCTGTGATGAAGCCTTTGACATTTTATTCCTCAAATGAATCAAGAGCTTTCGTATTTCTCCTGAACTTTAAAGTCACTGTTGAAGATAACCGCTACATTAAAAAGAACGATTGATGTGAGAGACGATCAGTTCTACTTCAGCTCTAAATAATTTATTTTTCAATACTGATCTCGTCAGCTGGAAATTACACTTGAAAGAACTTATTGACTGTAGAAGTGCATTTACAATGACGAAAAGGCTTTCGTATTTCTTATAAGTATTGAAATCACTGTTGAAGATGAACGCTACCTTAAAAAGAAAGAATTTATGTGGGATGCAGATAGTCTTCTTCAGCTCTAACCAATTTATTTTTCAGTCATCTCGCCAGCTGGAAAGCACAGTTGAATAAATTTATTGTGTAAGCGCAGTTATAATCAGTGATTCGTTTCGTGAATTTCTTTATTCGCAAGATGAACGACTTGTCTGATACCACTGAAAAGTAAATCAAAGAAGTTAGCACGTTATCATTACATGGCCCATGTCAAGGTTCTTTATAGTGAACCACCGACGTGCAATGTACCACCCTATAGCATATACGTTTATCAGTTATAACATGGTAGCTCCTGTAAAAGTAAGATTAAAAGACCCTAGGGGTGATGCAAAATTCTATTCTATTCTGCCGAAGAGATAGGTGAACATTTTATCTAGTGATTAAAAGAGAATAATAAGGCAAAATTTCATATGGATGTTGCGTCCCTGCATTCATTTTTGCGCGAGTGCCAAGCACTTGGCACATGAAACATACAAACGCTGAAAGCATTTTAGGACACTATATATTATGTTCGGATGAGAAGTAACACGTTTGCACATTTTACCTTCGACCATCAAGGTCTGTTTCAAACATCCCACATACTTGGTTTGATATCCAAACAAAGCTTAAGGCAACTCACGAGGCAAGAAAAATGTTGCTGCTTAGGATCACGGACCCAGATTTTTTTTAACATATTTCACTGAGATTACAACACGATTGATAATAGCTTTTAATTTTATGGTAATTTTTAGTTTCCTGGAGCTCTTTCTTTTTGTCAGTACCTTTTAGTGGCGATCTCAAACACAGCCAGAATTTTTTTCCATTCATTCTAACTTGTTGATCTTCACTTTCTGTTGCAGCTCCAAAATGCTTTGACGGTTAAAATTTTATTGTCACTTACAGCCGATAAGGGTCATATTAGGAACATGAAAACCAGCCAAAGTCTAACAATTTTTATTTTCCTATTCGCCTCTATCTCATGATGAGTCATTTGCAAAAAAATTTTAAATGGTCTGTAGAACAAAAAATTAGACACCAAAAGAATACAGCTCTGTAATGCGACTAGTATTTTGCACTGATGTATATGCACTTAGTGAAGTAACCCTTTCACAGACACATTTCGAATGTTGACGAGAGTTGCGCAAGTGCTTCTAAACGTCAGAGATAACTCATTATCTTTAGCCGACGGAAAATACCCAAAGGACAAAAGCCATTAGTCAACCTTTGACTTACTAATTTCGAATTTCCGTACCAGAGACAATTACATCCTACGGCTAGACACGAAATTTAAGCCATCTAAAACACCTTTCCTCAAGTTTCCTCACCCGATAAAATGAAATAAAAGCGATGCGGAAGGAAAAAAAAGTCATATTCTTAAAGACTTCGGCAAGTCAACCTTCTTATATTTCATTTTATAGAGTACCGAAGCTCAGGTTGACATTAGCCCCATCAGTAGCTCTCTTGAATTTTACGAATATGTTTGCAGATTATCCCACAAGTTTTTCAACGCCGGCTAATGTTCTTGACATATATGGCGTTGGAACTGAAGACGGCGTAATTGAAATTGAAATTTCCTGCCTAAAAATACAAAGGACAGCCAGATAATAACTGGCATATATATTCGTGCTCAAAATTCGATTCAGAGTACTCATTATTGGTACAGCGCTCTAAACTTTAAATAATAAGGAAAGTGAACGTATGTAACAAAAATCTTGTGTGATGACTGTAAATATATGAAAATCATATCTGTGCACTGCAGTTGAAGAAACGAGTATAGAAGCCATCCTCGCAATTATGAACACTACTGAATCAATAGTTGAAATAAGGCCTGAAAAAAATCTGGCCAATTCAGGCCAATTCAAAAAATCAATTCAACTACTAGTTCAGTAGTGTTCATAACTGCAAGGATCGCTTCTGTATTCAAAAATGGTGTGGCCACTATTGTTGATAGTTATTGTAAATATTGATGGAGATGCGTTTATGTATCAGTTATTTTCAAAAGTAGGCTCCGCGGAGACTCAATTGGTGTGTCCTTAGGGGGACTGGCAGTGATAACAAAGTCTCTTGCACTCTCGGTTAGTAAAAAAAAATGGCAACATCCTCTAAATATCACGCAAGAAGAATTTAATAAGTAGTAAAAACGCATATAAAAAAAAGGTTTCTAGGAATTTTGAGCTTATTATATCATCTCTAAATACAGATAAGCTCCTAAAACAAGATCAAGATCAAGATCAAGATCCTAATATCATGATACTTTCGTTCTTCGGAATGGTTCGTTTGTAGAAATTTTTATATCCTTTCACCGACTTTTTTTACCTTTCCTTTTTCTTTTTTTCTTGTTCATACATTGCCTCGTTACTAACTCTACCAAGTTGAAATGAAGGAAAAAGAAAAGCAGTGGAAGAGATCTCAGAGGAGGTTAAAGATACTTATGATAATGAGACCAAGTGTCATTTGTTTTTTTTTTCATTATCTCCTTCGCTCGCTGTGGTATCTATAGCCTCCAAATGCGACAATCGAGCATAAAAATGATATACACTTTCTTTTTTTGTTTGCTTGAGACGAAAATGAATAGAAAAGAAAATTATGGAGAAAAGTAAAACAAGGAAGGAAACAAATCGTAATGATAATACTGTATGGAAACAAAGTGGAAGAAAACGTTTAAAGCTGAGATAGATTTATGTCCTACAAAAGAAAATACTAAAACAAAGTAATAGAATGAAAGCTAACCAAATTGTAATATTATCTATACAGAAATCTATACAGAGTGACGAAACTGACTAAAGCACTAGTAACTGTATAACTTTCAAATAAATGTGGTTTAAACTTACATTTGTTGCTTTGCTGGGAAGAACCGAGATGCTGCTCGAAGAAATGGGTAATCATGAGCCACTTGACGTTAAATTCAGCCATAATCCAGTGTGTAAATTTTACTTGATTATACTCTTTCTCGTAGAAACCAAATTAGATTCAATAAAATCAGACTAATTTTGTTCATTAGAGTCGGAATCGAGACTTTGATTCCCTCACCCAAGAAATAAAATTTTGCGTTTTAAAAGGTATATTAAAAACAGGAGAAATTAATACCCTGAAAATAGACAGTCTATTTACAATTAAAGCCAGTAAAAATCAAAGTAAATAAAACAGCATTAAGGAAATGTAGGAACAATCTTTACAAAAGTCATCGGTGCCGGCGCAATATGATGTTAGACGTGGCAGCTATTTAATATTTACACATCAAAGTAAACGGAAGTTATTCATTCTTTTTGATAATAAGCCATCCCGACGTTCTTTTTCCAAGAAAAAAATGGAGTAGATTAGGTCTTCAATGAATGTTCCCATGACTATAAGTTTTTGTCAATCCTCAGTTAATCTTGGACGCGCCTCGCTGACATACTTTTGCGGAATTGTTTAAGAAAAAAATTTGAAGAACGTAAAATTTTTGGCTTCTTGACTTCCCTTACTACAAACATTAAACCGTGCGATGAATTGAAAAGTTTCAAATTCAATTAAAAATTGCCTTCTCTCTTCTTATTTATGGTACGCGTGGCAAAAACAGAAGCTTGACTGTGCATTTATCAAATTCAAGAATCTTGGCACTTTAATTTGCCTAAAGTTTTAAACAAAAATCAAAAATAGAACTGTTTTGTAGTCCTTTCAATGGCTGCCTGATTAAAGTATTTTCCTTAAGCAATTCTTGTACAACTGAAAATGTACTGATTCAAATTATAGTCAACAATGCGTTTGTTTATGAGGTGCATATGTTTACTTCCCATGCTTATTGTACCGGTCATTATTCTATTTGGTTTCCTTCATTCACTTGGTCTACCTTATTTGAGCTAACAACCCATTTCTCATATTTTCCGGATTTGGTTTCGGTTTATGAAAGAAAAGTCGAGTTTCTTTGAGGTAGCCAAACACTTGCTTGCCCAAGTCATCGAAAAGGTCCGCTATTATGAGACAGGTATTACAGAAAAAAAGAATTGGAAGCAATTACGCACTAACACCGATTATTAGAAAGAGAAAGGAAAAGAAAGGAAATTAGCGCAAAGACAGACGATTCATTAAAAATTAAGGTTTGAAACAGGCAGGATTAAAATCCAATTTCAAATATTTTATCAAAGCACCTACACTGACACCGACCATTACAGCAAAAAATACAATTATGCCTTTTCGTGACTTACTTTTCATCTTTTTTAAAATGGCATTACTTTCGATGTTCTTGATCATGCTGCGAACGAATCTCTTAAATCGAGAATTTCTTGTAGTTTTCAAGGGTGACACAGCCAGGAGAATTATCTAACTCAGTGCATCAAGAAGGCACCGAGCGCACAATATTGATTTAATAAATATATTATTTGGTTCTAGGAAATTATCTCACTCAGTGCATCAGTTCTAGGAAACATTCCTGGGAAGCTGAAAGAAAATTATACAGAAGACCAGTAGCTGCAAGACCACAGTGCAAGAGTGAAAAACATTCCTTTTAAAGAAGTGACCAGAGTAACTTGTCAAAGATTTAAGAGTAGTATCGCCATAATATGCTCCAGACAACCTCACTAGCTTTATATTTTATCAATTGCTTTGAGCAGGTTTTCGTTTACGTTTCCTGACTCGCCAGATGAACTAGCCGTTCTAAAACCTTGTTCATTGTATTTAGCAGCTCGGATGTGGAAATCATGTTATTTGCGCGCGTAGGTGTCACTCTACCAGGCTTCATCATCATAAAAGTAACCCAAATACGAGGAAAAGTTTCAAAACAATGCCGGCATTGTTAATGATAGTTTGTTTCATGTGTTTTGCCTTTAGCTCTGTTATAACTTATAAAGCCAAGAAACTCGCTATTGTATTTAAACAGGAAATAATTCTCCAGGGTGTCACGATATTTACCTTTCAATCCATAGGCTGTTTGATCACGCAAACGAATTTTTAATTAAGAAAAATAAATTACATTTCAAATTTCAATATAGAACTAAAAAGTTGAGCGTCAAATGTGAATTATAATTACATGACTTTAAGAAAGCACCATAAGATTCAATTGAGTAGCCTGAGAAGTTTCCAGATGTTGAACTTCCAAATCTGATCGGTCTCATGGAAACATACTGTGTTTCCTTCATTAAATTCCTGATTTTTTTTTCTTATGTTAACTTTGGACCAGGTTCAGCAGTCAACAAAGGTAATCCTCTCTGTCTTTGACAAGATGTATGGCATATGCATTACATTAGTTTGCACTAGTACTGGCTGAATTTTGACTAATGAGATAATCATAACAAAGGACAAAATTTCAAAATTATTACTAAATATCAAGTACTCTCTCTTGGCAGTGGGATAAATAGTTTCTTCTTTCATTAAATACGAAGTATAAACTTGTTAAGATCGACATTCTTTTGTTGCAGCAATTCTGATCTAAGAAGGAGTTCAGGTCAGGATCTTGAGACGAGATGAACGCATCGCATGGTCTTACGCTACAACTGTATCATGCAGTAGCTAGTTGAAGTGTTTCCATCAGAGCACTGTATGCCTGATAAATTCTCCTATTCTCCCATATACTGGACTCGATTTAAACTAATCTATCTGTCCGCAATCGACTAGTTGAGCTAGATTTATTAAATTAAAAATTCACAAATCGAAAATACACTCGTGCATGTTTTTTTATTCAATTTTCTTATTTAATAATTTGTTCACTTAATTGTACAACCACAAGTCATTGTTTTCCGCTTTTTTATCCTTTTTAAACCCTAAACATTCATATGTGAGACAGGAAAACAAACATGAGTTTAATCTCCTCAACAGAGTTTATCTCCACAGCGGTTTTAAATTATCTTAAGAGTGTGATTTGGATCTGGGTCAAAAATCCATTCCATGATTAGAGCTAGGTACAAATTTATTTTACAGTTAAATTGTATTGTTGCTTTATAGCAAAAAAAAACGAGCCACAAACACTTTGACGTTAGTTAGCGAAATTTTGTAGCTTAATAGTGATACGCGTCATAGGCATCGGGACGAAGTAGCGAAAAGATAATCATCAGGGAGCCTCCATTCAAATCCAAGTGGGTGGGCTCACTGTAACTATTTTGTTTACCTTATTTACATTTTTTTTTCTTGAAACATTCATTCATTTTCATTTTATTTTCATTTTCCTGAAGGTCAAATTGAAATAAATATTTTCTTTTATAAAACAAGGTGTTATTGGCTCTTTTGACGCAAGCATAGGATTCTCTTTGTTTGATTTTGCTCCCATCCCTTTCTGTAGAGCAAAATACTCAATCCTGACGATCATCTTGGCAAAGATAACAGCACCGTGAAGTAGGAGATGATCAATCCGACAATCTGAAAAGATACATACACCTTACTGGATGCTTTAGTGTATAAAACGCGGACAAATTAAATTTTGCGAGTTGGATTGTATTTTTCTTAGTTCGATATGGGCGTCATGCAAACAAATGCGAGATGTTCCTACCTTTAAGGAGAGTGATTTGTTGATGACAACACAACCTCCGAGGGAAAGACCTTTTGGCTCATCTTGAAGATCCAATACAAACAGCAGTAACTTAAAAGAAGAGATAACATTACTACCTGTTAAAAAGGAGACTTCAGTATATTAAATAAAAAAAAAAAAATTTAGAAGGTGTTGTAAAGGCGGGGATTGAAAACAGGGGACAAATTATTAACATTTTTCATGCAAAATTTATCCAAAGACGGAACTTACCTTCCCTTCGTCCTCCTTTGAAACAGGGAAGGTTTGCAAAATCCCTTTGAAGCTGTTGATCTGGAAAGGAAACCATTACGTCTCTGAGATAAGAATACAGTTATCTTTTCGGCACCTGAGCTTCGAGATCTTACGGAGAGACTTACAATGCGCCTGTTTGGGATTTAATCTGTGGATAGGTGCAGACACTTCCAATGCCTGATCTCAAGGGTATACTCTACAGCCCCAGATCGTTTGGCAAGGACAGTTCAAAATGTCAATATTGAAGACTGCGGTCCGACACTTTACGATATATCCAAATGCAAGACCAACTGAACAGTTTTCATCTGTAGAAAATTAACAGGCTCTGTACTGAGTAGTGAAAATTATGCTTACCCTTGGTAACATCCTATACCTTACCTTTTCAGAAATGCTGGAGCCAGTTGACATTATCATTGATAAGAAAGAAATTGAAACTAGTAGCCAGAAGATATTGGCCACCAGAAATTCATATTTTTCTGTACGACTTGGTGAGTTGATTATCTCGTACAAATTGAGAATCAGCAATGGGATGTACAGACCAACCATTTCAAGAAGTAGAGGTGAAAGCGCTTTGTCAGCAGATGCGACTACTCCACATAGCTTATGGTGCTCCATCTTGAATGCCTCAAAACGCAACGGGACGGCAGATACACGTGAAGACATTCTCTTATGCAAATCATCAAACAACTCCTTGAGTATTTCGCATGTGATATGATGAAACAGAATTGGTAAGACCCACAGAGCAGTTCCAATAAAAAGAAAAAATACAGAAAAGATATTCAAGCCCGACCAAGCATTCCAAGGCTTGTGATCTGCTAGTTTCAGGTTTATATAAAAATTGACAAAGAAGATACCGCCTCCAGATATAAAGAACCAGATCCAAAATGCAGCCATTCCTTTTCTTGATTTTTTCATCAATTTTTCTAAATCTGCCCTGATGTTTAAAGCACTCAGGTCAAGAATAAAATTTTCAAATCGAGAGTAGCCTGTGTCTGTTAAAGATACACATAGCACATAAAGGCAAACCAAGCCATTGAGTGCAATTAAAAGACACCATACACAAAACATCATGAAGACGAAAGGACTTTTTCCAAAGAAGATGTCAGTAAAGGCCATCACAAGATTAAACCAATGACCAGCGAGTACTACACCACAATAGAGCAATGCAAAAATGTTCCTTTTCCTGCCAGTCCCAGCTACACGCGCACTGGACAAATGTCGTAGGGATGCATCTCGAAAGTAGAAACCAAACCATTTCATCCCTTTTAGCACGGGGCTATATATTTCACCAATTGTTCTGAGGAGCCGTTCGTCAATATCTTTTTGTTCCAGGTTTGACGAATCTTCTCTAGAAGTTTGATCGTTTGTTGGCTGTATGTGAATTAAAGATGGCATTTTCTGTTTTCTTTGCTGAATGAAACCTCAAACCTCGTGATTTAAAAGTCTTCCTTTAGGATGAAGGAAACTGATAAAAAGCCGAACCCTGAACGCAATTACTCCCACCTTGATATAAATACTTATTGCTGTTTTTTTAACTCCCACTGTTTCTCTGTACCTATACTACCGGTCAAAATAAAGTTAAAAATCGAAAAAACAAGAAAATACTTATTAAAAAAGTAAACTTTCCCCCAGGGGGCCCGCGAATAAAGTATGATAGAAACAAAGAAGAGAAAATTACTTTATAAAACCTAAAGCCAAATATTATTCAAGTGTTTGTAAAGGTACAGTTTTAGTTCATGTTGATGTGGTTGTAGTTTGCTTCTTTTCTTTGTATTTGTTTTTGTTTTTCTAAAACTCTTCCACATTTAAAAAGATCCTGTCAAGTTTTTCAGTATCTCAAATCTAAAGTAAAAAAAAAAGAACTTTCTAACTGCGGCTGGTAGCGGTTTGTCTTTGATGTTAATTGTGTTTCAGTGAATTAATTTCCTTTAATTATTGAAAGCGTCATGTATTTCTCAAAATGCTTCAGTTCTATCTAGCTCTTTTCAGTGATTCATAAATAACTTATATCAAAATATTAGCTTTTTCTCACACAACTTATATTTCATACTCATGGCTGAAAGCAGAGTGCACCAAAAATGAAAAACAACAACAACGATGATGACGGCAAAAAAAAGCAAAAAGGTTCCTTTAAGCGCTTCTCACGCCAAGGGGAACATCATCTTATATTTTGTGTTCAAACCTTCCGACAACTTTATAATATTAACCCTTACATAAAGAAAGAGATCTTAAGTTTTTAATATTTTATATGAGATTGTTAAGTTTTATTTTAAGTGTTCCTCACACCACATGCTGTCTTTTTTTAATTTTCTTGCCAATAAATGATAAGTACATGTCAATGGCAAACTCAAATATAGTAATGATGATTTCAGTTAACTTAGGCCTGTAAAGTGTCTTCGGGAGACATTTATTATATTCATTTTTCTCCCGAAATTAAAATTCGGTTTAGTTACAATATGCACTGCAAAATTTAAGAACCATCATTAAAAAAAAGAAAAAGAAAAGAAAGAAAAAAAATTAATATTTGTTTTGCATAATTACTTTTTTTCCTCTTCTTTTTTCTTTTTTAAATTGCAAATTATTCTTTATGGACGTAACTCTTTTTCAGAGATACGATCGCGACTATCGATGAGAGGTTCTCACTTTTCTTCCATATTTAGTCCCACGTGAAAGAAATAGTCCGGCCCTCAATCGCAAGAGGATTCCGAAAAGCACGTTCATGAGTTATATTTATACAATGAAAACTTGTCAAGTAATTGTGAAGCATCTCGATATTTAGGGACGGTACTTTGAGAGTGATGGGCAAAGAATCCACGTGAAAACTCCAAAAGGTAAGGAATCTGACGATCGAGTCTCTATGCTCAGGCGAAACACCGATTCCTGCCGACGAAAAGCTTTTTGCTTAATCTTCTCTATGAATAATTGATGCAAGTCAGGTACAAATTCAGTTATTACCATTACAAACTGATAAGTTCTCCTCAGGGTATATTCGTAAATTTCTCTTGGAACGGATAAGTAGTCCGCGACGAAGAGGAGTAATCAAATTTCATAATTTTTTTTTTTAAACTCACGAAAAATTATCGACGTCTTTATCTACCTTTTTTTTTCTTTTTTTGGTTAGTGATTTTGCATTCAATGATTTTTAATGAGCTGAAAAAGAAATAAAAAAGCTCTTCATGCTTTGGAATACGGACTGTTTGTTTGATCGTTTAATACACGCTGCTCGCATTTCCTTTCAAATTACAGCTTAAGAATCTGAAAAAGAAGGTTATAGAATTTTTAAAATACTTAGTATTTTAATTAAAAAAGAAATATTTTGACGTAACTCCAATGTCATAGTATCAAGTGGTCTCGAAGTCTATTTGAAATTTAAATGGCAGATGAAACGATGACTAGATGTATTTCCCGGAAATATACCTTTTCGCTCACTTTAGATCCAAAATAAAGGACAAGCAATAAAACAGTTGCTGCAATCAGACGCCAGCACAGAGTTATGGCAAGGGTTATTGGATCCGTGCCGTTAGAATAAAGATGTTTTAGAAACTTATACATGATTATGATTCCGAGGAGAAACGAGAGCATCTTGTCTGAAAACTCGACTACCTCGGATAGCTTGTGATTTTCCACCTTTAAAGGATGAAATTCCTCAGAGAAGGGAAGTAAAGATGAGAAATTAAAGAAACATCATCGAGCCGCAGTATATTTGCAAAAAGATATGTTTTGCAGCTGGCATGTGTTCGAACTGCTTCAAGTTTGTATGTCCGTCATCGGATTCGAAAAGCTTCATTAGCTTTAGAACTGGGGTGTATATGTCGTTCAGTGTCTTTAACATCTGTTCGTTTCCACTTGTGGCTTCATGCGATGGAACAAAGAAATAAGTGAAGCTTTTAGGACGAGAATGAACTGAATGGTACGGAAACCCCGTTTATTTACAACATTTGGGGAGACATGATTTTGCCACTAGCTGATGAGTTTCCTTCGTTCTGTATATATGTTGTAAGGCGATGTTGTTCTAATGGCTCCCAAATTAATTTTGTGTTTGGGTAAATTCCCACTGCAAATTCTTAGTTGTATTCTTTGTCTCGGCAATACATTACTATTACATTAGGCTGATAATCCTCGAGTTTCTATTCAAGCGACACAAATCGAATTGTTTCTGTCGTGAAACGTAAAGATGACAGAATAAGAAAGCTCTCACCGTATTGATCAAAAGCAATTGACACCTTTCCCCTTTTTGCGAGTGTACCCTTTACTGACGAGGCTGCACAACAGAAATTAAACTTAATTGATATGTCCCCGTTACTCTTTGAGGAAATTATAGGATTATACTATAGATATTAAATCGTTCGCTCACGATTGCTATGCGTATTAGTTCAGATCATAAGCTAGTTGTGTAATGAATAATGGGAGTGATACTAATTTTGAAAATTTAGCAGTGGGCAATCCAAGAGATGGCTCTTCTTGTCCACTGCTTCCAGGCTGAATTGGAATTTTGATTAAATATTCCTATATTACGTTTTCTCTTTAAATGCTGATATTTATTCAGTTTCTCTTCATAGCCCTGATCTTAAAAGGAGCTGGATACTGTGTGATTGCTCTTCGATGCGTTATTGTAGGTGGGCCCTTGCCTTCCTCAGGAAGAAACGTAAACTTGTGAAGCATCCAAGACAAGAGAACAAACATTTCCAATTTAGCAAGAGTCTCGCCTGGACACACACGGCGTCCTGCTCCAAACGGATAAAAATTTCCCTGATTTGTTATCAAATTGCCATCTTTATCGAGGTGGCGATAAGGGTTGAAGAGCCTCGGCTCCTTCCAAAAAGCAGGATCAAGATGTATTGCTTCCGTGTCTGGATATACGATAGTATCCTTAGGCACCCTATAACCACACAGGAAGGTGTCTTGTACAGCTCGGTGTGGTAAAGCTTGGGGTACTACGTTACCCAGTCTTAAGCTTTCCATTATGGTAGCATGGATAAGAGGCAGTCTGGGGCGATCCTCCAATTGTGGCATGCGACGTCGACCAACGACGTCATCCAGTTGCTTCTGAATACCATATTGGTAATCAGGGTACTGAACCAAATAGCCTAACGCAAATGTCAGTGCATGCGCAGTAGTCTCGTAACCAGCTGTTAGCATGTCCTGTATAGTGTTAATAAGATGATCTTCAGAGAAAAGGGAAGCCTTGATTTCATTGGTCTCGGTCTCTTCCATAGCCTCCTTCTGGGCATGCAGTAACGCATCCATCAAATTGGAACTGGGTACCTGGGGATCGAAAGTTATCATTCGTTCTCTTAACTTCAGGCGGATGATCTCCAGAGTGGAAAGAAATATGCCGAATATTTTTTTCCGCGAACTGAAAGGAAATAATTGGCTTAGGGGAAAAAAGTCCAGAAACATCATGGCTTGGAAGTCTTTATAGCTTTTGAGACCGAGTTCGTTTCTATGGATTAAGTCATTAATTTGAGGATCGCTGAGGTCCCAATCATTTCCAAATATTATTCGCCCCAGGACCTCGACAATACACTGGTTTAGAAAATCAGCGGGATCAAAGTCCTTCTGTTGCTGTTCCTCAAGAAATCGCAAAAGTTTCGAAGCCGTGTAAGTCACTTTCTCTTCAATGAAGGCTGTGTTGGAAATGTGCTGTCTTAGGGCGGAGATAAGGATACGCCGATGAATTTTCCACGACAAGCCGTCACTGAAAGCTATGTTCTTGAAGCCTAACGAACGAAAGCAAGATGCGAGATTTGTTTATTTCGCCAGATAATATCTGCAATATCTATATATGAGCTTGTCATTTTTTTTTCCTAGCGAGAAAGCTTATGTGGAAACCATTGTTTCGTTTTGCGTTTTCAGTTTCAAAATAACTTATTTATTTCAAACGACTAAAATCGTGCAAACGGTTACATAAGATCAGGTATAGTAGCTCCCCTGTGGGTGTGCGCCCCACTTCATTCCAGTCGCGCCTCAATTTACAGGTACTCAGCTCCTATCATAACAACCATGGGGCTAATGACTTCGAGCTTGCTCCCTAACTAGTACTAAAATTACGTCAGTCATGTGCGAACTATTAGTAATGAACATAGATAAGATAAAACAGACAACTGATACAATAATAATAATAATAATAATAATAATAATAACGATGATAAAATACGGTCACACGGACACAAAAAACAAGCGAACAGACACACTAGACACATTCTCCAAACAAAAACAGGTTGCAATAAAGCAGCAAGTTATATATGCTTGAGGACAGTCAGGGCAAAGGAAAACTGGACCGAGGTGTCACGTTTTAATTGAACTTGATCCTTGATAAAACTCAAAAAGGATAAAAGTGCGTGAAAGCTGTCTTGTATATTGTTATTCATTTTATTCGCCTATTGACCCAAACCCAAAGAATGAAATGATTTTGGCCCCTCAGGTTAATGAAACGATTCTGACAGATGTGTCTCCCTTAAAGAATCCCTCAGAATACTTACCAAGGCTTAAAGTTCTCAAACTGTAGGTCTTAGGTCTTCCACCGTATTCGGAAGACTTTGTCACCAGCACCTCCCGGACAGCTTCTGTTGAACCGGCGATAACAAACTTGTAGCTTCCGAGCTTTAGGGAGAACAGTCTTCCATATTTCTTTCGCAAGCTATCACAATATGAACAACATTTATCCTTGAATGATAACTTTTTAGGCCTATCGTTATGAGTATTGAAACCTAATTAATTTATTCTTAGTCTAAGGATGGAATTTTTAAAACGAAATAGCTCTAATTTCAACCCCTCTCTCGGTCAGGCGTGACTTGTTTATTGAAGCTTTCACGTTGTAAGGAAAATGGATAAAAGTATAGAGTTATGGTACAGTAAATAAAATATTACTCCAAATTCTCTTGTCTCTCTACCGCATAACCTTTAACAACATACCAGATATTATCGTGGCGCTGCATAATTGTCACGGCGTGAGCTAATTTGTGCATGCCATTAGAATGTATATAGATGGAAAGCAAGTCAACGGCATTTTGAGAGAAAATTCTTTTTGCCTTAAGTTCATTTGCGCTTGGTTCAGGTTATTCTCAAAAACAAAACAAAAACAAATACGATAAGACGTTAATACTGCAAACATATGCTGAGGGCCTTAATTGCTATTGGGCAGCAGAAAAACAGTGTTTACCTGACGACGGCATCTTGGAAGGTTGTCGCATCAAAATCAAAGCTGAAAAGGTTTCCGATGAAAGGAAGGTTTGTTAATCGTGGACCTGGGGGCATTCCTCTGAATTGGTAAAACTCGACCAACAGATAAATCATAAACACAAGCAGAACTGCGAAGACTACATTTGTTAGACATAGATGTTCCGCGAATAGAGCCATAATACGAATCCAACAAGCAGAGGCAAATGAACAATGAGATGTTCCCTAATGTGTTGAGATAAATCAGAGGCTCTTGACCAGCGAATGCATTTACTCGAAGTAAACTAACAGTCCCCACCAAACAATGTTGTACTGTTTTAGTATGCATTGCACGAAGTTATCTTTTTTTACTAAATTTGCATCTGCTAATGATTGGCCTTTGTTAAAGGGAAACCAAGCAACGTGTTGACAATTAGCATGTCACACACCGTTTGCTTTGTACATCACAGAAGTATATCATTGACTTTATTACACAATCTGCACACTGTTTACCTTTCCTTATTCGGTCTCCAAGCGACATTTTGTTCCCTCTAGTTTCACTGTATTAATGAGAAGTCCCACCACTGGGCTTGCGCCAGGATTTCGCTTTGGTCATGCCAGTATCTCAGTCTCCTCTCCCTCACAAAATGCACAGTGTGGCATCAAACCGGCAGTTAACCATCAATTCAGTCAAGTGACAACATGAATCTTTTGTCATTGGTTTGGCAAAGTTTTTTATTTTTTTATTTTTTTAACCGATTTGGCGTACATTTCAAAATGACACAAACTGTTATCAGTTAGCAGTGTTGGTGTTTATATTTAGAGCACATTACAGAGTCATATGATGCAAAATAAATACTGAGAAATGATTGTGCTTCCCGAGCCGCTAAATGTCACTTGTGACGGTGTGATTTTCTGTTGAGTTGGAAAGTGCAACACTTCTGGAGTCTTTATATACCCGCGGGAAGATTCTGTGAGACCAACATGTAAGTGTTCTAATTGTTTATTGCTATATACAGTATATCATGAAGAGCAGCTCTTGATTGACTAGTTCTTCGCTCAGCTTATGTAACAAGTGAGTGTTTTGTCATTTTGTGACTCACATTAAACTTTCATTTTGACCACGATCATCTCCTACTGATCAGCTGCTTCTTCGTTTAGACTATGCCTACAAATCTTAATATTATTTAAGAGGCAAAAACAATGAAGATCGAGATTCTATACACATACTGGCCGGTGAACTAAATGAAACATTTTCTAGCAAAATGGTCTCGGCTGCGTTAACTTGACAGTAGAGTAAGTGCTGTATAAAAAGCCTCTTAAGAAACATCGCGGTAGTTCTAGGCAGCCTTGAATGCCCATTGTGTTCCTTTCAACCATATATCATTTAGTCCAGTTTAGCTAGCGTTAAACGTTGTACGTGTTTAAAACATACGCAATTACTTTGAAAGGAATGTTTCTGTTATTTTAAATTTACTTTCCATAGAAAGAGTAGGCTACTTAATCTTCTGATTGAGATGATTATCCATTTTAATGACTTAAACCTTTTGGTAAAAGTAATGTTATTTTTCGGCGTCGGGCTAAGACATAAGTCAAAAAGTTTGCGACAACATGAATTCAAGGCCATCAGTTTTGTTTTCACTGCAAGCTACACTAACGTGACAGTCGTGTTTTGTTTCGCAACGAATAGCAATGATGATGATGGATTCTTTCCCGATTGGTTCTGGTGGGAAAGGAATTATATGGCAACAACGCGATAAAGCGTAGTTTGTCTTACAGGAGGTGTACGCTCAATAAAGTGGTCGCAGGCAGTTACATGAGTTTCATCGCAGTATTCGAGTGAGGAGCAAAACGGCTTTTAACAATGTGGTTCACGATCAGAAGAGTTCGTTTGGGGAGAGTAAAGAGTAATTTACGAGTAGTTTGAAAAATAGAACCGAAATAATATTTGTTGATAGGTAAGATGTTGCTAATATCCTAACTTGTTATACGTGTTTACCACACAGATACAAGTGAATAGTGCTTTTCGGGCGCGCTGATTGACTGGCTCGGAAGTGATTAACAATTATCACTCTGTGCAACCCAAGAGAAAAAATCGCGCATCAAGAGATTAATTTCCGACCGCTTTTTCGTATACTTATAAATACAACGTTTTTGGTTTCTGTCTGGTATGTTCTAAAACAAATATTCACCCTATTGTCGGCGAAAGAGGTGAATATTTACCTCTTTGCCTCGCGACTCGGTATACGCAAACATCGATCATATTATTGAATCCCGCTGAGGTGAAAACTTGTTAACTGTAGCACCCGTACGTGAAGTTTTTTTTCTGGGAAAAAATAAAATAAAACGCTTGTCTCATACTGAGAGAAGTGTTTTCAATCTTTAATGGACCTCGAAGGCCTATGATGATGACAACAGAAAATAAATTTTATATGACCTTCGGAGTTCAACAATACAACAGTACGTTTTTTCATCATAAATGATTAATTCCATTTGTCTCGATATCGAGCAATTTACGAGCCTGCTTCGGCATTTCAAATTTGTATCGTGCACGGACACGATTGCACCAATGCATACTATATGTTAGATATCATTTAATTACATCACTTTAATTATAGCCATGGTTAAAACAAATTGATTTTTCGGCAAAGTTATTATCAGTTGAACTTGCATGATTGAAGACCAAGGTGAAATCGGCTAACTCTCATTTCCGTTCATTTAAAAATCCATGGGCAAATTCTCTCTGGTAATTAATAAGAATTCCTAAAACTTTTAATTGTTTTTTTTTTCTCAAATAGGAGTTCAACAGACTCAATCTCGTTGACGTAAGCTTCATTGTTCCCTAGCTAGGATAAAACTTGTGAGCTCATTTTTGCCATCTCTCTTTCTTTTTTGTGCGTGTTTTTTGTTTTGGTTTTGTTTTTGTTTTTACCTTCCTTTTATCTTTGCTTTTTCGTTATCCTCACATTTCGTACAATTTTGACATATTTTGTACGTTCAAAAGACTTGAAATAATAGGAAGGATGACTAGGAGGTTTGTTAACACCCGCGAGGTCTAATTGCAGTACAGCTTATTGGAAATAATTTTTGAAACTTCCGCCTGTACTAATCACAGAGACGATTAAAGTATAAGTGATCTTCCTTTTGAAATATCACTTTTCAGGAGTGAATTAGTTTATACTGATAAAAAACTGACATGAGGTGGTGTGATATAATTGAATATTCGAAACTTGATATTAAATTCCTGTTTCTAAACCCATCCTGGTAATCCGTAATGACAGTAGGGGAGCAAGTTTCTTGCTTTTTTCCAATACCTATTTCCGATTTCGTGGTCAACGGGATTAATATCCATTAATGTGATACTCCAATTGGGGCCGGGGCGTTATAATGGCCAAAACAAAATTTTGAAGAAAAACCTACCTCAGTCATCGTAACACCAAAATGAAATTTACATGATTAAGAAATTGAGAATCTTTTCTTTTAATCTATTTGAAGTTGTACCTACTATTAACCTGATAACTTTCCCACAGTGGCCCACATGAGAAAGCTGAAAAAAATGTACATTGATGCAAACAAGTATAGGTAGATGTAAACAAATATATATTGATGCAAATTTCCAAGACAGGTTTTAGCAAAAAAAATCTCACATGCAAATAAGGCAAAAAGCAATTAAAATATCTTCCTTGTATTTGCTTTCTACAATTACATTGGCGGCTTGCATGGAAAAAAACACGTAACCTGCGTCGAGGAACTATAAAAATAGTTTACCCCACTTGTGATTCTTGTCGGCCTCGTGTGAGGTCTGTTTCCTTCGATTGGGCCTCAGAGAATTCGTGGACAACAAGCTCTTGGTTATTCAGGTACAGTTCTGAGGTACTTCTGTATCATCTCCATCGACACAATAATTTCAGTAGTCGGAAAGCTGAAAGAAAATCTAAACGCATATTGTCACTATTAATGAAGCGTTTTATACGCTGTCAATCCTTAGAGTTAAAGTTGAAGTGACAGGCCCATTGGAAAATTTTTTTTTTCGGTTGATTCTTTAAGCTTTGCTGTTTAAACATAATATTTAATTTATAAGCTAGATTAAACGAACACACTCTGACCGAATGAAGAATCGAAATGAGAAATATTGACTAATTTCAAAGTTGTGTTTAGGAAGAAAGCAGGGCTTTTCCTGTAGTAAAGTTTGTCTTTGGTCAAATTATCTTCAGTTGTTAGGTTTCTTTAAGCCATTTGGTATGAAACTTTGAAGACTAACTTTACATATCCATCTGACTGGTAGGAAATACAATATTGATTTTTTTTTTCGTTATTACACTATTGTTGGATCAATAGAAACATTGGTATAACACCACTATAAAACGACGCAGAAGTTTTCCACCTTCTTACAACATAGAGGTAAACACGAAAATCTTACAAAGTTCAGTACTCAGAGGGCCATTAATTCCTTTGTTTGATTATTTCTCGTTTTTATAATTTTCACTCCAGTTATGTCCGCTTAAAGAAAGCAAGGGAAGCAATTTAAATATTTCTCGGTTTTCGTGCGCCTAAGTAAATAGGAAATATGGTATAGCATAAATAAAAAAATGTTTCAGACGATGTACCTTTATGATTCAGCTATATGCTTTTTCATTTATTCCGTTTACAAACTGATAATATGCTATAAAACTACTTTAAATATAAAAGATAAAGCAATGATATCGCTGTATCACGTTAAAAACTTTTCCAAGGCGCCGTTTCCAGCGGCTGGTCGGATAATTTCGCACACGTTTGTAGGTGTCTAAATGGTAGACGACAGTTGGTCGTAAATTGACGCCTGAGGAAATTTTTTTATTATTATTATTTTCGGTATAGAAAGCGGAGCCAGCAAAGTCTTTTAGTCTTTTTTCTGTACTTACGTGCACTTGGGTCATGTCAGGAAATGAAAATTAAGCAAATAATTCATTATTTATCTTGTTGTCGGGAGAACCTATTGTAATTTCTTTGTTTTGTTTTATTTTATTTCATTTTTTTTTTTGTCGTCAAAAAATGAAGGGAGTCGCCGATGATTTTGTTCAAAACATTTTACATGAAAAGGGTTGAAATTAAACTTTTTTCAGTCAATTTTAACTTTAATGACTCTTCGACAACAAACCTGAGAAAGCTAAAATTTTTCACTAAACAAATATGAACAAATTAGGGAACGTGGTACTGTAACGTGAACTTGAAGTAATTGCGTGCGAATCGCAGTCGAGAGTGATTACTTTCATAGTGACTTCTTCAGCAAACCACAGCGAATACAAATTTGAACAAATGAAACTAATACGACATAAAAATGCATTTGGTTTAGCGCCTGCAGATCGAGTGCATATTTACCACTTCTCTTTTTCTTTGCTTTTCTTTCTTCTTTTCTCTTATTCGAAAGGGCTAAAACAAATGAGAAAAATGCACTTTGTTGAGAGAGAAACGGTAATTTGAGTACTGATGGAGATAAGAAGATCATTTCACTTATTACCAGCACTGTAATGGGACCTCTAATGGGTCATTCCTCATTAATTCTGCAACTGTCATAAGGTTGATAATCATTTCGATCATTTGCACGTCATTTCAAATGATCAATAGCCGAGATTTGACTTAATCCTCCGTACCAACGAGCAGTTGTATTGGACTTTTGCAATTCTTTCAAGAATTAGTCTATCCTAGAAAGCATTTTTTATGAATGATTAGAGCAATTTGACAAGTTTTTCGTGCGCTTACCATATTGCAAAGACATGCGTGTTAGAAATGACCCTGTCTTTGTTGATATTTTTCATCGTTATCATTTTGGATCGATCATATTTCCGAGTATGATTCCTTTGTATTTATATTCATCACTTTGACGGTAACGTTCATTTCTTGTTCTCTTTCAATAGTATCGTTCTCGAGAAAGGAGGCAGCCAGCTAGAAAAATGATAACCAACGGTACATCGGCTGAAGAAAATCCATATGATGAACTCCGAGCTATATTGGCAGCAAGAAACACAGCCGAGTTTATTACAGAGACAACAGTTTATGTGATAATCAACCTGATGGCTTTGCTAGGCAACATTCTTGTCTGCTTTATCTTCTACAAAAATCCAAATTTACGAAGCGTTACCTATCTGTATATTTTTGCGCTTGCCATATCGGACGTTTTTATGGCAGCATTTTGCATGCCTCTCGTCTGGGGAGTATTGCTAGTGGGTGAATGGAGATACGGGGGGGTAGTGTGTGGATTTCATGGCTTTGCTGTGCTTTTCTTGGCATTCGTGTCACTGCAGACCATAGCGTTGCTAGCCTTTAATCGGTACTGCCGAGTGGTGAAGCCGTGGTTATTCCGCAAGATTTTCAAGAAGAATTTCGTCGGTTTCTCCGTACTGGCTGTAGTTTCCTCAGCCGCATTTTTCCTTGGCTTACCTCTTGCTACAGGCTGGGGTTATTTTCATTTCCATTCTGGCAAGATTACCTGCGTATTAGAATTCTATCATCCCGCCACAGATAAGATTTACACCGGCATCCTGGGGCTGGTCAATGTCGTTTTTCCATTTGCCGTGATAACTTTCTGCTACACTAAAGTGTTTTTGAAAGTACGAGAGCATCGACAACGCTTTTCCTCAATCACCTCCACAAACTTAAGACTGAGCGTTGAAGAAATAAACATCACCAAAACGTTATTTGCCATGGTGTTAGGCTTCACTTTGTGCTGGCTCCCTGTTTTCATTATCGAATTCACGGATGCTGTAACAGGAAATCACTCCTTACCAAGGAAAGTGTATCTCATTAATGTCTTCTTGGTTTCCATAAGTGCTGCAATCAACCCGGTCATATACGGGGTACTTAACAGATCCTTTCGTGCGGGATATTGCGAAATGTTCTCTTTTCGTGGCAGCTGCTTAATGAGAGTCTGGAATATTCAAAAGGAACAAGAAAATAACAGTAAACGTCAAAGTGCTGACACGTACAACTGACTGCAAAATGAACTCTTTCAATAGAATTTGTAATCTCTTGGAATACATCTTAACTAAAAAAAAGAGACATCCATGCCCTGTTGATTTAGATCATTAAGTATGGTTCGACTTTGTGTATGTATGCCACAGCAAGGAGTCTTGGGTCTAAGTCGAAATTCTAAGTTGCTAATAGTAACCATTAAACACATTGATTTTCGAAGAAGACTCTAAACAAGGGAAGGCGAGTTATTCAATGGATTCGACCCAATACCAACAGCTGCAGACCTACTCAGTGATTTTTCCCTGTAATTTTTTAACTATTCTTGCTATGCGCTTTATTAATTCCTTTTTCCTATTATGGCCAAATGTTCTAATCACAATTCAAAAATTAACAAAAAACAAGGATACTCTTACTTCATTAAATTGGAGGAATTTTTTTTCTGCAGAAACGTTTATTTCTGAAATAATTGATATCCTGCTAGAGTTGAAAGTGAATGAAATCATAAACTTTACCTTTCATCTTTTACGAAATCCACAAAATAAAGATGGAAAGAAGTACTGATAAATGTAATGTCAACAGGAGTGCATTGAATAACTCCATGGGAATTTCCAAAGAATTTCAATGAAAGAAATAACCCTACAAGACAGGGGATTGTTTTTCCCCATAAAATTGCTTTTCTATTCGGCCAATTTTTGACTGACATTTATCGTAAGCGCCATCGATTGGCAAATATTTGCAAAGAGTTTCATTTAGTGTATATCAATAAGAAAATAAAGAGAAAGATTAAACTGAGGGCTGTTGAATTGATGGCAAACTTGATGATTCATGTATTGGGAATTTAAGCTACTCTGTAATGAATTTCGAAATACTGTTTTCAAAATCAGCCCTGTGGGATGATTATTTTATAGAGCTTTCATCCATATATATGGCATTGCATAAAGGTATTAATTTCTGCCGAAAACAAGGAAAAAGGAAACCATGATCTCATTTCGCCATGTATCTGTAAGTTCTGTTGCTTGACTCCTTACACGGCGAAGAAATCGGTTGACTAAGGCGAAGAAGCAATGCAGAGTAAATTACCGCAAGTATGAATTCAATCTGAACTCAGCATGGGTTTGTAAAAACAAGAAATATTCAAGGGCGCTGATTACATGGCTGAAATAATGTATTATTAATTACATCTCAAAGAATTTCAGGATTTCGCAATCTCCCAGTTCTCTTTAGTCATTGTTGGAAAGATTCACCTGCTTAGATAGTTATGGAAATAACGGTAGTAACATCAACAGTACGTGATCCATTGAATAACGAGAAATACTTGATCGGGAGAGCAACGCCATGCCGCAACGTTCAGTTCATGTGCTTGAAATCAATGAAAGAAATGTAATTGACAGTGGCGTAAACGTCCCTCCTGTACAATGTCAAGGAAACGAGAGTTTAACGGTGAATACTCGTAAACAGTTATCGGAGATCTTACGCCCAATTTTGACAACCATGAAAGTTACGGGACACTTCTTTGGTCCAACGGCAGTCACTGATGACAATAAGCAGAGTACATGGAACCCTTCGCGTTTCTACAGCGCTCTTGTTATTCTGAGCCAGCATATGCTAATTGTATTCGCCGTAATAAGTCACTGCCACATCGGTTTGAAGGACATGAGCAGGTTTATCTTCTTACTGCAGATCGTTGTGTGGTATCTGCAATGTGCGAGTGGCGCAACTATTTGTTGGATCATGATGCCTCTTTATAAGAACAAGCGATCGAGATTTTCCCAATTTCTCTCCAGTTTTGTAGAGACAGAGCCCGAGCTCAAGGGTATTAAGGCGAAGGCAGTGAAAGGCCTCATATTTGCTTGCTCCGCAGCAGTTGCCAATACCGTCATCATTGGCCTTTTTAGCATGTATTCCGGTGGCATGATCTCTACTTTCCCACCGTGGCAACAGTTTGCGCACAAATTCGTTCGAGTTGCCGAGGTAGTAATGCCATTTTTCTATTCCTTCGCCATGGTCTTACCCGTTTTGATGTTTTGCGTCACTTGCATGCTTCTGGAGAAGATGTTCTCGACCTTAGAGAATAAACTCGATAACGAATCGATACACAATTTCACCATCTCGTACCTGCGTAAAGAACACGTGAAGCTATGTGAGATTGTGGACTTGGCCAGCGCCGTATTTTCGCCGCTCCTCTGTGTCATCATCACATTGGATGCAACTTTAATTTGCGTCAACAGCTATCAGCTTACGCGAGGCGAGGCCAGCCGCATTTCTATCATAGCCTTTGTGTACTGGACTCTCTTCGTAACCTCGTTGTTGCTGCTTTTGTTTTCATTTGGGGATAAGGTCCACGAAAAGGTCAGTGTATTTCTTGCTTACTGCAATTTCATTTAAGACAAATGTTTCAATAGAAAGAAATAAATTATTATTTTAATTTTTATGCCCATCAAAAGTTAGCTGCTTAAGTTGTTGTGGTGACCTAATGAGACGGCGTGAGGTAAATCTCGGAATTGTATTCAAATCAGTGAGACTCCTCTTTTAATCGACTTTTTTCAAGACTAATATAAATTACGTTCTTATTTGATTTTACAAAACTCTGCCCTGTCAACTTAGAAAATATTAACCATTCGCTGAATGATGAAATCTAGAGAGGATTGTGTTTTGCTTAAAGTAATTACATGGCAGTGTCAAGACAGGAACTCTATGACGTTAGTTTTTAATTATTTTAAATGGTCGTCAGTTCCACCAATGGACTAAAAGCGCAGATGCAGATTTTTGTAGGGAGAATTAAACTTTTTACTTCTCTAGGATGTCTAAAAATTGGCAGTTTTAACGGCCGTCGAGAAATCGGTTTCTCTCTTTTCTTTAGTATATCATTTTAAAAGTATTAGTTGTTTTTTCAATCATTTCTCGCCTAAAATGTATATACATCGAACACCTTTAAGCTCCTCACTCCCCAAGCGCATGATGCCATCTCCTGTCTCCTAAGGCAGATAAGCAAGCGGAACAGGCCAATGATTGGCGTTTGAGGAAGACCTCATATGCGTCAGAGATCGATCTTGGATGCGCAAACTCGCCTGCAGAGAGTGTAGGGGTAGGCATTCGGGTGGAAAGCAGCTTGTTGTCTCCTGTTTCTTTTCTCTTTGATGGCCGTAACCCTCTTGGTCTCAAAGGTTCCCAAAAACGTATAACCCTTCTGTACTGCGCTCTCTCTTTTTGCCATTCTAGTGACGAAGGAACACGTCATGAAACACGAAACCTCATCTCCAATTGTGGTTATAAGTAGATCGCTTCCATCGGCAAGTTAAGAAGGTTTCGACAACAACTCACCGAGTAAATAGTTCATTTATTTAAAAAGCAAGTCGCATGATTCTAAAAAGCTATGTTTCTGTGGTTTAATCTAACATGAAATAACGGCAAACAAGGAAGACGTCGACGTCATGGCATCGATTGAGACCAAACCTTAAGGGATACTGTAAATGGAAATGACCAAAAAATTACTATTTCTTGCAACTAGGCATGTCGTAATTTCACAATAACTTGAATGGTCATTGAAAATTACTGAATAACACAAAGCAGGAAAGCTTGGGGCACTTCCCCTTTTAACGGATCACTTTAATTTCTAAGTCATTATACTCTTCCTTTTGCAGCACAGCGAGTTCAATTAATGTTATGTTGACGATGAAACATACACTTCTCGGTTACGTGGTCAGTAGTTCCGTACTCTCCAATCATTAGGTGTTCATAAAATTTTGTCTCCGATTTCTGCCTTTTCGTTTTAATTGTATAAGATATTTACGAAATTATATAATTATTTTATAATAGGATATAAGAAGAAAAAGGAGAGGATGCATAAATTTTTCATTTTCACGAGGTATTTTTGTATGTTGTCAGGCTCCTGACAATATGTCATTAGCAAAATTGAAGAAATATGGCTGTAGATCGTTCTCATTTGCAGCACTTACAACTTGAAACTCACTGCCAGAACCCATACGTAAAAAACTATATTTTAAAATTTAAAACTTCTATAAAGACTTTCTTACTCAAAGAACATTTTGATTAAAAAAATATTGCGATAAGAATATTAATTATTAATTTTTACTTTTAATTTTAATCTTACTTTTTAGATACGAATTTTTAACTTGTACTTCTATATATTTGTGTTTTATTATCAATGTAATTTTTCAATCTACAAAATTTTCGGTCTTGAATATTCAGTTGTAAAGCGCCATGAGCATACGGATATGGCGCTATAGAAGTCCTTATAATCATTATATAATATTATTTTTATAAGTGAAAATCACTGCACGAAACTTCGAGTCAGCTAAGTGAGCGAGACTGTGCTTTATATAATTACGAGAAAATTATAAGCCTCATTCCCACGGCGTCGAAGTCAAGAACTGTTTATTTGAGAAGCATTTAAAGCTAAGGGTGTTTTTTACAGCCGTAATTAATTCTTGTTTTACATTTACATTTCTTATAACAAGGAGGTGTTGTTATTTGTTGCTAAATGACGCAGATGAACAAAGAGCGTCGACAACGAGCCAATGAGTAGATGACAAGATTTTTCCTCATTCAATATAATGTTCTCACCCAAACTCTCTTCTAAATGAAGTTATAAACAACAGCTGCCAGTTAAGATCAGTGTTTGATGTATTACATTGGCAGGAATCAGTCCCGATTCGAGAACACACAATGTTTCACAGATCTGTTGATGCGATCGAAATACATCGCAGAGATTCAGGAGACATCACAGGCAATCAAATCCCGATCGAAGAATACCAAAAGAAAGAGGAAATAGCGAAAAATCTACGCAAACAGCTGTCGGAGATTTTGCGTCCAATATTTCTCGTCATGAAACTCACAGGTCAATACTTTGGCACAACGGCAATGTTTGAGGAAAATATACAAAAGACATGGTGCCTGTCGCGTCTTTACAGCACTGTTGTCGCTCTTGGCCAGTGGTTGCTTTTTTTAATTGCTGTGACAAGTCATTGTTACCTAGGGTTCAAGGAAATGAATCAGTTTTTCTTTTTACTAGTTTCCACTGTTTGGTTTCTCCAATGTGCGAGTGCCACGACTATTTGCTTAGTTGCTTTTCCATTTGCTCAAAGTAGAAAGTCAAAAATGTCCATATTTATTGCCAGTCTTGTCGAGGCAGCACCCGAACTTAAGCTAGACGGTACAAAGGCCAAGGCAGTCAAGGGCTTGGTACTAGCATGCTCTGCAGCGACGCTAAATACAGTCGTCGTTGTTATGATGAGCGTTTATTTCGGAGGTATCATATCTGTGTTTTCACCATGGGAAAAGTACACCTTTATTCGATGGGTCGAACTCATATTTGGAATTTACTGCTCCTTCTCCTGGTGTTTCCCTGTGCTCATTTTCTGCGTCACTTGTATGCTTCTAGAAACAATGTTCACAAGTCTCCAGAACCAAGTTTCTGACAGATTCATCCACTCCTTGAGCATCACGTACTTGCGGAAAGAACATTTGAAATTGTGTCACACAGTACAACTGGCTAATGCCATTTTCTCACCACTTCTTTTTATTATTGTCACATTGGATGTGCCATTAATTTGCGTCAACTTTCATCAACTCATAAAGTCGTCGGCCGATACCGATCGCATTACGATTGTCGGCTATTTCTATTGGACTTTCTGTATATGTTCTTTCTTGATAGTAGTGTTCTTGTTTGGAAATCGAGTAAACGAAAAGGTAAATTTTTACCTCTCAATCCGAAAAAAAATACTTGAAATAAATAAATAAGGGAGCGGTGGCTACTGTCTCTGTCGATTGCTTAATTAAGTACATCCTGTACAAATAGTAATTTTCTTATTTATCACCTTAAAGGTTTATCAAGAGGAAGGTATATGTAATTAACTGTAGAAATTAGTTTCATGTTGACCACATGAAATTTTCTTTTTGATTCGATGTAGAAATGCACAACTGTCACTAACAGTAATTATTAGTTTGCTGAAATCGATTATGAAATTATAACTTAAATTTGATTATGAATTTTTCGTACGTGATGTTTACTTTACGTAGATGTGGTTGTTGTTGTTAGGTTTTGCTGTGTTTTGTACTATTTGATTTTTTTTTTCAATCTAATTTTAAGATGTACGTAGGATATCTATCTTGAACATCACAACATGTCATGATTATATCTGTAGGCGCACAGTTTTTATGAAACGATCCAAAAGTCACACGTGTCTGTCGACGACCTTAAAGAACATGCCGAGGTAAGTAACTAAATTCACTCTACCGCAATCTCCATATAGAACGCTAAAGTATGTTCAAGGAAAATCATTAATGGATATATGCCCTTTCGTTAGCCAAGCAGTAGCTCAGACTTAGTCCCCTCCAATTTGGTCGGCTCATTCCAGCAGTTTCTTATATTCTGGTTCCCGTCCATCCCTGTACTGCCCAAACTTATCGCCACAAAGACCATTTCGTAATCATGAAAGCGATCTTCGTTGTGATGACCAGACTAGACCAGACTACTTCATTCTGTTTTTTTCGTTTTTTAGCTGACTCTTTTCCTGGCACATTTGCAAGGGGATCCAATCGGTCTCTCCGTTGGACGTATCGCAGTGGTCAACAAGTCTCTATTCCTAACGGTTAGTATGAAAAATATAAAACATGAAATATATGTGACACATTTTAAGAAAAGAAATGAATTATTTCCGACGAGTGATATTTCGCCTTATTCTTTCCCTTTCATCCTACAGCTCTTTGGAATAATAGCATCGTACTTTGTCGTCCTGCTTACATTACCAAGCTAAAAAGAAGAGTCCAGTGTGCCCTGGAGCGCCATAATTCCTGGAGATCCAGTGTATAAATAACTATTATAACGAACCTCAAATTAACGATAGCAGGGGGGGGTGTAGGGGGAGATAAATGCAGTCCTCTCCGAAGTTATTATATGTACTTCGCTTTTCCTAATCCCAAAAAAATCATAATACCTCATCAGTTGCTTAAAATTCGGTCGCGTTTGATCATTTTTTTCTTCATCCTATTCGATAGCATTTCACATTGCAAGCAGTAAAGGAGTAATTGAACAAAACTTTGGGTTTAAGGGTTAAAAACCTCTCCCCTCCACCCCCTCTCCCCTCCCCTCCCCATCTTCTCCTCCCCCTCTCCCCTTCCCCTCTCCCTTCCCTGATGGCTATAGGCTGTGCGTCCGAAGGCTATAGACAACGATGATGTAGATACATTTAAAGTTGCACAGAAGTTGTAAAAGTGTTGGATTTGTTCTTATTGCTGAGGTTTGCTGTCAAAAGGTGGCTAGAATTTAACAGAGCGTAATATCAAATAGGTAAACGTCTACTCTATATCAAACACGCATGGGACAGACGGCTGTAGTATATTGATTTGCTGAAACCGGTTTCAGTCATGCTTGATCAACTTCGGCGTTAGTGGCTTGCGTTTCATTCAAGAATATCATACCCGTCTATTCGTTTGATCGGCTCCGGATTGGAAGAAAGAAAAATGAGAAATAAGCATACTTTCATTTAAAAATGATAAAAGAGCGTGTAGAAATTATCACCTCCAATGGGACGAAAATATATCTATCGCATTAATTATTGCATGCATTGAACTAAAATCTGCGTTCAAAAGCTTAGGAGTTTCCATTGAACGAGAAAAAGCTTATGAGTTTCCATTGGACGAGAATCTAATTAAGGCAAAGAGTTCGATATTGACATGAAATCGAATGATTTGCATGTAATTTGAAACAACTTCAAAATTGATAAGCCTCCATATTGCACTTGTGTATTGCTCAGAGACCACTTCTTCATTTTAAAACAACAACTTGCTCTTGATTTTTTAATTCCGAATTACACTCGAAATGTTCAAAGTACAAATACAAATCTATAATGATGGAAGCTTTCCAACACTTAAGGTTGAGTGAACGTCACTTCCGGATTACAGAAACAAAAGAAATTTGACAGCAATTGGATTGTCCGCGATTCGAACGTCTTAAAAACTGTCGGTTGCATATAACTATACAACAGTAATGGTAATAATAATGATAAAAATTATAATTACATCAATGATAATGAAATTTATAATAACGTAATTCTCATCTACTATTTACTGCATGTAGTATACATTACTCGATCTGTATCTATAATTATCCGATGGAATATTTGCTTGGTACAGCAGGTATGGATAACTGCAAATATAACAAATGTTATCAATAATAAAGAAACTATGTCGCTTTTAACTCAGTGTAGACCAAGCATAGCTCTTTATGAAGATCAACCCTACTCCCACTTTTCCTCACACCACCCGCCCCCCCGCCCCCTAAAAAAAGGCACAGAAAAGAAAGACAACAAAATCTTAGTACTAACAATAACAAACAGAATGAACAGAGCAATAGTTTTGATTGACACAACGGTATATAAAAGGGATGTCACGATCTGGAGTTCTGTGCCGATTTACATTTAAGCCCAGCACGGCCGACATCGCTTCTAGTAGGACAAAGGTCTGTAGTTCTCGCATCCGTAGCAGATTCCTCGTTTCAACGTGCGGAAGCGATCCATAGGAGTAGTGTATTGGCAGGAAGTTTAATCAAAAGTCGCTAAACCGACAAAAGTCACCGACTAAAATAATAGAAAAAATATCACTAAAAATATAAATCAATCAAAATCTGTTCGTCTTGCGGTTTCAAACTCCGGATCCTTTCTGTTTTTGTACCGTCAGTCACGAAGGCAAAGTCATCTGGCATATCGTCAATTTGATAAAAAAAAAAAAAAAAGCTAAAAAGGTTCATATCACCTATTTTGAGTGTGCCGTCCAGTATTTGAGACCCCAACCGGAAGTATCTTTAACCCAGTTAAAGGACGTTTCCCTCTCAATATCATTTTGTTCATACGTTGTCATCATCATAATTATCTGCTGAGTATGTCACGTAGTCACTTAAAGAAATAATCATCCTCCACTGTTGAAAAGTTTGCGTTTGAACTGACCAAAGGCCTCGGGCGATATGTTAAAGCTTGATGATCCACGAGACCACAACCTCCGGATTGGTATGATATCTACGCAAATGCACGGAACAGTGAAAATCACTCGACCCTCCAACCGCACTGGTTACGTTTGCACTCTAAACGCAACCTGTACGGGCGTATTATATCTTTAGCAGTCATAGTTTTATTATGATCATAATTTGTTTTACTCATGGTACATTTGTGATGGTCGTCAATAAATTATGAGATCGAGATCGTTCGATATCAGGTGATTCCCTGAGCGTGAAACAGCGTGTAGGTACTTAATTGTTGTTTCCCTACGCGCCGAAATGATTGGCTGATGAATGGAGATTTAGCCCCATAGGGAGTTGTGTTGAGAGAATTTGATAATCACTTATTCTGTTCTAAAAGCTTGTGTAAATTATATTAAGTTTCTCCTTCGAGAAAAATAACTTCTTGTACATTTCCATGAAGGCAATTTTAAAGAATATTTTTAGCTGTTGAAAATGTTATTGGCTGTTAAAATTGTTTCGAAACAGATACTGCGTGATTCATGAGTGTGGATTGAAAGGTAAATTCCTACTAACTCCGACTAATAACGATTAGCCGCGCCGTTCTTACTATGGTTAGTCACTACAGGAATCAATGAACACAGAGATTGTAGGAGTGATGACAACGCGAGGTAATAAAGTTTAGTGTGTCATCGAAAAATTCGTTGTATTGTTTATGAAAACGGGATCAAATGGATACCACAGAAGAAAAAAGGGTCAGAGATCTATTAAAGGACATTCAGTTAGAACAGTATTATCGACAGATCCATGGAAAACTACATGTTACTCGTCTGTCGCACTTTGATCACGTAACGGAAGAAGATTTAGACGATCTCGGAATGGCAAAACCTGAACAGAGACGTTTGTTTGAAGCACTTAAGAAAGCAAAGAAGAAATCGCTTTTTAGCAGCTTCAGAAGAAAGGTGAGTACGTAAATTAAAGAACTATCTCTCCGATGCTTAGATGACGAAATCGCGCGCCTTTACGTGCGTCAGTGATCTTGTTTTGACTTACGCTAAATCTACGCGTCTGTCGATTCTGTCGTAGTTTTTTTTTAAGGAAGGAAATTTACTTACATCATATCTTTCCATTTATAATTAACAGTTAAGTATGGTGTCTTTAGGCAGAAAATCACACTCAACGCATTTTATTTTACATACGTACAGTGATGGTTATCCGAGAATATTATCGACGACCCGGTATATATAACTTGCTCACGAATTTATACCACGATCATGTATTTCACACAGATATGAAGTCGATAGAACTGGAAATTAAATTTTATTTTCTTTGAGTAGCACAGAACTCTCTTACATTCTTAGAAATGAAATAATTGCGCTTTCGATTAACTTGCTCCTCTGTCCACGTGTTTCATTTACGTCGTCTGGTTTCACAGCGGGGTCAGAGCGGAAAAAAATTCCATTTATTCTCAAAATACGCTTCTACTTCTCTACCAGTGAACGGAAGGAACTGTTTCAGTCTTCCTGATAGATTCTTAAACAGTTAAAAGCTCTTACACATCGGTTAAATTTATCATGGTTTTTATTTTGGTTTATTTTTAAGGTATTCAGTTTGAGTCAAGAGCTTAAATTATACAACCTTTGACTCATTATTGTTCTGATCTTTTGAAAACGAACATTTCAAATATGTCTTGTATTTAGGTCAAACCAAATTCCTCGGGAATTTTTCTTTGTTTTGTCTGTGTTTTCAACTCGTTATAATGCCCAAGAGATCTGTAGTTAAGATTCCAAAACTGATGTGATACTTCCAAGCGGAAGGTTCGTACAATTAAAAACAACGCCATAAACGGATGTGCGTGGAATCACCTGATCTTGAAAGAAATGATAGCAACACCGATGTTAGAAACTAAAATCAGTTCTTCATGGAAAATGAAAAAAAAAACAACAACAACAAGAAAAAAAAAACAGCTTTTCTCATGAATATGCATTAGAAATGATTAATGTTTCAATCTCCTTCAAATGTAATCACATTGTTCATGTGCTGCTCATTTGTGAATACTACATTGTTTGTTTGTTAAGTTGTAATGGAAATAAGACTGAGTGGAGTCCAATTCAGTCTGTAATCTTACAGTCGAGTGAGTAACAGATTAAAATCAGACAACTGCAAAGCCGGAGTCTGATTTGTTAGGATTGCCGTTACAAACAGAATTAGACAACAGGAAGTCCTGTTGCTAGTTAATTAAAAATGACAACATTTTAAGGACAAGCTAGCCATCTGATGTAATTTTTTCATAAGAAGCAGCACTCAACTCTACAAAATATGTAGATCAGTGCATGTGCTTGACGTACACAGTCCAGTTACACAGGCATGATGCACACATCGTCCAATTAAAAGCACAATGCGCACTCTGTCCAATTACAAGCCCGGCATGCATATTGTCCAATTAGACTGTCTAATTAGACTTTCCAATTAGAAGCATGGCCTGTACACTGTCCAATTACAAGCATGGCCCATACACTGTCCAACTACACTGTCTAACTAGACTGTCCAATTACACTGTTCAATTACACTGTCCAATTACACTGTCCAATTACATGCATGGTGGGTACGCAGTCCAATTACACAATCCACTAACAAGCAGGATGTGTTTACTGTCCTATTAGTTCTCAAATTAGGCCTATGATAGCCGATCACATTAAAAAAAATTGTTTTTCTTTTGATTAATTTATCATAGTAACTTTTGTTTTTTATTTGACTTTATTTTGAATTTCTTGTCATGTGGTTGGTGATTTTGTACACAACTTTTAACCTGTACCAAAAATTACACCTTTGCTAAAAGTTAAGAATTTTATCCCTTTACTGAGAGATACCACCAACAGCGTTTAGAAACTCTGGGATTATAGACATGTACATAGTATATTTGTTACTTTTTCTATGACATTACTCTCCTGATCAAATTCCTGATTCTCCATTACACTATTAGTACACTTCCTTGGTCATGAGTCCAGAGAATTTGGACTTTATCATATTAAGATAACACTCTCTACCTGATGCATTTGTCCTTTCTTGTAATAAAATTTTTTGATTAGATTAGATAGTTATAGTAAGGGGGATTTTTATAGACATGAACATTTTAACTACCTTCAGAATTTAAAGGAGGCTTGACCTTTGATTGGACATGCTGAAAATTTTTCAATTCTTTTCTTATCAAATCATGTCATGATTTTACTTAATCTACAGCCTTTCCATGCTGGATGTTTTTCGATCATGGACTCAGAGCACATGCGCTCACAGAATGAGAAAAAATGAAATGTTCTTAAAAAACTTCTAAAAAGAGATTTGTGAATAAGGAATTAAATTGAAATACCCTCTCTGTACATCAGTACCAACATATTTTTTTTTTAAATTTTTATTTTTATTTTTTTCTATATATTATACTTAAATATGTACTTACACTTTACTTACTTCTAACATGATGCTTACACCATTTTTATGTTCTACTGAAAAACATTCGCCATTCATACATTTTTATTTAGATAGTTTTATCTTTCCCTTTTTTTAACCCATGTGGTTTTGGAAAAGGCAGTGAATACATGGTGATAAGTTGTAAGGTAGTTTGTAGTTTTTAAGTGATATAAACTGAACTAGAATGTAAACTTACCATTATGTGATATTTCAACATTTCAATTGATGACTAAGAATGTCTAATTTGAAAAATCAAAAACATGATTTCAAACTAGGTTGATTTTCATTTTTGACTCTGTAATGAACTAGGGTCCAGAGAGACTCTTTGAAGCACAAAGCGGCCTTTTTGATGGTCTCCTTCGCAACATCACAATTTCTCTAATCCCATTAGATGATTGTTTCATATGATACAAAGTGATGGTTGGGTTAATTTTAACTAAAGCAATGGTCACTTACACTCATCTCTTTTCACTTTCATGTCACTGACTACAGGTACACATAATTGTTCTAAATGTTACAGTTGTTCTAGTATTTGTGGTAAACTTGTTCATTTGTGTTTATAATAGAAATCGAAGAAGTCAGAGAGTCCAGTAGAATCTACACCAGAGCGCTCAAGTTGCTATGGAGTTGCTGGTGACTCCTTGACATGTGTCATCACTGAGCAGTCTGTTTCTCTTTATGAAATGCTTGGAAATGGTGCCTTTGGGTATGTGAGGAGAGGAACATGGATGAAGAACTCCCATAAGAAGGTGAACTGAATATTCAACTGAAATAGGTTAACCACTGACATACATGTATTGGATCAATATCACTATCTGGGCAACTGCCCACCTACCCCTCTCCTAACCCAACATTAACCCTAACTTATTATCAATTGACTGTTGTTGAGTTAGGGGAGGGATAGGTGGGCAGTTGCTCAGATACTGATATTGATCCCATGTATTTATTTCATATGCAGAATCTGTTTGGAGCACTGACTCACTTTAGTTTTAAGAGTTAATCTCCATAACAGTGGTATTGCCTTTGGATGAGATGCTCAAATCCTTTCCAAGTTATCTGCCTACCTTTGGTCAGGTTCCCTAGACAGTGCATCATGGCACTTGCCACTTTTAGTTGCGCCCATTGTGGTCAACATGGCAAGGAGAAAGAATTTAAATTGGTGACTTTTTTCTGGCAAGTCATGTGTGGTTTTCATGGTCAAGAGTTGAAATAAGATGAATATTGAGTTAAATGAAAGTTGAAAGTACAGTTATCATTGTAATATTGCATAAAATGCCCCTACTTGAGTTAAACCTTAACTTCCACAAGTGACTAAGACAGAATTTCTCCTTACAATACCAATACAATATCAACCAGATAAGTGATGAGAATAAAGAAAAATATCAATTTGGGGATAATAAGTTGATCCAATACTAAAGTCTCTGAAGTAACATCATAAGAATTGTGTGGTTGACAGTAAGGAGAATGACAAATTTGATCTGGAAGTTAAAGGGTTAAAGGTCCTGAAATGGTGAGCTTGGAGCCTTGACCTATAATTATAGCAATCTTGAATGGAGAATGGTATTTTGAGAATCAAGTGTTTTGACCAAGAACATGACAAAGTGTTTCAATCACACCTGTACATAATGCATTGAAAAACTTTTTGTTGTTAGCTTGTTTTCTATTGATTTTTGTTATAAGCATTAATATATATTTTTTTTGGTGGTGTTATCAGTAATTCCCTTTTGAATATTTTGTTAGGTTGATGTTGCTGTGAAGTGTTTGAAGGCATGGAATGACAAGGCTTTCCAACAGATGCAGATGGAATTCATTAAGGAAGCTAATGCCATGAGTCTACTGGATCATCCCCACATAATCAGACTCCACGGAGTTGTTCTATCTGCACCAATGATGTTGGTACGTTCAACAAAAGTGACTATTATGTGTTCTTGATATACTTTCCACAGCATTTTTGGTGCATTTATAAAATTGTCAAACACACTGTACATGTTTAGCTGGAGGGGAAAATTTTCCGAATGATTGCAAAAAAGAGTATACAAATGGTAAAAATGTACAAATGCCAAACTTAGATTTTAGCGTGGTTCAAAACTATATGATTATTTTTTGCATATTAGCTAATGTTCATGCAACAACAAAGAATAGCTTTGAGCCATGGAAGCAATATGATAATGGTAACAATGAAGAAAATAATTTAGTAACAATGAGAAAATTTAAAGTAATAAATAAATAAAATACAATTAAACAAAGAATAGCAACAAACAATAGAAAAATAGAGAACATAGAAAATGAACAAACAACAAATAGTCTGGGGTAAAACATTCTACAAATGGTTACAAAAAAGATTAATTGAACAGTAAACATGTACAAGTATAGTCTTGGTTGTGAACATGTACATGTATAGTCTTGGTTGCACTGCACATATTCATTCTATATAGCATTTCAAAGAGTGTGGTTGCTCTTTTAACTGCTGCTGTATCAAATACTAGTCTTCCAATGAGGTTCACGTCTTTTTGGTTTAACTCTAAACTCAATAGGTCACAGAGCTGGCTCCACTTGGCTGTTTATTAGCACGGCTCAGGGATGAACCTCATAATTTTACCATCAGTGGCTTGAGTGATTTTGTGGTCCAGATAGCTTCAGGAATGGCTTATCTTGAGTCTCACAGATTTGTTCATCGTGATCTGGCAGCACGCAATCTTTTGCTGCAGTCATATGAGAAAGTGAAGATTGGAGATTTTGGAATGATGCGAGTCCTCTCCGATGATGATGACCACTACACAATGCATCCCAGTGGCAAAATTCCATTTGCATGGTAAGTGTTAATTTATTTACACTAATCCTGTACACCCCAACATCAGTGTGCATATTCTCAACAGGTTTTTCTACACATTTATTGTAATATTAAGAAGGAGAATTAATCAAACAATCAAGAGCTTCTTCAGGAGTAATCATTTCTTTTTTAATGATTTTATGTTTGACTCAGAAGTCACTTGGTAAGGATAAATTAGATGGCAGTCATTCTTAAGGGTTAAAAGTTAATGCCATCAGGTCTTTTTAATTGTTACATGAAGGACAACTCATCCAAAGATTCTTGAAAGGGTTACACTTTGTTATGTTAAACGATTGCTTTAGGATTGTGATTTTCTTGCTCTAGGTGTCCACAAGAAGTTCTTAAATTCCGCAAGTTTTCCCATGCCTCTGATGTTTGGGCCTTTGGTATCACTGTGTTAGAATTGTTCTCCTATGGAGAAGAACCTTGGCCAGGACTCAATGGAGCTGAGGTGAGTGAACCATCAGCACACAGTTGAAAGACTTAAGATATGTTTGTGCCATGTTTGCATGCACTGAAAATGATTCTTATCCTTGCAGTCCACATGCATATCATCTATATTTATTGCGTTTCTATGATCTTGAAGTTGTCCATGTACAGAGTAGAATTTCAAAGCTGACGTTTTGACCGTTAGCCCTCTGTTAGAGCGAAAGACGATGGGCTAACACTCGAAATGTCAGCTTTGTAACTCTTAAAAATGGCCAAATTATGTTATTAACCCAGTCGATAATACCAAATTCCCCTGTTATACTCTCCCACCAACGCAGCATCACAGTTTCTTTAGAAACTTACCCCCTCTATTCATGTACAATGTACTTAACTTTAATCCTTTACCTGAATTTGTTTGTTAAAAATCAGATATTGGACAAAGTGGACCTGCCATCATGCGAGAGGCCCAAGAGGCCTGAACACTGCCCTTCAGAAATCTACAATATTTTGGTGTCACTCTGCTGGTCGCATGAGCCTCACCAGCGGGCAAGGTTTAGCATGCTTAAAAAACTGGTAGACGAGGTGAGTGCCATACTTGCATATGTACTTCTGTCAATAACTGCATTTGAATACTATACATGTTTGTTTTGGGTAAGCTACCTCTCTTAATTTTTTCCTTAGTCCCTGCCTCCTCTGTGAAGTCTACCTGGTCTATTTTCTCATTGCTTAATCTTGAAGTGTACATTAACATTTTTGTTCTACCAGTAATGTATATTCCGTTAATCATTTTTTTTTCAACTGAATTGTGAATGTGTTAATCCTTGAACCACGAAATACAAAAATAATTATAATTACTTTTAATTGATCATTTTATGTTTTGTAGGCACATCCCATGAATGTCGCTGCAGTGTTACCGTATGAGAGCAAGAGCCAACAAAATCTGAGCTTTCAGGAGGGTGACATTATCACACTTCTTGAAGCCAGGTGAGATGATAAAAGTACAAAACAAGGACTCTGTGTTTTCAGCTTATTTATTTTGAAATGCACTCTGAACCTGTGTACACCGATTACCGCATTAGCTTATTATTTTATTTACCTTTGCAGTCCCGATGTTTCTTGGTGGAAGGGACAAAATATGAGTACAAGAAAAGTTGGGATGTTTCCGTCAGAATTTGTAGAAAGTGGAATGCGACGAGGTACCTAAGGAGAAAATTTGCCTTCACTGATATGTTCATCTCTCTTCTGAGCCCAGTTGTTCAAAGGTGGATAGCGTTATGGAACAGACAAATCGCTATCCAGCGGATAACTGTTAACAAAATGTACTGCGCTATCCAACGGAAAGCGATTTGTCCAGTGGATAGCATTATCTACCTTTCGACCAATCGAGCCTAGGTTTAAATTTAAATTAAATTGTGTCGTATGTGCTGTTTATTTATCTCACTTTAAAGTGTATTATTCTGCCTCGTGTCTCGAAAACTTACTGTTTCTGTTTTTTTAAACAACAATTTCCTTTAAAACAAGGACAATATTTTTTAATATCTTGTTTGTTTGCAGCCGTTTCACCAGTGAATACTCGGACGTCTCTAAAACCGAAGTGAGTTTTTGTTTCGCTTTTGTTTGTTTGTCTGTCTGTCTCTGTGTTTCTTTTGCTCCTTTTTTTTAAAAGAATTCGTCTGTTGCACAATGCTTTTTTTTTGGTTGTACAAGGGCAGTGCACTAGCCTCCATCCTATCGTTTGGTTAAGATTAACGTAGAACTTCGTGCGATATGTAAGCGTTTTTCTTCCATCTTTTTCAGAAGTAATATTACGAAGCGAAGCAAACAGTGTAATCAGCTACCAAACTGTGGTAAGATTTTTCCCTAGTGCGATTTTTCACCCTTTTTGCATTCGTTTTGATTGTTCTAGTGCATTTGTCGTTTCTGTTTCCTTTGTTTGAGAAGCACCTTGTATCTGTATTTGTCATAAAAGACAATAAGGAGCGAAACAAACTCGGATCAATAACAGTATCTGGGTAACTGCCCACCTACCCCTCCCCTAACCCAACATTAACCCTAACTTGTTATCAATTGACTGTTGTTGGGTTAGGGGAGGGGTTGGTGGGCAGTTGCCCAGATACTGATATTGATCCACAAACTCTATGAGACACCCATCTCACTTTGATTTCTGTAACTCATTTATTCCTTAGACTGCGGAAGTGAGCACATCTACGAGACTCCTATCTTCTTATATTCACCAAACTCTTTGAAGAACGGCAGCAGTGTAAGCACTACTTTTTCTGGCCAGTCTGTTGAAAGCGACTTGGCCTCCTCCACAGACGTTGATAGCGGATATTCTTCCAGCGTGGACGTTAGACGATTCCGCCATTTGTATGACGAGAACAGCTCAGGAAAACAAAAAGCAAGGGTGGAGAATTTTTATGAAAACGCGAGCATCAGAAAGCAGGATACCAAGGATACCACGTATGAATTGATGTACCCTGCGAGTGGACCGGTATCCAGTCCTATTCCCATTCCAAGACAAAGCACAGGGGAATTAAGATTTGTCAGGATACAAAATGACACATCTTCGACTCCTCCATCACGCACTGGCCAGAAATGCCCCCTAGACTTAAACTTCTCCAGCCCCCGATTGTCTGCCGGTGAAACGGAAGCTCCTTCTCTAGTCACTCAAAATACTTCAACTTCACTTCCACCCAGCTCAGCTACGGAATTCCATGAAAATTCTCCAAGGCTCTCCAGGACGGTCTCACCACGACCAAGTAAGAAATCTCAGCGGGATTCTGGGATAGGGGAAACACTTACCCAGGATTTGCTGACATTCTTGAAAGGAGCTGGAGGAGATAAGTCATCGGTTCGTCCTAACTCCAAGAAAGCTGAAGAGGAGGACATTTACGAAGAATTATCTGGGCCGTTTACATCTGTTCCATCAAATCCCAAAGGCTCTATTGTGACAAATACTTCCTCCAGTGTACCGTTGACAGCGCACAAGAAACATTCATACGAAAACTATGCTTTACCCTTGAAACAACAATTAAGTTCTACAAAAGACCATGCCAAAGATCAGAGCATTAACGAAGCTGATAGAAGCAGGTGCAACTCAGCTAATCAAGTGCTAGACGAGCAAGAGCTTAGAGATAGCCGATGCAATACTTGGCCCTCACAACAAAACTATGTCAATCACAAACTGAAGGAAGCTGGTTTGATGCCATCAGATGAAGGTTTCTTTGACAACCACAAGCTTAGAACCACCTCAGACGCGTTTCAGCCAACTTCTGACGCCTGCTACGATAATTGGAAGATCAGTGACAAGGAAAGTGAGTCGGTGGGAGAGCTTCTGAGGGAAGAACAGACGCCCTGCTATGAGAACGTTGAGCTACAAACTGGTAAACATAAGGTCAATAATGGAAATCTCTCCCAAAAATCTGGAACTAGTTTGGGCTCCCATGAAGAAACACTTTCAAATCAAAACAAAACTAGGGAAGAAAGATGCAATAATTCCTCGTTCACCTCACATCAAAAGACCTGCATGTACGAATGCATGATTCCTAAATATTTACAAAATGGAGACCTCACGCAAGAATATAAAAAGCAAGGAAATACTGACAGTATATACGAGAACTGTGAAACTGTTGACTACAGGAAAGACAACCCCGAAGAGGTGGTTGGGGGCATGGTAATCCCAAGATCAATTAGACAAAATGACAGCAACTCACGAAAACTTTGTCGTTCCTTGCCCACAAATTGTCACTGCGTGGGGGTCGCTCCCGGCGATCCTAATGGTTTATTAAATATGATCCTGGAAAAACGCAGCCAGCCATTGCTGACCAGGGTAGGAAGTGCTGATGCTATTCGTGTTAATGCCTGGAAGGACGATCCTCTCACTGCCGGAGGACCAAGGGAAAGCGGAGACCATTTGGACCTCCAAGGTCATCCTGTTCCACCTCCGCGCTGGAAGCGATTAGCTCGTATGAAAAGGCCTCTCTCATTTACGTGTTGCTCCCATAACCAGTGGGAAATAACCATCAGTCCTGAGCTTGCCTCTGTGCTGAGCAAAAGACTGAATGGATCTGCTGTGGGCTCGTCTGCATGGTTGAAAGCAGGTGCAAGCTCATTAAATGGCCACCATTCGGAAGCAGTAGAAATGGGCAAACCATGTTTGCCTCCACCGTCTGACCAAAGAGATAAAACAACTACGAAGGCTCGCAATTCCTCAAGTAACGCATACGAAAATGTTCGGTTACCGTGTGAGACTCCTGTGCAGAAAAATACCCCTCCCGAGCTTCCACCAAAACTACAACGGTCAAATGAGAAAGTTTCCTTCCAGAGTACCACACAAAGAGCGAGAGCATTGCACTATGAAAATGTCAATGTGGTAAATGACTTTCATGCAGTCTCGCAAATAGCAGATGATTCCTCTCCTCCACCGCTTCCAAGGAAACTATCTAAGGCAAAACCAACACCTATTATACCACGCCGAGTGGATCTAGAACAGCAGGGTTAAGAAATGTGTGCTAGATCCACATTGAACTGTTTATTGAAGGAAGGGGTTCTGTCCTACTGTCCTACCCGAAAGCCTTAACGATGATCTGCCACACCGGAATGATCTGAAACAACAGTTTTAACAAATTGCCATGAAAATTCATCTGAAGCTCCTATCGGAGAAAAATTTCTCCTTATCGTATTACCCCTGATTCAAACATTAAGGTCGCAAGAATACAAGAAATGATCACCAACTTGAGAAGCTTTTGATTGCTAAACATATTCTCTATTTCAGCACCTTTGGAAATGTATAAAGAACAGTACAGAGAATATACATACTGATGATAGGGTGGAAAGGGTTAATAAGTATACATCGTTTGGCCACCATGGCCTTTTGTCTGAATAAATGAAATTATTTTTAATGCTCTTAGGGCATGTACATTAGCTACTTGAAATTTTTAGATCAACGTTATTTTTTGTAATTGTCTTAAATTATGATGTTTGTCTCTTGACTTCATATTGTAAAGTAGTCAGTGTGATAAACAGATACGAAATAATTATGTCTTGCCATTAGGGCAAGACAATCAATGAATTTATGTCAATATTTTCAGAGACTAAGTCTCTTCAAATTTAAGTAGTTGATTATTCAACAATTTGGTGGCTGGATACCCCTATTTTGTCATGAATCATACAAGAGTAAGTGTTTGAGTGTAATTTTGTCTTTTTCTGAAGTTAATCTTCAGCTGGTTAACATAATTCCATTGCTCTATTTTGCATTGCCTTCCATTTTCGCGAGGGCTTTATTATTCTTTATACTTTTTTTAATATTTGTTTCATGGGAACGCAGTGTAATTTTGCAACGTATTTCAGGTCACATGTAGGTTTCATCCTTTGTACCTTTTTTTTTTTTAGCATTTTATTTATGCTTGCATCGGCAGCAAAGTGTGTTCAAAAATTATATTTAAGGATTTACTGACAGAGCAATGAAACGTTGTATCTGACGTAGGAATATAAATCTATGTGATATACGTAGGTGCTCTAGTTACACGTAGATATACATAGTTGTCTTAGGCGTCATTCCAAGACACGCAATTTAAACTTGATCATTAGATCTGTGCTCTTATTATGGAAGTAGTGAGCGTGTCGAAACAGGCTTGCCGCCATTTTCCCTTCTAGGTCTAAATATAAATAGCTGTATAGAATAAGTGTCATCGCATATGCAGGGAAACGTATCAGTAATAATTCAGCCGCCATGCTATTTCGTTCATTGCCATTTGAAATAATCCTTTGGTGTCGACAAGGGAGGATAAAATTAATGTGAACAATTTTCTTGTCTTTAATGACCGGAAATCGCCCTTAGAAAAAATTGTAGAAACTATGTCGACGAGGTAATGTAAAATAGAAATGTGAATACAGATGACTAGAATTAAAAAATAAATATTCATACCTTTGAATTGAATGCCTCATTTCAATCAACAGTCGAGGTTTGCGAGATGCCCAGCTGCAGTTGTGCCTGGAGTTAGTCCTGGATAGTAGTGTCCAATTTTAGACAAAGGAGCCCGATTTTGAAAACAAGTATTCCATTTCATCTCTACTGTCCTATTTTTGACTATAAAACCCGATTTTAGACACTAGTGTTCCGTTTTAGACTATGGATCCGATTTTAGAAAAATGTAGGAGTTTAGACGCTATTGTCTGACTTTACGCACTAGTGTCCGATTCTAGACACACGCAAGCATCCGATTTTAGACAGTGTCCGATACTGTAGACTAGAGTCCTATTTTGAACAATAGGCTCTTACGTCATAGCGAGATCAAGGCACAGTTCTATCTATTTTGTGTTTGCTCCTCTGCTCCTTCGGATTCATTCGAATTGAGACCATATTCAAAGACTACGAACAAAGGTTGAAGACAGTGGAGAAAGTCATGCCCCAAGATCAAATGAGACGAGCGAGGACGAATCTAGCTTCCACTAGTGAGGGTAACTAAAAACATTCTGTTTTGTATAATATTAGTTTTCATATAAATTTACAAGTTTTCATGCTCCCAAAGGTAGCTTGCGTGCTATTCTAGTTGGGCGGCACGTCAGACGTAAAAGTCTTACAACAGCGTCAACAAATTACCTATAATTTAATAATATTGCTAATAGGACAAATTCAATCACGATAAGTTTTAGTTATGTAATGGTGTTATTTGGTACATAGCGTTTCTTCGACAAGCAATTAACTTAGAAATGATACAAGTATATCTGTCATTTTAATCGTTCGAGGCAAATTCTTATTTTCCTTCCGTTCGTGATCAAACGGAGGTAATATAAGAATTGAGGAAACTCTCGATTTCGTCCAACAATAGGTAAAATTAAAATTTTGACCTCTTCTTGGACGAAATTGAGAGCTTCGTGACATTGAGAAAAAGTATTGATTTACGCGCATCTTTGAAAACTAATCTCCGTTCAATGAAACGTTCTCGAATCTCTTTTTCGACGTTGTTTTGAGAGAGGCCTCAAATTACTAAAAACGTAGCGGTAGAGCTGCTATGATATTTAATTCACTTCCTTCTTGTGTGGTGTCTAGTCCGTCGATGAGAACCATTGTCGTTGAGAGATGATATCACTTTCGCTTTAGGCCTCTGCTACATTTCAAGTATCGCACGCTTCGGTAGCTTACTTAATTAGATTCAGCAAACATAAACAGCATCACCAAAAACCAATTTGCTGGAACTGAGTTCTAATAGCTACATATAATGATCCAAATGGGAGCGAGGTTGGCTAAATTCACCAAGCGCAACAGAAACTACAACAGAAACAACAACAATAAAAAAAAGGAGTAGCCACAAAAATACAAATTGCCGTGCATTGTAACCTCGTTAAATTTCTGCTTAAAATTCTAGTTTCTACCACGCAAGGCGAGGATGAACCCCATCGAGTGAAACGTAGTATTTCACAACCATCTCCTTTCAATAACTCTGCTCACATCAAAGAACTATTTGGAGACATTATCTCCTCCACTTTAAAGCTGTGTCAGTACCAAGGACAATTGAATGTTTGCCCACGTGGTCGGCCGGGACTTCCAGGGAGAGCTGGACCCAAAGGTGACAAAGGAACTAAAGGACCCCGAGGAATTATAGGAGCTACTGGTCGGAGTGGAAAACCAGGAAAGATGGGACCATCCGGAGTAAGAGGAGAAAAGGGAATTAAAGGGGACATCGGAGCACCGGGTCTCCCTGGTATCCCAGGGACTAAAGGAGAACCAGGAGAGTCTCTTTCGCCTCCAAAAGTGACAATTTCTGCACCAAAACTAATTGTCAACGAAACCAAAACAGCCTCGCTTCTATGCTCTGCTTCTGGAAATCCCGCTGTTCAAATATCATGGTCAAAGACCAAGGGATCGTTGCCTAGAAACCGGACCAAAGTGGCGTCAAATGGCCTGATGCAGATTACTAATGTTGGCTTAGAAGATGCGGGCGAATACAAATGCGATGCGCGAAGTATACTGGGAAAGGATGAAAAAACTGCAAGTCTTGTTGTTCAAAGTAGGTTGTATATTTTTCACATGTTTTCCTTTTTCTTTCGTGGTCACATGAACAAAACGTATCACCGAGGAATTTGTTTTAATCTATGAATGATTCAAATCCTTCTGGTTTGTAAAGAGGCCGAAAAGATAATAATAGTACAACGGTACTAACGACTTACGCAAATATTCACAGCTCAGCCCCAAGTTTCACTTTCTTCGGGCCCAACCTACGTTGAAGTGGGAAAGAACATCACTCTGCCAAAATGTCACGTGATAAGCTTTCCACCAGCAGTGATTAAGTGATCCAAATTTAACGGTGGCTTAGCGCAGTCCAGGACTGTTACGAAAGATGGACAGCTGACCATAATACATGCGAAAATGGCAGACTTTGGTTCATACGAATGTAAAGTGTCAAACATTTTAGGACATGATTCAGCTTGGACGCGCTTGAGTGTATTTCAGTTACCGCGTTTTACAAAAACACCACCTGCACAGCTTTTTGTTGAGAAGAACAAAAGAATTTCAGTCCTCTGTCAGGCTACTGGTCACTCTCCACCAAAAATCACGTGGTTAGAAGAGAGAGGCGATCTTCCTGTCGGCAGATCACTGGTCAGTCATGATGGAACACTACAAATCTGGAACACAAAAAAGGAAGACTCAGGCACTTATATCTGTACAGCGACGTCTAACATAATGCACAAGGCGGTCACTGAAATGAAATTGACTATTGTTGGTGAGTGCCCTGAGTGTCCTATATTCGGGTTTTGTTGTTATAATTACCGTTTTCATTGGGATTATTATAACCTTTATTATTATTGTTAATAATAATGTTATTCTTAATATTATCGTCATTGTTATGATGATAAAGATGATCATCATCATCATCACCGTCATCATCATCATCGTCATCATCATTACTATTATTGTTATTATTATTATCATTCTTATTATTATTTTCATTATTTGTTATTTGTAAAATCCGTCGCAGCTCTATCTGAACCCGAAGCCTGTGTAGGTTATATTAATCAAACGTTTTAGATAGCAAGGCAAACCAATGAATGCAAATTTTACGATACCCTCCGAATAAACTTTAACATGCATTCCATTAACTCTTATTTAGAATGTGTTCCTGTTGGTGTGGCAGACAATGACATAATTCCAGATAGCGCACTTAAAGCAAGCACATTCTATGGTACAAATTATTATCCATACCACGGCCGACTGAATGAAACCAGGGGAAGGGGGGCGTGGTGTCCTCAGACTAAATCTGATAGAACAGATTATCTTCAAGTTGATATGGGTACAGAGCTGTCCGTTTGTGCTGTGGCTACACAGGGAGCACTGATTATTAGCGAATGGACCACCAGCTACAAATTGGATCTATCTGCAGACGGTGTAACTTGGATAACTTACAAGGAATCAAATGTTGAAAAGGTTTGTAAATGCCAATGAATGAAGAGTTAATTTGATCAGCAGATATGGGTGACGGCTATAGGCCCCTGTAGAGTCCAATTCGGTCTGCGCATTAAACGAGTAATTTAATCATGTGGTATATGCGTTACTGACCAAGCGTTAGGTTAAGATACCTAGGTATTGGCCGAGCTCTTTTATTTATTTATTTTATTTTTTTATTGTGTGTGTGTGTTTTTATAGACTGAGATAAAGTCCAAGTCCTTAGATACGCAAAAAAATGAGCTAGACTAATATTCAACCATCTTCACCTCACGCTTGCTCAGTGAAGGATTTATCATATGGCAATAATATTTCGCTTGAATAAAAATAAGGAATGACTGTTTGTTTCGAGAACGGGGAAAGAAGCCAACTGTGTTTGTGGCACAATAAACCCACGAGAGTCGGTTAGTATTTCTTTGTTTTGCCTATCTTCTGCCGCTTTTTGTGACTCCATCACCGACAGTGTCAAAAAATTCCGAACTTTTAAAGTCCACTCCACGAAACTTATATCCTTGCACGGGATCATGGCGGCTTATCACTGTAGCCAATCAGAACACAGGATTCGCTTCATGGTGCCCACTGGCGCTGCCAGCTACATAATAACTGTCTTTATCCACGATTACAATTACTGACTGAACAGCGGGTTAAAAATACCTGTGATCAATCAGCCAAAACTGATGCAAAATTTTGGGAAAAATATCTATCGATAAGACGCATGCATAAATAGCGATTTTTTTGTTATTGCTGCTGTTGTTGTTGTTGTTTTTTTTTTAGAGAAAAGGGAAAATGGACCCAATACTCTGCTGATAACTATTACATTCGAGAATTTTGTCAACGTTTTGATTAAGCCGCACCACACACTGCGTGAGATGTGAACTTTAACTGCACAAGTTACCCTAACAGACCACAACTACCCATAGTTTTCTCCCTCTCAATAGTAAAGGAGTGAAGTCAGAAACGTTTGACTAAAAAGCTAGAGTGAAACAGCGGAGTGGTTTTCATTCCATAGTTTTGAGCAGCTTATAATCTTGTGTTTCCTTTGCTGTAAAGCTGTCGGAATTGTCTTATATGTGTTTCATTGCGTCTAGATCAAGAGAAAGATCATAACTATATTAGAGACTTTTCTTGAAGAGGTCTCTGCTGCAACATTAGTTTTCTAGCCAACCTCGATGTACTTCAGATACTATCCCAAAGTCCTCTCCCTATAAACTTACGTAGTGTGTTGCTGGACTATTTGGCTTTCTCGTAATGAATAATGCATCTTCTCCTCTTCCAGGTTTTCCCAGGAAACTCAGACCGCCACAGCGTCGTAAAACATTCCCTCACTGCTGACGTCATGGCCAGATACGTTCGGTTCTATCCCGTCACGTACCACGTGTTTCCATGTTTGAGAGTTGAAATATTCACGGTAAAATGATGGCAGTTTTTATTTAATTTTTTTCATTTAGCTCAGTGCACAAAAATACGGGACAATGACAAACTTGCATGAGTAGTCCATGCCCAAATGAAACTTAAAAATCTACCGAGCTAATGGCGGGCACAATTTGACAAGCACAAATATATACTAGAGCAGATTTCATATTTCCATTTAAACTACAAAGCATGATTACGTTGATGAAGTAGGGTGGAGATCTGATTCATTTAATGCATTGAGAAAACCACACAATGCATTTTTTTCTTGTACAAAGTATTTATATTGTGCGCAAGCCTTGTATACAAATAATCGCTAGGAATTCTGGGTGTCAGTTACTTCAATTTCGGATTTATATCATTTAGTGCTTAAGTTAGCCTAAGTAATCCTTGCTTTCACAGCCTAGCAGCACGATATAACTACACTGGGAGAATGAAGAAAAGAAACGCAAAATTTTGAAAAATAAATTTTTAGTCATGCTGTCTTTGTAAAGTGCATTTGATGTGAGTTATAGTTTACGTTTTAGAACTCGATACACGCTGTATTCGTTCACAACAACTCTCAGCAATGGTGTCCAGATACGTTTTGCTTCTATCTAAATCTTTCTGGAAATCATTTTGCGGTCGAGCAAATGGTGACGATTACACAAGCTCTAAAGGAATTGAGAATGTTATTTATTCCCTTAGTGGTAAAAGTAATAGAAAAATTAATAATTTATGTCATTAAAACAGGAAGAAGGAGGAGTTGTCTTTAAGATTGATGCAGTATTTCAGATATAATTCGAATGGTGATAGAAACCCTATGACAGTTGACACAGTTTACTCACAGCTAGAATGATAGCAGTGGCCGACTACTAGCTTAGGGTGCTCTGAGTCTGGTACACTTAAAAAAAGAAAAAATATATATAAAAAGATAAAGCCATAATGATTATGGTGTAATGAGATGAGAGAAGAAGCTTCATCATCCTAAGGCAATTTATTGCAACGATTTTAATACACTTAACCAGCGGTACGTATCTGGTAATGATACGAAATGAGACAAATCCAAACAAAATCAGTTTTTCTTTCAAATCGCGAAGCTACACTCTACTCCAAACGAGGAAGTAAGGTCCAAAATAGGTATTTCGATCATCGCTTAACATAGAATAATATGCAAAGGTAAAGTTTTTGCCCATTTTATTTCTTTTCTTTTTATCCCCTTTTTCATTCATCTAATTGTTTTGCAAATAAAGGGACTCCATTCAAGGCCGTCAATACCTTAGTATACTTTTGCATTTTGCACCTCGGCGAACAAAGGGAAAGTATTAGAGTTTTACCTCTAGTTAGGTTGAGCAAAGATCTAGCGAAGTTCATGAGCCACTGGGGCCTCGGGCCAAAAACTAAAAGGAGTATCATGGAATTACTTTTCAAACTGCAGCAAGAAACTAAAATGGTAGTTAGTACTGGGGTCGAGAACTTTCACCAGAATATTTTGATGGGATAGTCAAGAAAATTCCTCAAATTATTCTGAGGTAATTCCTTTTCATGGCCACGTCAAAGAGAGAGAAGAAACACATAGTGACTGTTGTTCATCAGCTTCAGTCTTTTGCAACTGTATTTTAACGATCTGAAGTTGGAAAAACCTAAAGAGGATTAGTAAGCCGATTAATTATTCTTGACACACAACAACGGGATATTTTATATTATCATACATTAGACGTACTATGAAAATCTGATTGGTCGAAAGCATTCATCAACATACATTAGCGTGTGAAATTGACATTGTATGACATGTCGAGTTTAAAGTCTACCGAGTTTTCCAGAGGTGAAGCCGTACGTACAAGAGAGATAAAAAATGAAGAAAAAACACACTTCTATGATATTGTCAATTAGTGGGAAATTGACGAGATTTGCTTAAGAAAAGATCTAAACGCCAATCCACCCTTGTAACACAGTTGAAACGACTTTGAAAATATTTAACAGTCGCGAAGCCATAAAACACGCAGATATAAAAAGAAAGTAATTATTACAGATTACTGAACTGATGGTATTGGAAGATGCTTAGGGGCCAGTTATAGATGTGTTACGATTATTTATTCAGACTTTCCACAATTACGGTAGTAACAACACAATTATACAATCACTCTAGCTTAAATCTGCCTGCTCCAAAAAAGTGGTATGGTATCCATCCTTATCTCTAGCTGAGCTATAAGTTACATATAAAGAATTATTTTTCGACCACTTTTCAAAAATTTCAAACAGTGAGGAGCCCTTAAACTGATAAGACGTTTATGTTCCAATGTCAAGGCTGACACCATGGGGTTAAAGCAGACAATGATAATCACTATGGGGTCTCACGGCTGTTTTTTAATATAGAAACAAGAAGATTAAAAAGCTTTAGTTCAATATCCCGGGATGACAGCACTGAGTCAGCCTCAATAGCTAATTCGTCACCGTTATGTCTACCGAGCTGTAATTAATCTCGAACAAAACAAACAGTTTATTCACCTGAAAAGAAAAGCTTACAACGAGGTTAATATATGGCGACGCTTAAAACTATCTTCTCCTTTGCAGTCGAATCATGATATAAAAAATGCGTGAAATGAGTTGGTCAAGGAAAGAAGATGTCAACTGTTTCCAACAACATCCGAATGATCTCACAAAGATCCACCCCTGTAAATAAAGACGGTGGCTAATTATAAACTGAGAGTTTGTTCGTGATGTCATTTCATTCCCTCTAAACATTAATCCGGTTCAATTTAGCCGTAAAACAAAACAACGCCTCGCTTGAATAAAATATCAGCTGTTTCTAATGGTATCCCGCTGATCCAACAAAGATGAAACCTTGTAAAGAAAGAAAATGACAAACTATCTGTCTAGAGTTTGTACTTGGTGTTACTTAATCATTTAGTTGACATGGTATGACATTTCAAGTTCAAAGTCTACCGAGTTTTCTAGAGGTGAAGCCGTCCTAAAGAGATAAAAAATGAAACAAAAAACACACCTCTATGATATTGTCAAATAGTGGAAATTGACGAGATTTGTTTACAGAAAACATCTAAATGCTTATCCACCCTTGTAACATAATTGAAACGACTTTGAAAAATATTTACCAGTCAAGAAGCCATAAAACACGCAGGTATAAAAAGAAATTAACTGTAACCGATTACTGAACTGCATCGTGAGCTGCATAGGGTCTTTTCATCATGTATCATGATAGTATTGGAAGATGCTTAGAGGCCAGTTATAGATGTGTTATGATTATTTATTCAGACTTTCCATAGTTACTGTAGTAACAATACAATTATGCAATCACTCTTAAATCTAGCTTTTAGAGCCTGCTCCAAAAAGTGGTATGGTAACCATCTTCACCTTTAGCTGAGCTACAAGTTACATATAAAAGTTTATTTTTCGATCACTTTTAAAAGATTCCAAACAGTGAGAAATCCTCTTACGCTGGTAAGAAATTGGTTGCGTTTCTCCTCCTTTTTTTTTTTTTCCACTAGTTACAGAGGGTTGAACTTGTTTCAAAGGTGAGCTTGCTCTGGTTCTTATCGAACAAGTTTCTTTCATTATTTTACTCTACATGTTTTATTTTCACAAACTTCTAGACGTTTATGTTCCAATACCAAAGCTGACACCATGGGGTTAAAACAAACAATGATAATCATTATGGGGTCTCACGGCTGTTTTGTACTATAGAAACAAGAAGATTGAACAACTTTAGTTATATATCCCAGGATGACAGCACCAAGTCAGCCTTAATAGCTAATTCTTCACTGTTATGTCTACCCAGCTGTAATTCATGTCGAACAAAACAAACAGTTAAGTCGCCCGAATAGATAAGTTTACAACGAGAATAATATATGGCGAGGTTGAGACCTATCTCCTCCTTTTCAGTTGAAGCATGATATAAAAAATGCGAGAAATGAGTTGGTCAGGGACCTTGATCAAGATTCCCCGTGCTAGCAACCTGATCATCAAGTCAAACTCAAAGGTGTCTACCTTATCTCTTTACACTCTAATTGTGATCAGCATCTAATTACTCCTCACAGTTATACTGCTGAATCGTTTATTAATGTAAAGAGAATAAAGGAAATGACCACCAACCTAAGAAGCTTTGATTGTTAAAGAAGTTCTCCTTGTCAGTATCCAAGGAAAAGTAAAGAGAAGAATTTGGAGAATGTGGATACTGATCAAAGGATGGCTAACTATTTACCAAAAGTTTGTCCGTGATGTTTTTTCGCTTCATGTAAACATTATTTAATTCAGCTTCAGCTGGCCGTAAAACACAACTACGCCCGGTTTAAAAAAATATGTTAACTGTTTCTATTGAACCAACAAAGATGCCCCCCCGTAAAGAAAAACGGTGGCTGATTATTTTCCTGATGTTATTTCAATTCTTTTAATCATCAATTCAGCCGTAAAACAAAACAACTCCTAGTTTGAAAAAATATTAACTGTTTCCAATAACATCCCACTCATCCAACATAAGGGAAAGGAAAGACAATGGCTAATCATCTGTTAGTTGGTTTTCCGAAGTAATATATATAATATAATTTCCCCTCAACATTTATGTAGCCCCAGTTGGCCGTAAAACACAACAATGCCCAGTTTGAAAGAAGATGTGAACTGTTTCTAATAACATCCGAATAATCCAACAAAGATGCACCCTGTAAAGAAGAGAGATGGCTACCTATTTAACAAGAGTTTTTCCGTGATCTCATTCCATTCCCTCTAAACATTAATTCGGCTCCATTTAGCCGTAAAACAAAACAAAGCCTCGCTTGAATAAAATATTAACTGTTTCCAAAGGCATCCCACCGATTCAACAAAGATGCATCCCTGTAAAGAAAGGAAATTACTATCTGTCAAAAGTTTGACCTTAGTGTTATTTCATTCCCTCTAAAAACAATTTCAGCTCCATTTAACCGTAAAACACAACAACGTCTCGTTTAAAAAATTATAAACTGTTTCCCATAACATCCCATTGATCCGACAAAAATGCACCTGTGAGGAAAGACAGTAGTATCGGCTAACATCCCTTCAGTTTTAGTTGGCTGTAAAACGCAATGAAGTCTAGTTTCCAATAACATACTACTGTTCAGACAACGATATACCCCTTTGAGGAAAGACAGTGGCTAATTATCTGCTAGGTGGTTGTCCGTGAAATAATATAACTCCCTCCAAGATAATATTGCTCTCTCTTAACATCCCGTCAGTTTCAGTTGGCAGTTGGCAACCTACTATTAGCGATAATACTTCACACCCTAAAAAAGGAGTAAACGGAGTCAGTTAAAGAAACAACGTACTTCTAACTAGGTGAGTGTATCCTGTTTCCATTGTTCGTTACAAAAATCACTTTTTTCAAATGAAAACTAAAGGTAGTATTTTCCCGTCACCGAAATTTTAAATGATGAAATTGTATGGATCACTAAAGAGATGAATCTGACGATGTAAAGAAGGATTTTAAAATGAACTACTACTGAAATAATTGTTTGTTACGAGGATATTCTTGGATCGAGGGAAAGATTATTTGATTCATCTTTTTTCCTTCTTAAAATCATATAAAAGCTGTCAAAAATATATATTTTTACACAGTTCCTCATCTTTTCCCGCAAACTGATCGCCAGCAAGAAAGACTACAAAACTGAGAAAATAGAAGGGCGGATTTTAAAGCGAAAAAAATTATATTTTCTACGATTACCCAGATGGGAATTTTCTCCAAAATAATATTGGACAGGGTTTTTTTTTTCTTTTTCTTTTTTTTTTTCAATTTCGATGCTGAGCAAAGTCTTTACTGGCTTAATGTTTTGTAAGAGATTGTCTCTCGCAAGATTATTAAGTACGTTTTTATTTAGATTTTTTTTGTCAGCATTATAACAATTTGTTTTGACTTCATCAGCCCTACCATCCTCCCTCTAGATTTTAAAACACTCCCCCAAGTTAAATCAAACATTTTCTCCATGAAAACACTCGTCTTCTTCTTCGCAGGCATCACAGATCTGATGCGCTTCATATGGCTTCTTCATATGGCAGGTCGGCAGGCTTTGTTTTTTACCGCGCTGTTTTTTATTTCTTTCGTGATTCGTGAAATTGCCAGTCAGCAGTGTCACGGAATATACTCCATTCATCAAATGATGCTTAAGGGCCATACCTATAAGACGTTCAAGACTACACCAGGTACGCCGGAATGCAGAGACATTTGTCTCGCTGATGAAAGATGTCAAAGCTTTAATGTCGTCATGTTCATTGCAATATGTGAGTTAAACAACCGAACTAAAGAGGCCAGACCAGAGGACTTTGTCAAGGACGAGTACAGATATTACATGGCGAAAGGTCCAAAACGAGGTAATAGAACTTGCAAAAATAAAATAGCAGGGTGCTTACGTTTATGGATTTTGCATTACTAGCTAGTGATTTTTCTAACTTTTATTCAGCCAAAGAGAAATATTTCCATTTCAGTTCCCCTGGGATCAATGCGTGAGCTGCCTGCTGAATCGTGCAAGGAAATCAAGGCGAGTGAAGGAGAACAAGCAGTTAGCGGTAATTATTGGCTGGATTCTACAAGATCTGGAAACTCTATTTTAGCTCGTTGCGACATGAGGACAAAAGGTTAGAACAAAAAATATCTCATGCCTATTTGCCTTCGTGCCAATGAAAGGCCTTCTCTTAATCAGTTTTCTTTTTAACTAGTTGCAGACTATTGTGTCAAGCACCAATGCCAAAACGATGCAAAGTGTGTGAACCGTGAAACCAACTACTCGTGCGCGTGTAACTCATCTGGTTGGACAGGAAAACATTGTGAAAATGGTATTTCTTTTGTTGAAAAGTTTCTACTAAAGTTCACGCTAAACAAATTCGATGAAGGAACGACAATAAATTAACATATGCTTATCCATAGATATCAATGAATGTCAGGAAGGCCTGCATGGTTGTCATGTAAATGCCATTTGTAACAACACTGAGGGCTCTTACAACTGTACATGCAAACTGGGAATTATTGGAGACGGAAGAAACAGTTGCAAAGGTAAGGATAGGGACAGATATTACATGGATACATGTCGAAAGGTCCACAACGAGGTGGTAAAACTTGCGAAGGTTAAATAGTTGTAACTCACTAAAGAGGTGAGAGAGAGGACATTCAATTTCTAGTTTAGTCCTCTAATGAGAATGTAAGTCTAAAATTCACATAAAAACGTTGCTCAGCATTGTGATACATATTTGATAGAGAAAAGCTGTTATACTACTTATTTAAACGCATTAATGTTGCGAAAATAAATGGTATGGGTCACCTGACGTTTATGGATTCTACGCTGCTTGTTAGTAATGTTTATTATTCTTATCCTTTTCAATCATCTATCCAACAATAAACACAGTTAAAGACAAGCCTTACCGTTTATTTCATTACTCTTATTTAGAATGTGGGCCTGTTGGTGTGACAGACGTAAATACAATCGCAGACGACAGAATAACAGCGACCGATTTTCACAATAAAAATTACTATCCATACTACGGCCGACTAAACGAAATCAGGGGACACGGAGGGTGGTGTCCTCAGAGTAAACATGACAGAACAGACTATCTTCAAGTTGATATGGGCAAAGTGCGTTCTATTTGTGGTGTGGCCACACAAGGACAATTGAGAGCCGCTGGATGGACCACCAGCTACAAACTACAATTATCTACAAACGGTACTACTTGGAACATTTACAAGGAAACAAATATTGAAAGGGTATGGAGAGAACTGAATTGACATTTTCAGCAATTAACAAATAATTCTAAGTCAGTGCAAATGATTAGCCAACAGAAATACACTTAGATGCTGAATTTGGATGCTTATCTCCCCTGGCTACTGCAGCAGAGAATGTCGTCGGAGATGATAAGCTTGTAGCATAACGGGTTTGCTTGAAAATTCTGAAAGGCATCTGATGCGTCTTTTATAAAATGGTTCAAAAGACTTAGGAAGAAGTAGTTTGTCTATTCTTGCGTGTATTGCGTGAGGTCGAAGAGATTTAGAAATTAGTCGAGCATTGTACTGCTAAGACTTTTCCATCCAGGATATATTAACTAAAGACATTTCTCATGACGTAGTTTTCCAGATTTCGTGAGACAGGAAGTCTCCGTTCCGTCTCTCTTTCTGTCCCTAACTTTGTTTTTATCATGGGTTCATTTGATTTTCTTTTGTTTTTGTTTATTTTGCTTTCGCAAATCAAGATGGTAACATAATATGTGCACGCTGCAAACAAAAGCTTAAATATCAGCAACATTTACATTTGGGAAAAGACTCAACAACAGCCTTCTTGCGGCTGAATAAAGGAAAATATCATATAACCTTGACCATCTACTTCTGGCTATTGGAGGATGAGTAGTAAAAACGTCCATAATATAAAAAAAAAAAAGGTGAAAAAAGTGACAGAAAAACGAACTCCGTTTAGAAAGCTCGGGCCGCAATGCAATAGAAAACAAAATTGCGTTAAAGATGTGAGCAGTCAAGACCTGTTCAAATGCCCCCCGTATCTCCCCCTTCCCCCCTTCTAGCGCCTCCTTACCAGGTATATAGAATTGGTGCACCATACAAAGTTGTTCAATTTTTTTGTTTCTCTGGTTTGCTTTTTTCCAGGTGTTCACAGGAAACTCAGATCGGACCAGTGTCGTAAAGCATTCACTCACAACTGACTTCAAAGCGAGATACGTTCGGTTTTATCCTGTAACATACCATAATTGCCCATGTTTGAGGGTTGAAATATTTGAGCTTAAGTAATGCGTTAAAGGGTTCGTATATGTGTAGTCATTCATCAACACAAAAACAGGAGAAAAGGTATATATACAGATTTGACAATAGGAAATTTAAACATTAGCAAGTAGCTGATTAACAAACTAATCATTTATTAGGGAAGGATCAAGAATTTTTCGTGGGAGTGGGTGCACCACAAAGGAACCACCCACCTGACGTCTCCTCTGACGAACAGAAGAGCTGGTCCTCGAAAATTCAGTGCCAACTTACCATTTTAACCGCTTTAACATTAAGTACCAAGGATCTGTTTTTTTAAGCACTTGCTAACATTAATGGCTGAATCCACCAGAGAGGTCTTCATACCTCTCTGGTATTTGATTTAAAAAAGGAAATAGTGCCAATTTGAATTGTTAGACAGGCACGGCTGTAATCTTATCTAATTAAGAAAAAAATTAAAGTTGGAACAAACTACAGTAATTCAACTTCTATGATTTGTGTGTGGGTGTGTGTGTGTGTGTGTTACTACGCCTTTTTTCTCAAATTCCAGTCAAACCACAACAGCTTCAATGGAAAACAACCGGCAAGTTCGATCGTCGATGCAAAACCTGATCGGCGGTCATTCATATTCTGACAAAACCCCTTTCCCCCATCCCCCGTAAGGTAGATTTTTCATTTCCCAAATAGTTAGTAGAATAGGGTCCGCAGTCGTTTCCATCTCACGGTAGCCCTTACGTTGCGCTACTCGTTGCTTCGCTAAGGAAGCAAAATATCACCCCTTTTTCTTTCTTATCACGGGATATGGTAGATTTCCTTAGATTAAAAAAGTGTAAGTTTCGACTAGATTCAAAAGTGTGCGTCTCACGAAACGTTTTGATAAACATTAACCTTAATTCTTGTGATAGCAACTTCTCGACTCCATCGGCAAACCACAAGATTACAGTATAGTTTTGACAGATTAAGGGAATAAGTGATTAAAAGGCAACTACTAAACATTAAGCTTATTATGCTAGATGAAAAAGTCATGGTTTAAACCAAGAGCGTCTTTAAATTCCCTATAATGTACACTAGTGGTGATTGGTTGGTTGAAAGTATCTGAAAAATCTTTGCGAAGAGATTTCAACGTAGAGCAATATCCTGTAAAATTTCAGCCCACTATAATTGGATATATATGTTTATAAACCCGGCCTCCGATGGAAGCATCTGAAATTTTTCTGGGACAAGATTTCAACATCGAGCAATATCCTGCAGAATTTTTGCTCATTAGAATTGGTTATTTGTTGTTGTTGTTTTTTTTTTAACCACGGCCTTAATAAACTATAGCTTGCACAGCTTTTAGGACAAACATTTAGATTATTGCAACGGGTTGATTATGAATTTATTCGTTGGGCTGTTGTTTCAATTTTGTTTTTTTCCAGTTTTTCTCATTACTTAACTCAAACCTTAAAGTTATTAACTAAGTATCAGCAGACAATTGCCCATTGAATTTCCTATCGGTTTCCCTACTTCACTGATACATTAGAATTACTATTTACTACGATTTTATTCTCGACAGACACCGGCAACGGGTTATCAGCTAAGCCAAGTTTGAAATAACCTGCGGCAGCGAACAATTAAAAAACGTTCGGTGGAGTATAACAGAGAGTTTTCAAAAAATAATACGAGGTGTAGCTGAACTGGTTTATTTCTCTTTGCTTTACTTCAAGTGTTCCAAGGAAACTCAGATCAATGTAGCATCGTAAAGCATTCACTCAGAAATGAATTCAAAGCCAAATACGTTTTGTCACAAACCATGCCTGGCCATGTTTGAGGCTAAGCTTAAAACATTTGTGCTAGAATAATAGGTCTAGTCATCCAACAGCACTAAAAGTAACAGGAAATGGTCAGTTTGATGGTTAAAAAAAAAGTACATGTACAGAGTACATGAGAGGAGAGAGGACAACAAGCAATTAAATTCTACCGAGCAAATGAACAAACGTTTTTAAAGTAAATTTTCAACAGATCAGTAGGTTGTAATGAATTATATGAAAACTTTTTTTTTTTCTAAGTGAAATTTTGCATGGATTTCATAAATCTGTTTACGTTATGCCACATAGATGCAAAGGCAATCCAATTGGGCTAATAGAGAAAGTAATTTTGCAAAGAAACGACACATAACTGTAAAATAATATAAACCAGACGAATAAATAAATGAATTATTAAAATATCACATAATTATCATTACCCGATGAAACATGCAAATAACTTACTAGTTCACAACACTAAAACTTACAATAACTCCCCAAGCATTTCAAATCGATTTGATTTCCCGCCGCTCCGGGCATCAGAAATAACTGTCGTTATTTCTCAGAGGTCGCTACTCGTTGTGAAGTACGCTTGCGCACTCGGTATTCTCGGTGTTCGAATTGAAATAAAAGGCATCCCCTCCCAAAAAACATAAAAACAAACAAAAAACATATTGTTGATATCATTAGAACATTGACAGCAGTCGACTTTCACTTTAAGCATTTTATCTCTTTACGCACCCTGTTCGACCTCTCTTAGCACTAAGGACGAAAGAACATTGCCTCTCGTATACAAGTATGAGGGCATTTACTGTTTTTGACCGGAGAAGGACTGTGGGGCTCATTCCTTATGGGGCAGTGGCTGGGTGTTTAATCGATACGTTATTGTTTGAATTTTTTCTGCTGTTTTTAACAACTCGTAGGCATCGATTACGTATCATGAACACAGGAGAACCATAGAGTAATTCTCATTTTTTGTGTAACGAGCGTAGGATGTAGAAAATCTACAAGTATCCCATGAAAAAAGCGCACCCTAAGGTCCAATGCTCGCTCTTTACGTGAACGGCATAAGGTAATAATGATTTTCGGTCTGCTCTTTGCAACCATCGTGGAGAGGACTTTTTTCGGTTATTTCTCTGTCAATCTGAGGTGAACTCTGTCATTTGAATTTGCAGTTACCACAATTTACCCAGTTTTTTATCCATATTTTGGCCGATCTTATTCACAGGCGCCAATGGAACTGATCAGGCTGCGCCAAGGTTGTTTGTGACAACTCCTTTCACTGTGGTAGTCACGTGACGATTATCACCATTCACGCGATAAGTCACGCGATAAGTCCGATGATTGCCTCGTGTTCGCATTTTTTTAGTATCGAGATCAAAATTTTGTTGAGTGGGGAGAGATGGCGGGTCTTACTCGCATTTAGATTTTGTTGGCTGTGGGAATGCTAAATGTAGGTTCACTTAACACCATCACTCTTAAAGCCCAGAACAATTGTTCGTAAGTTTCACTAAAGTTGTTGTGTGAGAAGATTTAAAGGCTGATACTGGGTAATCGGGAAACATTTTATACAATTGTCTTTTGTGTGTGTGTTTAATTGCACGTTCTTGCTGGGCTGTTGTGATATTGACTTCGTAGGTTCAATTACGTTGCTGACGCCTCGCTTCAGCGTTAGTTGTGTGCCAGTGAATTCAGTTGTGGCACTATTGAAACTGAAAGAAACATAAATGACTCAGATATAAATTTACTACACATTGTTGAGTTTTTACCTCGGGAAAGCTTGATAGATTGGATTGTGATATCATCTTACTATTATTGATAAGGAGGGATCTTAAAGCCATCTTTTATAAGAACACTTCTTGCATTTTGTACTCGTTTGTTTTCTGCAGCAGATATTGGGTTATCATGTCGAGTTTAAAGTCTTCCAGCCCCTTGTTCGTGTACAGTTCTTAGACTTTTGCAAACTCAGAGTTTGTTTTAAAAGTGTATAGTAAAAAATGATTGAATTTGGTTTTTGCATAATGTCATGAGTTATCAAATCCAATGTCTCATGTGTTATCTTCCTGCGCCATCCACCTCAGCAGATAACTCAGACTTCAGCATAATTTAATCAAAAATTTCTTAATATATTTATATCTCCCAGAAAAAACTCATTGCATTTGAACTAATTGATTTTGATATACTGATTGATATATTGCATACTTGGACAAATTTTTCCAAAACTAAATGAGCAATAGTTGTTACTCTCATTCTGTTCAATTTTGTTTAGAACCAAGGGACTGAAAGATATGAATGGTAAGGAAAAACACCAATTTGAACATCCATGGAATCAAACTGCTCTGATGTTTCTTGGTAAGTTAAGATGTATGTAACCTTTGATAAATGAGTTTTTCATTTCCAGTTAAACCTGCAACTAAGTGTGATTAGCTTAGAAGAAAGATTTGATCTGAAAGCAATCTTCCACAACTGTTTTGAATATGCGCACCTGAATCTATCTGACATTAGGGTGAAAAAAGTATGTAATCATGCAGCCATGCACCTCAACTCTCTCCCCCACTGTACACGGTTAAAAGGACAGAGTGGAGTCCAATTCGGTTTGTAATCATACAAGTGATTAACAAATTCGGGCGACTGCGAAGCGGGAGTCCGATTGGACAGACAGAATTGGACAACACATTAGACAACACAAAGCCCTCTTACCAATTAATCAAAATAATGACAAAATTTGAGAAAGAAACTAGACTTTGGTTATACGTTTTCATTAAAAACAGATCAAAAGAAAACAAAAACAATTAAGAGAGATGTTTTTTCGTCTTGTCATGAGCGTGGGACACACTAGCAGTATGCAGGACGCGTGTCATAAGAACTTCGTAATAGACCTCGCTCACCGAAGAGTCTTTGTGGCTCAGTGGTAGAGCATCGGAGCGCAAATCCGAAGGTCTGAGGTTCGATTCCTCACGGTAACTCAGAATTTTTCTTTGTCCCACGCTCGTGACAAGACGAAAAAACATATTTCTTAATTCTTCACCGAGCTCAAAACATACCATCTCTACTATTTCTATCAAAAAAAAACCAGTTAACCCGGCGAAATGCTCGTTGTTGCTTGAGTATTCTGTTCCTCGTCGCAAGTGCTCACGCAAGTAATCTATTCCAAGGCCTCGAAAGGTAAATAAATAAAATAATTAATTAAAGGTTTATTCAATATATGTTTGCGTACAAGAGTAAAATACAACATGTTTACATCAATTGCATTCTCAAAAAAATTTAAAAAGTTATAAAAAATATTACATGTTGGTAAATATATATTTACAAAAAAAAAGTACGTATATATACAAGCTATATAAAAATTCATTGCTATTGTAAAAAGGCCATTGCCGGAAAAAAGATATTCTTAAAACGCTCCGTCCTGCATCTCGGCAACGATTTACGGTGGCTAGACCTCAGGTTACGCCCATGGACGACGTTACGCCGGGGTGGAACATTCGAAAATAAGCGCGAGGAGGGCTCGCATGCTTTCTCAAAGGTCTTCTTGTATAAGCACAACCTTCTTTCTGAAAGACTAGTGATGGAGCCTCTGGAAAGTGCCGTTTCGTAGTCACTTCCTGGAAAAATAATCCTCAAGGCACGTTTTTTAACACGCTCTAGTTGCTGCTTGAGGTGTGACTGTACACTGCTACTCCAAACTTGGCAAGCGTACTCTAAAACTGATCGGCCAAGGGCGCAATATATGGTGATAAGGTGATCCGGGGGGACTCCAGCCCGTTTCAAAACCCTTAGCAGGTATAGACGTTCACACGCCTGGTCCACAATCTCCTTGGTGTTTTGGCCCCATTTTACGTTGTCACAAAGAGTAATACCAAGCACTTTGTGCACGCTCACCTTTTCAAGATACGTATGATTGACGGTGAGCTGGAGTACGTCGAGACCTTTAGCAAGGAAGGAGAGGCGCATTTCTTTGCACTTCTTCGGGTTTAGGTTCAAACAATTTTCCTCTGCCCAGGCTGTAATGCTGTCAAGATCATCTTGTATAGTTGATGGAGAACCATGGGGAACTACCTCGGAAATAGTAATGTCGTCGACACACTTCCAGTAACTCGATCTACAAGCTAAATCGTCAACCATAACCAGAAACAGAACTGGGCCAAGCTTGGTTCCTTGTGGGACCCCGGCATGCACCGGGGCCCATTCGGAAAGGAGTCCGTCAAGCTTTACAGCTTGTCGTCTCTGTGATAGAAAGCTGCAAATCCACTTGACGATAATGGATCTAGCGCCCATTTCCAAAAGCTTGCATACCAGAATATTATGGTCAATATGGTCAAACGCTTTAGAGAAATCTAAAAAGTACACTTTCAGGTACCTACCAGGTGATTCAAGGGCTGATAGCCAGCTATGTAGCATATCAAGTAGACAAACGGTGGTTGACACGTCTTTGAGAGAACCAAACTGATTTGGGCCAATGTGCTCCTTGATGTCCTCCATGAGCCACTGGACAACCTCCATGCCTCTGTTATCTGCAGCTTGAGCGGTAGTCTCATTGGATTTTCTTTGTGGCTTATCTACAACGCAGGTTTGTACGTAGTGTGCACATATCAAGCTTTTCTTATGTGGAAAGTGCCACAGAATTATAGAGTCTTGACTAATTGCGTTTAAGATGACCGCCCTATGTATTATTGTTCTTGTTTATATCTCGTCGTACATGGGTACCTCAGGCTGGTATCGGACAATTATCTAATGTTTCATGCTTATATTTCTTGGAACTCTCATATGGGCGAGTATCTTTGCACCGAATATTCACATAATTCTGTTCCGACCGCCAAAAGCATTCCGGTGAGACCTTCCGTGAGCTCCATTACACTGAGAGTAATCTCACCCACTGGGGTCAGCAGTATTGGTGAACAATACATGTGCAGTAGGAAAAATTATCTGAATCCCAACGTAGATGAAAGGTGGGGAGGCTTGTGGGCCAAGTTTGATTCGGCTCATGAACTGAACGAAAATGTGACAATCACTGAGAAAGATGATTGGCCGAAAAAGTCTGAGGAATTTTATTATCTGTCCGAGAAAGAACTGAAAGAAGACCAGGAAACTGATACAGGTACAGCTGATAAGTCACAAATTGTAAAATGACGCCCCTAAAGAATACTTCGATGGTGCATTTCGAAGACGAAATGGTAAATGAGTGCGATGAAAGCAGAGACACACACGTCGTCCCTAAAAAGAAAACCAGTGGTAGTCAAAGAGGTATCTTCCTCATAAATCAGAGAATCATGAAAATCTCATTAATGGGATCGTTCCAAGGAAGAAAAAAACATCACTAGTTTGTTTTCAGGACGAAGTGTTAAGTTTTAATATTAATAATTTTACAGACTACCATAGGATTGCGCTTCCCGCCAAAGGAGAAGAACCCATTCAAATAACGAAAGGAGACCTTGACGCTGAGACCAGTAACAAAGGATTGCATGACTCCGATATAGAACGTTTCTAAATGTATAGTTGTTGCGATAAAGATCATGGCAGCTACTTCGAAATAGTTTATTTTGTGTTATAGGGCGATTGAAAATTGTCGATCACGAGTGAAGCCTGAAAATAATAGCTCAAAGGGGAAAAGAAACAGGATTGTTCGAGGGTGGAATTACTCCAGAGGGAACACGATGAAAACACTGCAAAAGAGAAAAAAAAAACAAGTGAAATTAGACATAAGTATAAAGGTCCTTGATAGAAAAATGGCATTGTAATTCTTATGATAATAAGTATTTCTCAGCTATTTACCTTAAACATGGGTATACATTTAGAAAAACACGCTTAATATCGATTCTGACGAACAACTGGCTTTGGCTTCTGATTATCATTTGTCAAGACTCAAATAGCTGGAGAGGAGATGTCATGAAAACACATATTGGGTGAGCTAACCATGTGACAGACTATCCCGCTCGTTAAAAAACCATTACACATGCGTAGTTCTCCAAAACATTGCAAAACGACCTAACGGCTGAGATCATTGGCCGTTGAATAGCATATTTCAAATTTAACAAAAGCATACGGCTCAACAGGCAGCGAAAAGCGCAGTATTTTCATACTTACAGTTCCAATTTTTCTACAGTATGTTTACCTCACAAACGTGACCGCTGACCAGCCGCTGAGTGAAAATAGTATGGCGTGGGGTGGGGTGGGTGGCGGGCTTATCGTCATAAGATATTCGAATACATGCTTAAAAAGCCTTAGGACTGTCAGTCTCAACAATGAAGGTATGCTTCGTGGTACAGACAACTTTTATTTTATTCCCATAACTTTCTCCTTTAAATTAGAGCTGGTATTAATTAATAGAGTTATCAATATATTTTTAACCGGGGTACCCATATAACCTCTTAGCCTGTCATCAGTGGTATAAAATAAGGTTTTTTTTTCCACCAGAACCTTCTATTTATGCTCCATTACACGGGATGAACACTATACTTAGAATGTTTGTACTAAGTAATTTTTGCTGTTCCCAAGAATGTATGCAAAATGATAGAGATTAAATTCATTCCACTGACACGTTCTTTTAAGTTATGGAGCGTGCAGGTTTTTCCTATCAAAAGTCGCGCGTGCAACACACCGGAATTGAAAATTCGTCGTAAAATCGCACGAACCTTAGAATGAGTGTAGGCAACTTTGACTTCTGGCGAGATGAAGTGGATGGTTCAAAGGACCCCCTGAGATTTTTTTCAAGACTATAACTGAGATTTGTTTATAACTATGATAATCGTCATCAATAGCGGACGGTGCTTTTTACCCATTGTTGTCATCATCATCGTTATCACGCCGGAAGAAGTATAAAGCCGGCATGTCGCCTTACCTAACTACACAGAAAATTGTTCTCTCTTTTGTTCCCCTTGGATCTTGGAAACTGTTACTATTAAGACGATCAACAAGAAAGCCTTTATAATTATTTAAACTTTTGATTAACAGAATGTAAGAAAAAATCGGTGGGGAGAGTTATTCGCGTATCGTATAACCTGAACGATAGTTTTCAATAAAACAAATACCCCTTAATTCAATTTACCTTAGTTGTCTCGTGTTTAAAAGTGGTGTTTCTGGGGACCGTAGATTCTTCTCTGATTCTTCTTGTCTCAGCCAAGACTCACTATCATCAACTTTTTTCTTGTGCCTCTTACGGCATGGGATACAGAGAGCTGAGGTAAGCGACTGCAAATTTCTCAGCTAAAGTAAAGCCCAGTAGCATCCATCAGGAATTGAAAACCGTGATGCACTGTTTACTTTTATTATTCTTAATCAAATAAGGGGTGTTTTAGTCTGCAAATTTAATCGTACTGGTTAATGAGAATCATACAAACTGAGGAAAATTGACCGCAAATAATTGTGAACCGTACGCACGAATAAGTGTATTGCGTTGTCAGGTGATTTAACCTTCTACAAAAACATTATTGATTATCAACCAAGCAACATTGTACATATTTCCATCTGCAATTAAAAGCACTCACACGTAGATCTATGTTTTTTCAACGTGATGTGTACTTAAGTAACCTTCATCTAATAAAGAATTTCTTCTCTTTTCGAGCAGATATGTCACTTGACAAAAATATATAACAGAAAACGTTACTGAAGACTACCTGATTCAACTGGAATAATAAATCCAAACAGCTTTTGAATGTCCTGAGACATATGCAAGGTAATTACATCTCTGCCTTGGATACGCTTCCTGACACCATCATGATCAGGATACTGACATGTTACCTTTGCACTTTTCCAAAACTTCCCCAAAGTGTGGCGATACCTACAGCAAATCCACATTTTTTTTGTTTATCCTCCTGAGCGAGGTGAAATAGGCCAATCCTTGCCAAGATTAGCTCATTTTCACTTAAGACCTCTTTAGACAGGTGGCAGCTTATCAAATGATGTTTTACTTCGTCATTGCATTCAGACAGTCGTACCAAACCGCTTAAGCCACGCGATCAACCAAAGTTTTTTCCATCTTTACTATTCAAAAAGCAGTCCTGAGACATAATGAACGTCTCGCTAACGAACGACTTCTTCCTGTACTTGTAATTGTTTCCAACGTGATGCAAGTTCGAGAGATCTAAAGGAACACACTATAACTTTGTATACTCAATACGATTTCAATTTCCGCGTCAAAGGAGAAGCCTACTGTGGTCAGTGGTTACGCTCGTGAGGTAAAGAATGGGTTTGTGACTTTCTCACTCAATTGAAAGACTCGCGTCACTCTTATGAAATGGTTGAACGGAATACAGACTTCGAGCAGTCTCTAATTTTTTTAAAGATAGTGAGGTCACGCGTATCCTGTGAGCATGGAGAAGCCGCGAGACGCGAGACTCGTGTCTCGCGTCTTTGCCGCTCCACGCTCTCAGAGTTGGGCGAAGACAAGACACGTTATTTCTGGTGCGATACAAGAGGTTCAATGGTTATCTCGATTATCTAAACACATTTATTTACGTGGTAAAGTTTTATTTGTAAATCTATGAATTGATGCTAGTCCTATTTGGAACGAAATGTATTTGAAAGAAAAAAAGAATACTAAGTAAAACAAAAGTTGTCTGCAACACGAAGCATGCCTTCACATTAAGACTGACAGTCCTAGTGTTTATCATGATACTTTAATGCATATGTTCGAATGTTCCCAAAAATCTTCTGATAATCTTCCCGCACCCACCCCTCACCCCGCCCTCACCACTGAACCGTAATGTTTTCACTCAGCGGCTGGTCAGCGATCACGTTTATGAAATAAACATGGCGATCGCTACCCGATCACCGTTCTTGTCGATCCGAATGTCAAAATACCAGCGTGATATTGCCGCGAAGATAAAGCAGTTTTATAAAATAATTAAAATAGTACGCGCGCTCTGATTGGCCATAAAACCATTTTACATGAGCGTATGTAAACACGGTTTTCGTTCCTCTTTCATTAGTTATTTCATAAAAGAAATGTAAAATGGTTTCCGTTTTTACATAGCCTGATGTAAACACTCGATAGGCTGGATAGGTAAGCGGTAGGAAACCACTCCGCTTCGCGTCTTGGTTTCCTACGCTTACCTCGTGTTCTCCCAACCCCCCAAGTGTTTACATCAGGCTATGTAAACACGGAAACCATTTTACATTTCTTCAATGTTAATTAATTTGTATTTCACATTCAAGTCGAAGCTTGGGTGGCACAGGTTATTTCTTACGGTGGAATCGACAAGGGGAATTCGAACACTAGTTGTAATGTTTAAATTGTTGGAAGAAATGGTCGCATGGGGATGGTAAGTTTAACGAACAATTTCAAATTTTGCAGCTTGAATTGAAAGTAAAGTTAATTTGAATTGCTTTCGTATGTATTTCTGACGGTTTTAGATCTACCAGCTTGATTTACATCGGTTACGCTTCATGTTGACAAATCCCTCAAACTGGCGGCCAAACTTGGAGATTGCGAAAAATTAGGTAAGTTCACGAGTTATAAAGTTCTCGTAAAGGTCGGACCGCAAAGTTTTTTTCTGTTATTACCTTTTCTATGGCACCTACTTCCTAGCTATGTTAGTTGGATCAGTTAAGAACGCCTCACTTTTTCAAAAATTTACCTTGATCGGTTTTGGCGTGTGTGATTTAGGCGAACCGATAAGGTGTTATTCAAGTCTTCCCGTTTCCTTGATTGAAACGTGATGCTTACGAAAGTCGCCTCGATAGATAAGATAAAGTTAATATACATGGCTGTGGTAGTTGTTTTTTTCTGAGTTCCGTAGTTTTTTTGTAAATTGTCCTTCAAAGTTGTATGAAACGTGATGTTTACAAAAGTCGCCTCGATAGATAAGATAAAGTCAATATACATGGCCGTGGTAGTTGTTTTTTTCTGAGTTCCGTAGTTTTTTGTAAATTGTCCTCCAAAGTTGTATGAAATTAAAGTCTTGAAAAGTGTCACGACAAGCCTTTGCTCGAGTGAAATTTAATTTCCGAAAAATTCTGAAAAATAAAGAGATCCGATCAAACTGATTGTTGTTTTAGTAAAGGTACATGAATGTCTTACAACACACAAAAAACGAGCGAAATTCGTGTCTCAAGCAAAATCGACCGGACCGCTCTTTCAGAGACACTCTCTTAAGGCGCTCCTGAAGTTGTTCCTCATCATCTGCTGTCGAAATTTATGACGTCAAACATCAATATCATTATCTTTCGTTTTAAGTCGTTTTAATGGAAACCTCAAACAAATCTAAGCCGTATCAAAAAAAGAAATTTCCTGTGCGCAGTGTTAAACCCAAACGGCAAAGTTTATTACTGTGGAGTTTATTAACTAACAACAATAACTGTTTGATCTCTGAAGAGGAAGGATGTTTTTATCTGGGCTGATCGGTTTTCTTTTGTTTCAACTCAGCGGGGGTTTGTTTAAAGATTTACTGTTTCTGGAATAATGATAATTGAAATAGACAGACTGAACGCAGACTTTGTTTGTGTCTTTGGATAGGCTCACGATTAACTCGAAATGCATCGACAATAACTCAGATGTGGACTTAGTCGGTAAACAGCAAAAAAAGGATTAAAATTTTTATATCTCTAAAACAAATTGTGTGAAATTGAATTTCTCTCTGTTAGAGGACGTTCTTGTTTTAAGGTTTCATCCGAAAAATTGAGTTTTCCAGCTATGTGTATAAGTTTATCCTTGTCGTGTTTTAAACTTTACCATTTAAGAAAAGGCGAAAATGAACTGTCTGGAAAAGTTAGATAAACACTTATCTTATCCTACAGAATGCAGAATATGCCTTGAAATTACAATTAGTTAGCCAATGACCAAAGTTCATTGCGGAAAACTAAGCACAAGTATCATCATGTTTCTTTTAACTATGAACAAAGCTTAAGGTTGAAGACTATAGAGGAATTATTGCCTTGCAATGAAAATGAACGGAAGAGGGCACTTTTAGCCTCCCCTGAAGAAGGTAGGCATTGACTCTCAGTCAACCAAGTACATTTGGCTCAGGTCCCGCAGAGCCCATCCTCTCTTCTTTTCGCGTAAGGGACGAGTTGACAGACGGCTGTCAATTTCTAGCTGTGTGAGCGATGCTCGGCTGAGAGGCATGATTAGTTTTTGAAGGAAGGAGAAGCCAATTGAAAGGTATATGGCAATGACTAAGATAAGAGAAGAAAACTGCTCCATTACAGCATTTCAAAGAAATCTGATCGATTTTCTTGGTCTTCACAACCAATCTAAGACGTTCGGGTTAGAGTCATTTCACCTCCAAACCTACCACATCGTGAAAGTCAGCTCGATCTAAAATGGGCCATGTTGTTCGGCCCTAACAGTGAAAGTGAGCGGACAAAAGTGTTTAAGAACGTTGACGGAAGTTGATTTTAAACTTTTAAATGAACTGAAATGAAATTTTACCATTTCTGCCAAGGGTAATGGTAAAAAGTTACCCTTTACCGTAGAATGGTCAAAATTTCAACCATTAACCATACAAGCCATCACCGCAATGAGTAACACTCAAAAGTGGCAGGTGTTTTAAGATCTGCAAAAAGAGGAACTTTCGGAAAAAAAATATTTTCTTAAAGTCCCTGTCTTCAGAATTCCGGTCAAAATTTTAACCATCAACTATACACCAAACCCCACTGAGACCCTCTTAAAAGTGGCAGGTGTTTTAAAATGTGCAATAACAGGAACTTTCGGAAACAAATGTTTTCTAAAAGTTCCTGTTGGAAGAAGTTTCGTCATTCAGAACGTGAGTGATGGTTCTCATGAAAGGCATAAATATTTCATAACGAGCCGGGAGAGGGAAGCCAATTGAAAGATATAGCGGGAAAGGATTAAAATCGAGGAACACCACTCTATTTCAGAATTTAACGAAAATCTGATCGATTACCTCGACACAAAGTTCGCGAAAGAGTCATTTGAACCGAACTCTACTGCCTTGTAAAAGTTAGGAAGAAAACAAGCAGGAAATTGTTCTACATTAATCCAACAGCAATTTGATCTGGAATAAGTCTTTACGCTTGCCTCTGAAGGTAAAAGCTGCTGATTAAATGTGTTTTAGAACGATTAAATTAATTACATTTTTTTTGGAAATAGTTCAAATCAATTTTCAGCATTTCTCTCAGCTGTAACGGAGAGAAATTAAACGTTTGCCGAAAAATCAGATGGCCAACATTTGAACCGTTAGCCATACCCTCATAGTTGTGACCACGAAGAATTTGGCCTGATTTCTTTCATTTCAGCCTACGTTTTGTACATTTAGCCAAACTAAGGAGGTTTAAAATTTTTTCAATTTTTAAACACGATCCTTTAAATGGATTGATACAACACCACTTTGATGGTATCAAAAGATTCCAAATTATTTATCAGCGCGTTGCAATTATTTTTGCAGATATATAGAGTTATACATAGCAACAGTACAGCTCTTTAAAAAATTCCTTAATTTTTGCCTTTCATGTCTGCAACTCAAAAACGAGTACGGCTTAGTAACAAATGACACAGCAAGGTTCATTTATCTGCTAATTGTTTTTTCAACTACCCATGGATTCATTTTCTCCTCAGAAACATTGGAGTGGATGATTATTTCTCTTTTGTCATTAATTTTGTATGAAACGTCAAAACTGCTAGTCTGCCTCGACGCTCTTGTTTTATATGATATTGTATTTCTTAAGTATTTTTGAGTATGCTTATTTTCAATATTTTTCTTGCTCATAAATTTTTTTAGGACTTCATAGCCTTCCCATACTCCTTCAGACTCGTCTGATACTCCGTCCTTTTAATCAATTATTTCTCGATGAAAATGCTCACCGTATTTTCGCAGGTGTCGTAGATCTGACAATCTTCATATGGCGGGTCGACAGGCTTCGTTTTTTACCACGCTGTTTTTTATTTCTTTCGTGTTCCGTGAAATTGCCAGTCAGCAATGTCACGGAGTAAACTCGATTTATCAAATGATGCTTAAGGGCCATACCTATAAGACGTTCAAGACTACACCAGGTACGCCGGAATGCAGAGATATATGTCTCGCTGATGAAAGATGTCAAAGTTTTAATGTCGTCATGTTCATTGCAATATGTGAGTTAAACAACCGAACTAAAGAGGCCAGACCAGAGGACTTTGTCATCGACGAGTACAGATATTATATGGCAAAAGGTCCAAAACGGGGTAATTGAACTTGATTACGTTTATGGAATTTGCGCTACTAGCTACTGATGTTTCTAACTTTTATCTAGCCGATGTGTAATTTTGAATTTTAGTTCCCTTGGGATCAATCCGTGAGCTGCCTGCTGAATCGTGCGAGGAAATCAAGGCGAGTGAAAGAGGACAAGCAAAAAGCGGTAATTATTGGTTGGATTCTACAAGATCTGGGAACTCTATTTTAGCTCGTTGCGACTTGAAGACAAAAGGTTAGTACAACAAACATTCAATGCCTATTTGCCTCTGTGCTAATGAAAGGCCTTCTCTTAATCAATTTTCTTTTTAACTAGTTGCAGACAATTGTGTCAAGCACCAATGCCAAAACGATGCAAAGTGTGTGAACCGTGAAACCAACTACTCGTGCGCATGTAACTCATCTGGTTGGACAGGAAAATATTGTGAAAAAGGTTTTTCTTTTGTTGAAAAAGTTTCTGCTGAAGTTCATGCTGAACAAATTCGATGAAGGAACTTCATTAAACTAACATATGCTAATCCGTAGATATCAACGAATGTAAGGAAGGCCGGCATGGTTGTCATGTAAATGCCATTTGTGGAAACACTGAGGGCTCCTACAACTGTACATGCAAACCGGGATTTACTGGAGACGGAAGAAACAGCTGCAAAGGTAAGGTTGTTATTGTCATTTTCATTATCATTATCATTATCATCCGATTAGAATCCTTTTCGGCCCCTTTGCCTCGCCTTCACCTAATGTTTTGTTTGAGTCACGCACAGATAGGAAAATATTGTGAAAAGTTTTTATTTTGTTGAAAAAGTTTCGGCTAAACTTCATGCTGAACAAATAACATGAAGGTACAACATTAAATTAACATATGCTTATCCATAGATATCAACGAATGTAAGGAAGGCCTGCATGGTTGTCATGTAAATGCCATTTGTGAAAACACTGAGGGCTCTTACAACTGTAAATGCAAACCGGGACTTAATGGAGACGGACAAAACAGCTGCAAAGGTAAGGTTGTTATTGTCATTTTCATTATCATTATCACTATCATCCGATTAGAATCCTTTACGGCCCCTTTGCCTCGCCTTCACCTAATGTTTTGTTTGAGTCATGCACAGATAGGAAAATATTGTCAAAAAGGTTTTTATTTTGTTGAAAAAGTTTCTGCTAAAGTTCTTGTTGAACAAGTAGATGAAGGAACGACATTAAATAACATATGCTTATCCATAGATATCAACGAATGTAAGGAAGGCCTGCATGGTTGTCATGTAAATGCCATTTGTAACAACACTGAGGGCTCTTATAACTGTACATGCAAACCGGGATTTATCGGAGACGGACAAAACAGCTGCAGAGGTAAGGTTGTTATTGTCATTTCCATTATCATCATCATTATCATCCGAATAGAATCCTTTACGGTCTCCTTTGCCTCGCCTTCGCTTAATGTTGGGCAAAGGGGGCCGTAAAGGGATCTGAGAGGGAGGACATTCAATTTCTATTTTAATCCTCTTATGAGAATGTAAGTCTAAAATTCACATAAAAACGTTGTTCAGCATTGCGATACATAATTGATATTGAAAAGTTGTTAGATTACTTATCAAAGCGCGTTGACTTAACGAAAAGAAATGGTGTGGGTCACATGACATTCATGGATTTTACGCTTCTTGTTACTAACGTGTAGTATTCTTATCCTTTCCAACCATCTCAGCATGATTCGCACCCAATGTCTTTACTAGTCATTTCATATTGCTCTAGATAGGGAAGAAAAATAACAAAAACAGGCGGGTAAAGACAAGCCTCACCGTTAGAATGTAGGCCTGTTAGTATGACAGAAAATAATAGTTTTTAAAGAAAAAGTTGTGAGGCTACTTATAAAAGCGCGTTAAGGTGACGCAAAGAAATTGTGTGGGTCACCTGACGTTCACGAATTTTACGCTGCTTGTTAGTAACGTTTAGTATTCTTATCTTTTTCAATTACCAGCATGATCCGCACTCAAAGTCGTTACTAGTTATTTCATTTTGTTCTATATAGGGAAGAAAAACAATAAACACAGCTAAAGATAAGCCTTACTGTTTATTTCATTTACTCCTATTTAGAATGTGGGCCTGTTGGTGTGACAGACAATAATGTCATTACAGATGCCAGATTTACAGCGACCAGTGTTTACAGTAGTTCTCACTATCCATACTATGGCCGACTGCACGAAACCAGGGGAAACGGAGGGTGGTGTCCTCGGAGCACAACTGATAGAACAGACTATCTTCAAGTTGATATGGGCGTAGTGCGTTCTGTTTGTGCTGTGGCCACACAAGGAGAATTGGCGAGCGATGAATGGACCACTAGCTACAGACTACAATTATCTACAAACAATATAACTTGGAACACTTACAACGAAACGAATATTGAAAAGGTATGGAGAGAACTGTTATTGACATTTTAATATCAGCAATTAAAAAAGAGTTTGAAGCCAATGCAAATAATCAGCAAACAGAAATACAATTAGATGCTGAATTTGGATGTGTAACTCCATTGGCTACTGCAGCAGAAAATGTCGTCGGAGATGACAAGCTTGTGTAGTATGACGAGTTTGCTTGAAAATTCTAAAAGGCGTCTGATGCGTCTTTTATGGAATGGTTCAAAGACTTAAGAAAGTGTAGTTTATCTATTCTTTCGGTGCTGCATGAGGTCGAAGAGATTTAGAAATTAGCCGCGCAATGTACTGCTAAGACTTTTCCATCCAGGATATTTTAACTAAAGCATTTCGCATGAAATTGTTTTCCCGATTTCGTGAGACAGGAAGTCTCCGTTCCGTCTCTTATTCTGTCCCTAACCTTGTCTTTGTCGTGGATTCATATGACTTTGTTTCGTTTTTGTTTTTTTGTTTTGTTTCGTTTTTTTGTTCGTAAATCATGATAGTGACATAATATGTGCATGCTGCAAACAATAGCTTAAATGTTAGCAACATTTATATCCGGGAAAAGACTCAACAACAGCCGTCTTGCAGCTCAATAAAGGAAAAAATCGTGTCACCTTGACCATCTACCTCTGGCTATCGGATGATGAGTAATAAAAAAATCCATAATAAAAAAAGGATGAAAAAAGTGACGGAAAAATGAACACCGTTTGGAAAGGCTGGGCCGCAATGCAATAGAAGACAAGTTGCGTGAGAGATATGAGCAGTTAAGACCTGTTCAAATGGCCCCCACACCTCCCCTCCCCCTCCTCCCAGCGCCTCCTTACTTAACTGTATATAGAATTGGTGCACCATACCAAGTTGTTCAATTTCTTTGTTTTGTTTTGTTTTTTGGTTTTTTCACAGGTGTTCACAGGAAACTCAGATCGGACCAGTATCGTGAAGCATTCACTCAGAACTGACTTCAAAGCCAGATACGTTCGGTTTTATCCTGTAACATACCATAATTGGCCATGTTTGAGAGTTGAAATATTTGAGCTTAAGTAATACGTTAAAGGGTTCGTATAAGTGTAGACATTTATTAACACAAAAACAGGAGAAAAACTGACGAACCTCTCCTCTGACCAACATAAGGGCTGACACTCGAAAAGTCAACGCCAACCTATCATTTTGACCGCATTTAACATAAATTCTCTAACCTCGTGTTCTATTTCAATGCCAATAATTCACACAGTTTTGTTTTTTCATTTTATCATCATTATTTGTTTTTCTTATTTTGCACAACACAAGTTATTTAATAAAGTTGCCGGTCATCTTAGGGGAAGATTGGTGTGCACCCCTGCACCTTCCCTTAGATCCGCCCCTGGCTACATTCATTTCGTTCTTATTCAGAATAAAGGTAAAATGGAAAATGTATTCCAGATCTCCACTGAAAGATATGTGAGCTCACTGTTGCTTCTTCATTAAGCGTTATGATTAGCTGCTATCGGTGTTAGTTTTCTTTTCTGATAAGTTAATGCTTTGTGAAAATAAAATTTAGAGATACTGTAGAATCGAGATTCCTGAGGCATGGATACCTGCAACTTAAAAACAGAGTACTCATCCAAAAACAAAGCAGATCTGTAGGAGAACAACATCAACCCGTCAAACATGCGTGAACCAATAGGAGTATGCTAAAACAAACCAAGAGCAGCTCCCTATGCCACATTAATAGCCATGGGTGACTATTCAACGTCACTACATAGTGAAGAAAAGTAGTAAAGCTGTCGCACGAACGCGATTTACAGATGATAGTTTGACTCCTAAAATGATAGATTCGCTTTTTAAGGAGAAAAAAGTTTTCATGTCCACTTAGTACTTAGGATCTGTTTTTCAAGCACTCGCTGCTATTAATTGCTGAATCCACCAAAATGATCTTTAAACCTCTTTGGTATTTGATTCATGAAATGAAAGATAAATTAATCGCATCAGATAATTTATTTGAACTGTTACACAGACACCGGTGTGTTATCTAGTTAAGAAGGAATTAAAGTTGCAATAAACAACAGTAATTCAACTTCTATGATTTTTTTTGTGTGTCCCACTCACAAAAGAATTTGAAAAAAAAGGCATAGTAACGGTTACTACGCCTTTTTTTTCAAATTCCAGTCGAACCACAACAGCTTCGATGGAAAACAATCGTCAAGTTTGATCGTGATACAAAACTTGATCGGCGATCACTGACATTCTGACAACGCCCCCCTCACCCCAACCCCAGTAAGGTAGATTTTCATTCCTCCAACAGTCAGCAGAATAGGGTGCGCATTCGTTTCCATCTCGTGGTGGCCCTTATGTTGCGCAGCTTATTCCTTTGCTAAGAAAGCAAAATATCACTACTTTTTCTTCCTTAGTACAGGTTATGGAAGATTTAATGAGATTCAAAAAGTGTGAGTGTAGATTCGAGTAGATTCAAAGGCGTGCGTCTCACGAAAGGTATTGATAAACATTAACCTTAATTCTTGTGAAAACAATTTCTCGACTCCATCGGCAAACCAAAAGATTACAGTATAATTTTGACAGACTTAGCGACTAGGGACCAAGTGATTGAAAGGCAACTACTGTGCATTAAGCTTATTCCCTCTAGATGGAAAAGTCTTGGTTTAAACCCGATCCAGGTCATAACTTGTGTGTTATGTCTTGTGTTTCTAGATAAAATTTCGTTACTAAGTCACACAACGCGCCCCCGACCCAGGTCGGTTGATATCATGGGGAGAGAGAAACTGTCCGGGAAGCTTCACGGAATACGGGAGGCTAAATATGATACATTAGCGAACTGTACTGAAGAATTCTTCAGGCTAGGAATCTTTACCATACAGTCTGTCTCACTATTAAATTGATCGCCCCCCTTCAATCCAATCAATAACTTTTAAAAAGCAGATCATACTAGACAACCGAGACAAACGTAGCGTCTCTTATTTATGACGTCTTTCTAGCTATCAAATAACGGTCTGGCTTACTGACCTTAATCTAAATTTAAATTTAGGCAGTTTGAGGTTACCGTAACATGCTACAAAAGCTGCTTTCGAGGAAGTTCGATCATTCAGCTCTCGTAATATCTCTTAAAGAGCATACTTTCCCGATGAGCCCCGGCACAGTTCTAAGCGTTTTCTGTTTGCTTCTTTACTTCGCTGGATTCATTCGAAACGAGTCTAAATTCAATGAGTATGAACGAAGGTTGAAAACTGTTGAGGAATTCATACCTCAAGATAAAATGACACAAGCGAGGACGGATTTCCCTCCCTCTGAACAAGGTAATGTCCGACTGTCTTTATTTCAATTGCTACATGGTTGTCTGTTATGTGGCTGGTCGTGCTCCTTTAAAGTTATTTATGTAAGTTGCAAGTTACTCTAAACTGTTAGGGATTTAAGCTTTTGATAAAAAGTACTCAAGAGCTAATGGTCATGTCTTCCGACTTCCGTTTTAGCACAACAGATATGAACGAGACTTATTTGTCTTATTTTCTTTTCACTGAGATATCAACATTACCGTATATCTAACGACGTAGATTCAAAGCTAACGATATGGACGACTCTTGTTTTACATGATGTCCATTCTCTCGTTTTCTTTACAAAATAATTTGGAGACTTGCCAAGGAGTAAAACGCAGAGGTTTTCAAGGTAAACAATACGCTCTTTTTAAATGGCGACATTAAAATCGATGTGTTGCCCACTTCTAGGTCAACAAGAAACAAAAGCCTTCTCCTTAAGTCTCTTGGTGAGCAAGAAGGCAAATCTCTTCGTCGAGACTCTTGTAAACCTAAGCCTTAAAATATTGATTTAACCTCTCCTCATGCTCGAAATGATAATATTTGTGGAGAAATCAAATCAAGAGATAAACACGAGCCATTTGACGAGGGGTTAAATTTAAATTTCTCTAACGTCACTTTTGATAACTGGAAAAGATTTCTGTCCTCGCTACGGTCAAATTGTCCTTTCCTTCTTGTGTTTGCAGTTGAACTTGGATCTTTATCGTGTTATTTGAGATGGCAATGAAGGGTCTAATTAGGTTACTCTCCTTTTTTATTGATATATTTGATACATTTTCAGTCATACAAACCACCTCGGCCGAGCTTGAAATCCATCGACTGAAGCGTAGTATTTCACATCCACCCCCTTTAAATAAGTCGGCTGAGATGAGGAAAATGATAGAGGACATCGTTTATTCCGCTTGGAAGATTTGCCCCAACAAAGCTGGTCTGAATGTTTGTCCTCGTGGCCGGCCGGGACCTCCAGGGAGAGCTGGACCCAAAGGTGACAAGGGAAGAAAAGGAAGAAAAGGATCCCAGGGAAGCATGGGACCACCGGGAAGAAGCGGAAAACAAGGAACCATGGGACCACCGGGGATAAGAGGACAGAATGGAATAAAAGGAGACATCGGGCCACCGGGTATCCCTGGTATCCCAGGGACTAAAGGTGAACCTGGAGAGTCCATCTCAACCCCAAAAGTAACAATTTCTCCACCGAAACTAGTCGTCAACGAAAGCAAAATAGCCTCGTTCTTATGCTCTGCTTCGGGAAACCCTGCGGCTCAAATGTTCTGGTCGAAGATCAATGGATCTTTTCAAAGCAACAGGATCAAAGTGACGTCAAATGGTCTGATGCAGATCTCTGGTGTCCGGATGGAAGATGCAGGCGCCTACAAATGCATAGCGCGAAATATTCTTGGAGAGGATGAAAAAACTGCCATTCTCGTCGTTCAGAGTAGGTCTAAATATTCCATCTTACGTCCACGTGATTCCTACGCCTCTGAAGTTTGAAAAAAATTGTCTTTTATTGACGTTTTTCCTTGGGCAGCTCGAGGGATACAAAATTCTGGGGTTCAACAGTTTATAAAATTTTAAAGTTGTTGTGAGCAAAATATTAGAATCAGATAAAACTTAAAAAAATAAAGCTCTAAAGATGGACAAGATTTTAGTATGGGAGCCACACAAGCGACAGTAGCTATCTTAATTCTATATAATAATGTTTATCCCATTCATATACAGGTAAACCTACCATTTCACTCTCCTTCGGTCCAACGTATGTAGAGAAGGGCAAGAACGTCACTTTACCAAAATGTCATGTGACAAGTTTTCCTCCGGCAATCATCACGTGGTCTAAAGGGCGCGGTGAACTTGCGCATTCCAGAACAGTTGTGAAGGCGGAGAGCTGTCAATTATCAGTGCTCAAAATGAAGATTCTTATTTGTATGAATGCAAAGCCTCCAATATTCTAGGCCATGACTCAGCTTTGACAAATCTTGTTGTCTGGGATCTGCCCCGTTTTACAGTCAATCCACCTGCAAAGGTTGATGTAGGAAAAGACAGAAATATTTCAGTTCCTTGTCAGGCCGCTGGTGACCCTCAACCAATAATCACGTGGGTTAAAGAGAACGGTGATTTGCCAGTCGGAAGATCGCAAGTCAGTGTGGATGGAACACTTCAGATATGGAATATTAAGGATGAAGACTCGGGCATATATATCTGTACAGCCACATCAGCACAACTGTTCAAAACGTCTTCTTCAATGCAACTGACCCTTAGGAAAGGTAAGGAATGGCTTTATTCAACATTTTATTTGTTACACAAAGATCTATAAATTCCTTCAAGAATTAAGACAAACCTTAAGAAATATATGTTACAGGTCACAGTGACTGTATTCTGGGCGGATTTCATAATCAGAGTCTAGCGTTGGGTTATTTGACTACGAGGAGTTTATGGAAAATGATTTATCAGTTTGGTTGTAATATTCTTGCCTTAAAGACTCCTATCAAGTATACGAATGGTGATTGGTTGGTTTGAAGCATCTGGAAAGTTTTTGGGAAAAGATTTCAACCTAGAGCAATATTCTGCAAAGTTTCAGCTCACTAGAATTACATCTGAAATGTTTTGGAGAAAATTATTTTAAAATAGGGTAATATCCTGCAGATTTTTAGCTCGTCAGAATTGGGTTTATGTGTTTTATAACTACGGTATTAATAAACCATAGCTTGCACAGCTTTTAAGGCAAGCAATTAAACATTTTGATGATTGCAGCGGATTGAATATAAATTAATTCCTTGGGCTGTTTTGTCCTTTTTTTAGTTTTTCTTGTTACTTAACCCAAACATTAAAGTTATTAAATCAGTATCAGCTGGCAATTGCTCGTTAAATTTCCTATCGGCTCAACTACCTCGTTAATGCATTAAAGTTAATATTTACTACGATTTTATTCCCGACAGAGGAACCTGATATTTTCGAAAATTGAAAGGCAATGAGAGAAAAGGAACATTGATAAAATCCAAGAAAGCAAGCAAAGAAACAAACAGACAAACAATAAAAGGGCAAGGAAAAAAGAGTTTATTTGATTCAGGAATCTACTTTCGTTAATTTTTATGCTCATGCAAGGCCCTGTATTACTTATATTTATTTAGTATGTAAGTCAGTTGGTGTGGTGGACAGGAACAGAATACCAGATGCTAGAATGAGAGCGAGCAGTTTTTTCAGTACAGACTATTATCCATACTATGGCCGACTCCATGAAAATAGTAGGAGGGGAGCGTGGTGTGCAAAGACTAACTCTGTTGGAACAGAGTATCTTCAAGTTGATTTGGGTACAGTGCTCGATGTTTGTGCTTCGGCCACACAAGGAAACCAGAAAGAAGGTCAGCGAACCACCACCTACAAAGTTCACATGTCCACAGACGGTATAAACTGGAACACTTACAAAGAAAAAAAATATTGAAAAGGTATGGAAAGAGTAGTGCCGTAATGATTCGATTTGGCGTCCGCTATTCCAATTGGGGACCCTATTCTGTTTTGATGATAGCGCTGTTAAAGTACATTTCCATTAAGATTTGTCATGGTTCATACTCCTTTGATTGCTTACTGAAAGCTTTATTACAAAAACAGTGGTCTTCGTCTCCGTCTCTCAACTATTACATCCACCTGAGTGTAGAGTCCTTTCCAACGAATCATCTCGTCTTAAAATTTTGCGACGCTTTCTTGGCTGGTCGTTCCCACCAAGAAGGATCCAGGGACAACAAGTCCGTTTTCAAGTCTTCTTGGTCCTTTTTGAAATAAACATCAAAGCTTTGCTTTGCACATTCTGCTTTTCTTCGAAAAACGAATATGCCCTGTCCCTAACAAGCGCCCTAAAAGGCACTAAAAGCGGATAAGCGCCAAAGGCGCTGAATCGAATCATTACCGTAACTAAGGAGCTACAGAAATTCTTCTCTCTGGTTTTGTTAACATAATATCAATTAGTTTAAAATGATTAATGATTATGTAACCTCGTATATTTTAACCAATAAATATTTCATGAAAGTTAATAAAGTGTAATATCATGCTACTACGCTTTTCAAGAGGGAAAGGCTTTATCGACCAATGTCTAACTTATCTTCTGCTTCTGCTTTTGTCTTTATCCTTGATTGTCCTTTGTTTTGCAGATTATGATTATGATATTTACCACTGAGTAAGAAACAAATCAATTTGGAAAAAATTAAAATTACAAATTAAAAAAAAGAAACGGAAATTTAATTCCATTCTGGGGCGCCGAACCCCGATTTAACGAGACCGGGCGATTTTGATGCGAGCCTGGACGCCAGTTTCGTTTCCACACCGGGTTAACAAACCAAGTTTAAAATAAACTACGGGGGCGAACAATTAAAACCGTTCGGTAGAGTATAACAGAAAGTTGTCAAAAAAGAATACGAGCTTTAGTTGAACTGGTTTATTTCTCTTTGCTTTATTTCAGGTGTTCCAAGGAAACTCAGACCACAACAACATCGTGAAGCATTCACTCAGAAATGAATTCAAAGCCAGATACGTTCGGTTCTATCCTGTCACTTACGATACCTGGCCATGTTTGAGGGTTGAAATATTTGTGCTAGAATAATAGGTCAAGATCTATTCATCCAGCAGCACTAAAACTAACAGGAAACGGTCAGTTAATAAAATTCTTCCAAGCAAATAAACTAACAAACGTTTTTTTAAGTGAATTTTCAACAGATCAGTAATTCATAATGAATTATATAACGAACATAGTGAATTACATGAAAATCTTTTTTAATTTCATCAATCTGTTTACGTTAAGCCTCATATATCCAAAGGCAATCCAGCTGGGTCAATAGAAAAAGTAATTTTGGGAAGAAACGACACAAAACAGTAAAATGATGTAAACCGTACGAATAAATGAATTAATTTTTAAAATATTTTATGATTGTCATGATTAAACATGCACACAATTTACTGGTTGACAACACTAAAAGTCACAAGAATTCCCCAAGCATTTCAAATTGATATGGTTCCCTGCCGCTCCGGGCATCAGAAATGACTTTCATTACTACTCAGAGGTCGCTATTCATTCTAAAGTACGCTTCCCCCCCCCCCCTAAAAAAAATGACGAAAAAACAAAAAACAAAGAAAAAAAACATATTGTTCATACCATTACAATGTTTACTGCAGTCGGCTCTCACTTTAAGCATTTTATCTCTTCACGCACCCTCTCTGACCTCATCTAACACTGAGGACGAAAGAACATTGTCTCTCGTGTACAAGTATGAGGGAATTTTCTGTTTCTGGTCGGAGAAGGACTGTGGGTTCATTCCTTATGGGGCGGTGGTTGGGTGTTTTATTTATACGTTATTGTTTGAATTTTCCTGCTGTTTTTAACCACTCGTGGGTCTCGATCACGTATCATGAACATTCGAGAACCATAGAGTAATTGTCATTTTTCTGTAACGAGCCTAGGATATAGAAAATCTGCAAGTATCCTTCGAGAAAGCGCACCCTAAAGTTTCGGTTGCGAAGTCCAATACTCGCTCTTTAGGCGAATGGCATATGACGCCAATGGTTTTTCTGTCCTACTCTTGGTAATCACCGTGGAGAAGACATATTTTGGTTATTCTCTGTAAGTAAATCAGAGTTGAACTCTTTCATTTGCATTCACAGCTACCACAGTTTACCCAGTTCTTGATTCATATTTTGGCCTATCTCTTTCACAACGCTAGTGGAACTGATCAGGCTGCGCCAAGGTTGTTTGTGACGGTTCCTTTCACTGTGGTAGTCACGTGATGATTATCAACAGAACGCGATATGTTTAGTATCTACGGTCACGCAATAAGTCACGCGTTAAGTCAGATGAGTTACTCGTGTCCGCATTTTTTATGGTATCCAAGTCAATATTTTGTTGAGTAGGGAAAAATGGAAAGATTCTTGCTAAGTTAAGATACATATTGCCTCTGATGAATGTTATTTTTATTTCCAGTTAAACCTGCATCTAAATGTGATTAGCTCAGAAGAAAGATTTGATCTGAATGAAATCTTCTTCAATTGTTTTGAATATGTGCACCTGAATGTATCTTAGGGTACATTATCTTAATAGGGTGAAAAATTATATGTAATCATGCGCCCATGTACCTCAACTCTCTCCCCCACTGTACACAGTTAATAATGGTAATAGGACAATGAGGAGTCCAATTCGGTCTGCAATCAAACAAGTGATTAACAAAATCGGAAGACCGCGAAGCGGGTGTCCGATTTGTAAATCACGAGTATGATTACAGACAGAATTGGACGACACAAAGCCCTGTTATCAATTAGTCAAAACAATGACAACATTTGAGGAAGAAACTAGACTTCTGTTATACGTTTTCATTAAAAAAAAAGAAAAAAAAAAGGCAGTATTGATGTCTTTGGTGGAGTTACTGAACAGTGGCACAGGCAGCCATGTGGATTCTTTTGGTTTACATGATTTATCATTTCTACATCTTAATTAATCCTCCAATTGATCGCGTTTTTGTATTCCAGCGACCAAATTAAGAACCTTCCAATTTTTCTACAATATGCTCTAAGCCAGAAGTTATTATAGTGGCGCCCATACAATTAAACATTAATAAGTATTTATATGCTAACGCTAAAGAGGGAGTTCTTTCGCAATGCTTTCTCTATCTCACAAATTTCGGTAGAAAAGATAACACAACATTCTAGCTATTGAAGATAAGTGCAGTGATTTTTCTTCATGCCTCGTATATTCGTGGTTAGATTTTCTGATCATGATCTATAAATTGCTTACAGAAATTAAAGACGCTCCCGAAGTTGTTCCTCATCACCAGCTGTCGGCAAGCAGCGAAACTTATGGCGCCAAACATCAATATCATATCTTTCTGAATGCGAGTCGTTTTAATGGAAAACTCAAAAAAATTTAAGCCGTATCAAAATAAGAAATTTCTTGTAAGCCTTGTTTAACCCAAACGGCAAAGTTTATTATAAAGGATACGGTGTTGTCTATGAAAATGGATGCACACATTTAAATTAGCGTTTGTTTTATTCTTGGGTTCAGGAACAGTGAAATTTTTTCTGAAAATTTTACGCCAATTAACAGTTGGTTCATACGTCAGTTTCGTGCGTTCATCGAGATATGAAGCACGCGGGAAGTTTGGAGAGCACGAAAGATACGTAAGAGGCGTAGCCGAGAGCAACTCTAGCTTCTTGAGTGCTCTCTAAACTTCCCAAGTGCTTTATATCTCGATGAACGCACAGCTGACGCATGAACCAATTGTTTTATAACATTTTCAACCTGATGGAAATTTTTTTTCTCGAGGGATATGTTTGCTGACGTCATAAGCGTGAACAATAGGAATATGAAGCACGCTCGCGCAATTGAATTTGATTAGACAAAGTTACTAACTATGTTATTATGTTCTCAGGAGCACCTTTAAACGAGGTACGAGTATGCGTTCCTTGAAGCTAAAAAATTTCAAATAGAACAGAGTACAACGTTAACATTCAACATTCTAAGAGGTAGCTATATTTGAATATTTGTCACAGCGGGAACATTTTCTAACAAATTGCATACTGTGCCAATTTCATCTACGTAGTTAGTAGTTATTTGGTGGTAAACGACTCAGGTAAATAGGGAATTAGAGATACGACTTTGGTCTCTTGTGAGCCTAATAAGACTGAACTATAAAATTGCTACTGTACTAAAGCTACGAAATGAAGAAAAAAAGCCTAGACTCAAATTATCAAAGAGCTAAATTTATCCAGTGATGAAAGGAACTCTGAAATGTAAGCATAAATTAAGACAACAGGTGTAACTATTTTTCAAACTCTCCGATGTAAGTTGCTAAAATGTATTGCCTAAAACACGAACGGTCCAGACGAACGGATGGGATGACGAAATCAGAATTTTTTGCTTTCACACTGATTTTATAACTTGATACTCGTTGGGCTCATGCCCACATGCATTGAAGAGGAACCCAAAAATGAATGTTAATTTTTGGAACTAACATTGGACTCAAGTTATTTAAAATTAAAGTAGCGACCATTTTGAATATTGATACGAATTTCTTTCTGTTAGAAGACATTCTTGTTTTAAAGTCTCACCCGAAAAATTGAGTTTTCCAGTTATGTGTATAAGTTTATCCTTATCTTGTTTTAAACTTTGCCATTTTAGAAAAGGCGAAAATGAACTATGTCAGGAAAAGTTAGATGAACTTGTTTTTCCAACAGAATGTAGAATATGCCTTGAAATTACAACTAGTTAGCCTATGACCAAAGTTCATCGCGGAAAACTAAGACCCACTGAAAGTGGCAGGTGTTTTAAATTGTGAAAAAAAGGAACTTTCGGAAAGCAAATGTTTTCTAGAAGTTCCTGTCTGAAGAATCCCGGTCAAAGTTGTAACCATTAACCATATAAGCCATCACCCTACTGAGAACCACTCAAAGTGGTGGGTGTTTTAAAATGTGCAGTAACAGGAACTTTCGGAAAACAAATGTTTTCTAAAAGTTCCTGTCGTAAGGAAACTTAAGTTTCGTCATTCAGTGTGTGAGTGATGGCTCTCATGAAAGGCATAATTAGTTCGTAACGAACTGGGATAGGGAAGCCAATTGAAAGATATAGCGGGAAAGACTTAAAATATAAGAACACCGTTCTATTTAGGAATTTAACAGAAATCTGATCGATTACCTCGACACGAAGTTCGCGGAAGAGTCATTTGACCCGAAACTCTACTACCTTGTGGAAATTAGGAGGAAAAAAAAGCAGGAAATTATTCTACGTTAATGCGACAGAAATTTGATCTGAAATAAGTCTTGACGCTTGCCTCTGAAGGTAAAAGCTGGTGAGTAAGAACAATTAAATTAATTACAGTTTTTTTAGGGATAGTTCAAATTAATTTTCAGCATTTCTCTCAACCGTGATAGAGAGAAATTAATCGTTCGCCTAAAACTCAGATGACCAATATTTGAACCGTTAGCCATACCCTCATAGTTGTGACCACGAAGAATTTGGCCTGATTTGTTTCATTTCAGCCTACATTTTGTATATTTGGCCAAACTAGGGAGGTTTTAAATTGTTGCAATTTTTAAACACGATTCTCTAAATGGATCGATACAACACCACTTTGATGGTATCAAAAAATTCCAAACTATTAATCAGCCCGTTGCAATTAGTTTTGCAGATGTATAGAGTTAGAGCTTTCGAAAAATTCCTTAACCTTTCATGTCTGCAACTCAAAAACGAGTACAGCTGAGTTACAAATGACATAGCAAGATTCGTTTATTTGCTAATTGTTTAAAAGTGTCATACAATGAAGTGTTCCAATGGGTGTATTGGAAGTCTGGATAATCCTTAAGGGGTCTTAAGAGCTTAGCTTAAAAAAAACAAAAAAAAGCAAGAAATTAAATTATATCTGGATCTAAACGGAGTTCCATATGTTGGTAACTTTTTGATCAAAGTTAAAAAATACTTTTCATATCCTCCTAGTGATATTACAAATAAGCACCCCTTCAGGGACAGGAAGTGGCTAATTACATGGCAGGGGCTTATGCATTGTAAAATTTATAATTCCCTCTAGACATCATTTCAGCTTCAGTTGACTGTGGTAACCTGCATTTGATGCGTCTTTTATATCTATTCTTGCGTGTGGTGCGTGAGGTCGAAGAGAT